GCGTGCTGAACGAGGGGGAGAACGAGTACGATTGTGAAAGGTACGACCTCCTCAAGTCTGCACATTTGCCAAAGCCAGGTCGTACCAAGGCTCAGGTCAAGATGGGTGTTTCTGAGCAATCTCAGCTGGAGCACAACGCGATGAGGCTGGTTTACTTGGATTTGGCAAGCCGTCTTGATGTCCCGAAATCGTTCAGGTACATCGACCAACCATGGTTCTACATGTACCGTACGGAAATCTACTCCGAGGAAGAGTACATTGACTATCTCAACCGGAATCCTGGACACAATCTTTTGTTGTCTTGTACTGGTGTTGACAACATTGCTGTTCATGATGCTGAACGTCATTTGAGGTGGATCAAGGGACAAAACGAGGAGCTGTACAAGCAGAACGCTGCAGAGAAGAAGAAGCAGTCTGACAGGGCTCGCGAGCAGAACGAGGCCAAGCGCAAAGCTGAGCAGACTGGAGCGTATGGCCAAGGTCCCTCCAAGAAAGGCACCGCCAAACCGGTTGCCCGACCATCCACCGTAGAGGTAGCCTCATCATCCACGTCAGCAAGTCAGTGGCTCAATCGCCCTCAGCAAAGTCATTCCCGTGAAGATCGACAGTTCACCAATGAGTGGCAGAAGTGGCATGGGCGCTGGTACCAAAAGGATCCCCGATGGTATTTCCACTACAAAAAGGGAGAACACGTGTACGGTATAAAATGGTCTGGGGATAGGTTTTTGTAGCTGAAATTAGTCTTGGGCCCCCTTTTTGTAGTAAAGTTACCCTAGGCATTTTGTAGGCCCCCTGTTTGGCAAATACAATAGGCTTTTTGTAGGCCTCCAAAACGTGGAATCGAAAATGGAAGATTATGTGATATTACATCAGCTTATAAATTGCTGACTGCATTTTGTAGTCTCTTTGTGGCTGAATCATGCAATGTACAACGCAGCCCAAGAGAATCAGGGAATGCATTTTGTAGCCTCAGTATCCCCGTTCGAATTTCCACTACAGAATGGGAGGCCTTGTGCCCCGTTTCAAGGCCTTGCCAGGCTTAAAATAAGATGAAAAAATGGGGTTGAAAATAAATACTATAGCCAGGACCATGACGAAACAGTAACTAGTCTGCCGAACAGGCAGTGTCCTGAACAGGGACGTTTTTTTTTTTTAAATAGGAAACATATGTAGTCCAGGACTTTGTCCTTGGAGTTATATATATATATAGTCCAGGACTCTGTCCTTGGAGTTGTGTATATATATATACACCGTGTCTTTGGAGTTATACAAATATGCGTAGCTTAGTTCCCTAAAATAACGCACCTACCCTAGTAAAAAAAACAAATTGCAGCTCTTGGCAACGTTTTGTGGGAACTCTTCATTTGTTGTGTTTTGGTTGCTTTTTGTTTATTATTACACACAATTAAATGATCCATAGTGATCCTAATTGACCCTAATGAACACTAAATAACATTCATTGACACTAATTGGACACTAAATGTCACTAATTGACACTCAATTGCACTACTTGCCACTAAATAAAGCTAATCGATACGAATTGACACCACTAATTGACTCTAGATGACACGATGTCACACTAATTGACACGCATATTAGATACCATGCTTACATGAGGGTCGTTGGAACTTCATGCAATAGTTGATCACAGCATGCATTTTGTAGTGAAGTGAGGCGGCCTCATCATTTTGTAGCGCGCAGTAATTGGATGGGCAGACTTTGGTACTTTAGGTGCTCGACACGAAATAAAACCCAGATATATAAGTAGTTAATACTACAGATATATATAAATATATATAAGTATTAAAAAACATATATATATATGTAAATTGCTACAGATGTATACTAGGATGTGGTCCTTGAAAATAAATACTATAGCCAGGACCATGACGAAACAGTAACTAGTCTGCCGAACAGGCAGTGTCCTGAACAGGGACGTTTTTTTTTTTAAATAGGAAACATATGTAGTCCAGGACTTTGTCCTTGGAGTTATATATATATATATAGTCCAGGACTCTGTCCTTGGAGTTGTGTGTATATATATATATACACCGTGTCTTTGGAGTTATACAAATATGCGCAGCTTAGTTCCCTAAAATAACGCACCCTAGTAAAAAAAACAAATTGCAGCTCTTGGCAACGTTTTGTGGGAACTCTTCATTTGTTGTTTTTTGGTTGCTTTTTGTTTATTATTACACACAATTAAATGATCCATAGTGATCCTAATTGACCCTAATGAACACTAAATAACATTCATTGACACTAATTGGACACTAAATGTCACTAATTGACACTCAATTGCACTACTTGCCACTAAATAAAGCTAATCGATACGAATTGACACCACTAATTGACTCTAGATGACACGATGTCACACTAATTGACACGCATATTAGATACCATGCTTACGTGAGGGTCGTTGGAACTTCATGCAATAGTTGATCACAGCATGCATTTTGTAGTGAAGTGAGGCGGCCTCATCATTTTGTAGCGCGCAGTAATTGGATGGGCAGACTTTGGTACTTTAGGTGCTCGACACGAAATAAAACCCAGATATATAAGTAGTTAATACTACAGATATATATAAATATATATAAGTATTAAAAACACACATATATATATATGTAAATTGCTACAGATGTATACTAGGATGTGGTCCTTGAAAATAAATACTATAGCCAGGACCATGACGAAACAGTAACTAGTCTGCCGAACAGGCAGTGTCCTGAACAGGGACGTTTTTTTTTAAATAGGAAACATATGTAGTCCAGGACTTTGTCCTTGGAGTTATATATATATACCAGGACTTTGTCCTTGGAGGTACATATGTATATATATATATAGTCCAGGACTTTGTCCTTGGAGTTATGTATGTATGTATATATATATATAGACCAGGACCTTGTCCTTGGAGTTACTTATGCGTATATAGTCCAGGACTTTGTCCTTGGAGTTATGTATATTCATATAGAATCATATATATATATATAGACCAGGACTTTGTCCTTGGAGTTACATATGTATGTATATATATATATATAGTCCAGGACTCTGTCCTTGGAGTTGTGTATATATATATATACACCGTGTCTTTGGAGTTATACAAATATGCGTAGCTTAGTTCCCTAAAATAACGCACCTACCCTAGTAAAAAACACAAATTGCAGCTCTTGGCAACGTTTTGTGGGAACTCTTCATTTGTTGTTTTTTGGTTGCTTTTTGTTTTTTATTACACACAATTAAATGATCCATAGTGATCCTAATTGACCCTAATGAACACTAAATAACATTCATTGACACTAATTGGACACTAAATGTCACTAATTGCACTACTTGCCACTAAATAAAGCTAATCGATACGAATTGACACCACTAATTGACTCTAGATGACACGATGTCACACTAATTGACACGCATATTAGATACCATACTGGGCTTTGAGCAAAGATGATTCGAAAACAAACTGGGTGAGACTACAAAAAGACTTGGGCTTATCCTAGTCGCTTTTGCATCCGTTTTCAACATCCATAACAAAAATGCGAGTGGCTTTTTGTAGGCTCCACCTGGGTATGTGTGGGGTACCTGCAGCATCATTTTGTAGAGCTGCTTTTTGGGTTGGGCATACCTTTTTGTAGCTAGGGGACCCGTGACCCCATATTTCATACCTACAAAACTGGTACACAGCTGCTCACCCTATATTCCATCGAGGATCCAAAAGGTTATCAGGCATGGCCGAGTCGAATGGGAAGAGGGATAAATTTTGACACTGCTTGCATTGACGATCGATTGTACAAAGCCGCACATTCTTTTGATTGTTTTCCCTTGGGTTTGCAAAGAGTTGGATCGGTAAGGCAGGCTTTAAAAGCCTCGCCCTGGTAAATGGGCAGCCTTGCCGTGTCCGGCTCACCTGAGGGGGGTGTATTTGCACCCCATGTAAGACATAGCTGTATCATAGATGTATCTGACAGCATTGCGGCTCAGTATAAAAGGCGCTGGGTCGCTAGCTTAACGGTTTCTTCCCCTGTTTAGGTTTATCAGTCCATTTGGGTATAACTAGGTTAACCCTTGCTGAAACCTGAAAATACAAAAATAGACAGGAGTTATGGGATAATTTTGGAAACCATAAAACTAGTGATATCCTTTGTTTTTGATGTTGCTTTGCCAAAAATGGTGGTAGTCATTTACAAGTGTACATCATTTATGGGTGAAACTGTTAAGACCCTCGGGAGCACAGAATCTGGTTATCTTTTGGTATACCGGTACTGACAATCTGGTTGGTGGTTTGGAACATTTTTTATTTTTTCCATATCTTGGGAATAACAATCCCAACTGACTTTCATATTTTTCAGAGGGGTGGCTCAACCACCAACCAGCAATTTCTGTGGTTCATAATTTTTATATGCTGCCCATACCCACACACAGCACAGTCAGAGCCCTCACGCATGTGCAGAGCTAACGGTTATGTGGGGTGAACTCGGCCCAGGTTTAGAGGACTTTATTCCCAAGGTTTTTTGAGGACTTACATCATGACTTACATCCATGAGTTACATCATTATATCATTTTATGGATATCTTACCCTCCAGTAAATTAACATAGGAACATGGACCACTTATTTATGATTTTCCTACTGTACTGAAATGGTGCTTTTCCATAGCAAACTGTTAGTTTACCAGAGGGTACATTTTTTTATTTCGGAGACAATTTTCCCAGCTAGAAACCTCCGTTTTTGACAGCCAGCCATGTTTTGATGACACCAGAGTCTCAGAGGGTATGTCCCATGGTAATCCCATGGTACATCTCTTTACATAGCCTATGGCAGGACTGAATTCCCCAGGTAGAATCATGACTTACCATGATTTACATCAATTTTATCATTTTATGGATATTTAAACATCCAGTAAACTAACATTTTACCGTCCATGAATTACATTCATTTTTATAGATGGTTTACATCGATTTATGGCCCATTGTCCTATGAAACCCTGGCGGATTTCCCAAGGTTTCTGAAGGAGGAAATCCCTGGCCTCGTGGAGCAGGGCTATGAGGGCGATATGCCCTCCATGAAGGTTGGGCGAAGCATATTTTGCGGGGCGGAGTTGAGGGAGAAACATGGGGACAACCATGGGAGAACATGGAAACAAGTTACCCTCTGGTAATTTAACATAGCCATGGAAAATCACAATTTTTCATGGGAAAATCCACTATAAATGGCCATTTTCAATAGCTTTTTGTATGTTTACCAGAGGGTATGGAAAACAACGTAAAAACAATGGTTTTCAACTTTGAAATCTGCGATTTGAAGCCATTTCAAGCCCACAAAAAACCATTTTTTTTCAACTGACGGGGGGTTTTATTGGGGTATTCAGCATTTCTTACACCCACAGATCCTCCATTTATAGCAACAAAATGACTGTAAAGTCTGAATGTAACCATCCAAGACTTGTAGGTACAGCTTTCGAAATATACCATCTGGTTATTTAACATAGCCATGGAAAATCACCATTTTTAATAGGTAAACCATCTATTTCTATGGGCCATTTTCCATGGCTATGTTAAATAACCATAGGGTAAGGAAAAAAACCTGATTGAGTTTCCCTTATGAGTTTCCAGACCTATTCAGCCATAGGCCGAGAGGCTGTCTCTGGAGCAGATAGCTGTCACTGGTGATCGTGTGACGTGGGCAACTTTAAGGGCGAACAGCTGAACACGGTCGATCGCAGCCTGAAGCGAACTCGGTCGGGCAACACACTGAGGGCCCTTGGGGCCGACAAAGCAACAACTGTGGAGGTCGACAACCCCAGGTCGAGCGTGCGCAGATTAGCCAGGGTTCGACATTGACAACGGCAATGTCGGCTCTGCGGCACTGAAGCCAGCTAAAAGCTCCAAGATCTGCTAGATGGGATGCCGGGTGAATTGTCAAAATGTTTGTCAAACAGAATGCCAGGTAGAATTTTAGATGTCAAAACACAACCCCAGATAGAAGATTAGCTCAAATTTCACACCTGGTTGGTGGTTTGGAACATTTTTTATTTTGCCATATATTGGGAGAATACTAATCCCAACTGACTTTCACTCCATCATTTTTCAGAGGGGTTGGTTGAAACCACCAACCAGATTATTATTAACCATCATTAACCATATAATAACCATTAATATTAACCATATATTAACCATTATTATACCACCAACCAGACACTCAGAATGTCATCTACCCTCTGGTAATTTAACATAGCTATCGAAAATCACCATTTTTCATGGGAAAATCCACTATAAATGGCCATTTTCAATAGCTATGTTAGTTTACCAGAGGGTAGAATGATCAGAGAATCTGAGGGAAGGTGGACCAAAAAATAGCGATCTTCCCTTCGTTCGCCAGGTCTCAACCCCGGACGAGCATGATCAGACGTGGGGGAGCCCACCAGATGAGGTCGCTGAGGTCGGGTGGTTTTTTGATGTTTTTTGGAACCACCATGTCAAGATGAAAGTATCGGTATGGGTCAAGCCAACCGATTTTTTTGTGAAAAGGCAGCGTGGTAATGAACTTAATGAACAACTTGTACACTCCAGCTTCCAGAAAGCACCGGATCATCGTTCCCGATGTTCCCGGAATTGGATGATGTTGGATCATGGGACCATAGAAACCGGACACCTTTCTAAATATTTTCTGCTAAACTGCTAAACAAAGACATGGTTTCCACTTCATATTTTCCCACGAATCCAAAGATTGGATTGATGTTGACTAATCAACAATTTTTCATGCTTGATCCCTAGATAATCCCCATAAATCATTGGACAATGACCAATATGTCCATGAAATCCCCAATGAAATTGCCATTGAATCACCATTAAACTATTAAATGACCATAGAAAAAACCATCTAATTCCCAGTATTTTTCCATGAAATGTCCATTTAACTTAATCCAGTACATCACCATCATGAAGCCCCGATTTCGATCCATTTTCGGGCTGGATAGCTCCAATGCCCCCCGAGGGCTCAGCATTTGATGTACATCGAGGAGGCCGTGAAACTGAATGGAACTGGACTGCTGGAAACTGCGCAGATATCATCTACCAAAAAAGGAGGACCCCCCCCCGGTAATTTCTCAGTTAGCTATTGAACATGGGCCATTTAGTTCGGTGATTTACCTATTGACAATGGTGATTTTCCCTAGCAAAGCGCTAGTTTACCAGAGGATATCCTGCAAAACAAAGAGATTTGTCTATGGAACAAGCCACAGAGTTGATTCATAGGCTTTAACTGCGTTTAGCGAAACAAAACAAACTCAACATGGACAGTTTCCAGGATCATCCTATAGTACAATGAGGGGCCCTACTAGTTCTATCAGGGGAACGAAAAGAATCCTCATCGACTTCGATGTACAAAACTGGACATGGTTAGTTCTGATCACTTGTCAGATCTGGCATTTGGCACCATGATACCCTCATATTATTGCACATGAAATCAGCGAAATGTACGGATGTTTTGCCGCTCATCCGTTGGTGGCTCCGAAGCCACTGGAAAATTTGTCTCTCGTAACATGGCTGAAATCCCAATGATCATCACCCTGCAAGGTGATACCCCAAGTTTATAAACTGGGCGTTTCTCAATAAAGATGATGCCCCCGAATCTGCAGATCTTTTCTGACAAACCTCCGATGTGAGGCCCTCATTTATCATGAATCAACATAAATCAATATAAATCAATGTAAATCAATATAAATCAATATAAATCAATATAAATCGATGTAAATCAATATAAATCAATATAAATCAATATAAATCAATGTAAATCAATCTAAATCAATATAAATCAATATAAATCAATATAAATCAATATAAATCAATATAAATCAATATAAATCAATATAAATCAATATCACGAGTATCAGTTATCATAAATCAATCATAGAATTCTCTATTTTTCTTGGGTTTCAATCCCAAATTTCCCATCCATTTTTGTACTCAACTGCTGACACCCTAGACAAGTCTGTACATAGGCAGACCCTAGAATCCACTTCATAGATGTGGTCCCAATGCTTGGTGATGAGCATTTTTGTTGCTAAAATCATACATATCATAGATATAAACTTCCACATCATAAATCATATAAATCCCGTTAAATCCCTATTTTTCTCGGGTTCAATCCCACACATCTCAACCATTTTTGCTTGGCCAGTTCTCTCGACGTCAGGCCCTCATGCTCTTCCGTGCCTGTTTGGGTGGCGCCGATGCGCGGCAGACCGTGGTGCCGCCCAAGGTGCGGGTACCCAAAAATGGGTGATTTGGGGGTAGCCCTATTTTAGGAACCCCCCATGTGTATAGATATATATATATATATACAATAATAATATACATATGCATATATATATATATGCATATATATATGTATATATGGATGTAAATCTTAATACACATCCACACTCCATCTACATCTGTGTAAAATATATAGTTTCTACATATACTGTATATATATATGCAGACATGATGTATATCGTACTACCATCACATATCTATATATATCCTAAAATCCCTGCAATTCTTTTGATGTACCCCTCCTTTCAGTCGGTAGCGTTGGGAAGCTGTCAGGCACCGGCGGGTGGCCAAAGGAAGCCAACTGACTTGCCGTAGCTCGGCTGATGGGAAAATGACTGGTGCGTTGCGTTTTACGTAGGGAATGGATGGGTTGCTGGGGGTTGCTGGGATGATGAAATTGATAGTTGTTGTGGATCATTCCCGAAAATTCCCGAAATGTTTAGCACCAGTAAGATGATGAACCGGGCTGGTTGCTGGGATTTTCCTCATTGTCAAAGCCACAAGGTTCAAGCAACATGTGGAGTTTGAGGCATTTGACGAATACTGATATAGAACAAGTAGCGGGGTAGGGATTTGACCAAACCTCCGGAGGTTTCAGCAGTGGGGATTGGGGCCATTGGGGATTGGACTTCCAAGAATTTCGGTTCACCCGAAAGTGGGGATTTGATGAGCAACATTTGGGTTTCAAGAAATCTATTATTTGGGAATTGTTTATACCGTCTATTTATGGGATGGTTTATTATTGTTTTAACATGTTTTAACCACATTATTGAATTTCAGAGAGTTGATCACCAAAAAAACGGCTTTGATGATTTTTGAAGATGTTGGGATTTTAGCCATCCCCATGTGGTGATTTCACCAGCAAACAGAGGATCAAATCGGGCTTGTCCAAATTTTCTTTTGAGCGTCACCCGTGGGGACTTAACTTAGTCTAACATCGAGATGTAGCCAACAAGGAATTGGTTAGAATTGACAACAAAGACCGTGTATTTAACCATGAGAAACTCATTTGCAATCAACAAATTTGCAAGGTTCAGCATCAAAGCTGAAGATGTATTATGATGTATTCTTGTGAACATGTCCGCTGACATTTTTGCCTCATATTTGTTGTCATGCAGAGATCCACAATGATATAATTAGAAAATTACTACCAGCTATTTCACTGTTCACTAGGGCATCAGCGTTTTGACATGTTTTGACCCAAAAAATGTATGTAGTGTTCCAATCTCAAGATCATCCCAGAGACGAAAATCACGATGATCATCCCAGGTAAAATAGGTTGTCTATATAATGTTTTTTTTCTTTTTCTGGTTGGTGGTTTGGAACATGAATATTATTTTTCCATATATTGGGAATTTCATCATCCCAACTGACGAACTCCATCATTTTTCAGAGGGGTAGGTATACTATACCACCAACCAGTTTTTGTATATAGTCATAAATTATGTTAAATTCATTTTAGCAATGGCCAGTTCAGGAACCTAAATTGGAGGTACCAATCCCATATACAAGGCCTATTCTTTAGGCCTATTTCTTAGAGAAGATCCCCACAAAATATGGCCTTATTATATGGTACGTTTACGTACCTCCATCTGTTGGATCCTGAGTCATTCCCATTGATTTACCCTCTGGTAATTTAACATAGCTATGGAAAATCACCATGCTATTAATGGGAAAATCCACTATTTCAATGGCCATTTTCAATAGCAAACTGTAAACGTTTACCAGAGGGTAATCTCCATGGATTCCATCGGTGAACTTCCCCTTTCGTCACTGCGCACTCCTAGGTCCATGGCGCACTTCTCTCTGGCCACGAATGCCACGCAGATCGACGACGACGATGATGACGATGTCGGGCGACCTGGGACAATCCCCGAAGAAAATGGAGGTTTTCCATGGGAAAAATCATCCAGAAATGTTTTTTTTTTGTCCATTGCCATGGAAAAATTGGGGGGAAATCTCCGGGGAAAATTCTAAGACATGAATAGAAGCCCATTAAAATCTTGGCTTTGGGTTGAACATGGACCGCAGCGAGCTAAGATAATGGCGGGAATGCTGGAAGTTTTCATGAAATCTTATGAAATCTTGGGATCTTTTTGTGGGATATGGATGAACCTCCAATAATTATGGGGATTTTTGATGGGATTCAACAAAAATAGTGAGTTTCCCATTAAAAATGGTGGTTAGTTTACCAATAATTGGAATATAACTCATCCAATAATTATGGATGCAATACGGGATATGATATGATTTCTGGTTGGTGGTGACTGGAACCATGGATTTTTATATAATTTTATGACTTTCCATATATTTTTTGGGAATTTCATCATCCCAACTGACGAACTCCATCATTTTTCAGAGGGGTGGCTCAACCACCAACCAGATTTAATCTTTGGCTTTGTAGGTAAATGGTAAACCATGGTAAACTATCTTGGACGGTTCTTGGATATAATTTTTGAGTACAATGGGAAAAGAAGGACTAGTGGGGATATCATGGGGATACAATGGAGGTATTTGACAAGTTTATGGAGAGATAATGAAGAATATTTTTCGGATCTGGACCAACCACCATGCAAACTTACCCAAGAAATATAGGTTGAGAATGGAGATATTCATCAACAATCAACAATGGAGATATCACCAGACATGGAGTAAACAATGGAGATATAGCTGAAGCACTGATATCACCAGTGAGTGTTGGACCTTTCGTAAAGGCTCAAATTCGACCAGCGCGCCATGGCCATGTCCACCCAAGTAGCATGAAGTAATCCTGATAGGATGCAACTCCCATGGGGTGAAATCGGATTTCAGCCTGGATAGCATGCCATTCTGGGGTTGAGCCATTGGGTGTAGCCCAGTTTTCCCGTGGACTACATCATTTCGCAGTCTAGCCATCACTTGGGGTAACTTTCCGACTGGAAATGGTTGCCACGGAAATTCGGATTCCATGTTGAGAAACAGCAGCAAGAGGCAACCGTAAGAACATCATAGAATTGGATGATGGGAAAATTTACAGGAAACCCCCATATTTAATGGTAAAAACCATGGTTTCCTGTAGATTTTCCCTTAAACCAATCCATTGAGAACAAGAATTGAGCCATTGAAATATACCCAATTGTTGGTTGCTTGTGGGGGGCGAAGCTGATACCCTCGCAGGTTTATTGGGGATAACCCAGTCGTCCCATTGACAAGCAGTATTTTGTGGGATTGAATAGAAGTATTTGGATACTTCATGACTTGTTTTACTAACAAATCCAGCAGTTGCAATCAAAGCCACTTGTGAATTGTCAAGTTTCTTCAGGTGTGTCTTCAACCCTAACATCACGCGACTTACGGATATGATGCAGATGGAAAAACATGACACACCAGTAGCTGAGCCATAGTATGAAATATGGGTCAGAGTCATAATCACTACATCTCTACGAATGCACTGTCTATCTCTCTTTTTGGGCTTGTCCGCAAAAAATTTGCAGAAATTGTCGCATCAGGTATTCGCAATTTTCCATTATTCTGCCATGATTAAAAACTATCTTTCGAGGGATGCCATTTTATCAAACCCGGCTGGAAACCAATCCGAGCTGACATCAGGCGCGGTCCTCCGTGAATTACTTCGCCTGTCTTAGACGGTAGGCCTTGTTGAATCACTGTTTTTTTTTGTGGATGACTGGACTTCACTGCATCAGGGTTGCTCTAACCCATTAAACGTACCCTCTGGGTATGACTAACATAGCCATGGAAGCCATGGCCCATAAAGAAATAGATGTTTTACCGTTCTTAAAAATGGGTGGATCTTTCCATGGCGAACTGTTAGTCATAACCAGATGGTTTTTTATATGGCCACTTTTTTTTCGGGGGGACATGGGTCAATTGGGCCATGGAGCCCCGAGAGTTGGACAGTCGAGTCAGTCGGGTCAGTCACGGCCTGGCCCGAACCTAAGGAAGCTGGTATTGACCAAGGGTCCGCGAGCTCAGGTTTTGGGGAAACCACGGGGCCCCTTGAAGGGGCCCATGGGGAGGTTCAACAGGATTCTGTTGGTGGATAACACATATTTTATAATCAACAACCATTAATCATTACTCATATTGATATATATATATATATATATATGAGCAACTGTCAAAACTCGCGGATACTTAGATATGTATTGGCTGGACATTGGTTTTCAGAAAGTGCAAAAAACTGAGGTTAGCGATGGGACCTTCCCAAATAGCGATACCCCATGTTGAATTCAATAGTTAATAATTATATTTCATGAGTGTTGATTTCGTCAAGTGCTCGCATTGGTGATAGGCTTGGGCTCAGGGTTGAAAAGGAAAGGAACAGGACGGAAATGAAAAGAAAAAGAAAAGGAAAAGGACAGGAACAGAAAAAGAAACAGGAAAGGAAAAGGAAGACGAAACAGAAAGGAAAAGGAAAGAGAAAGGCAAAGGAAAGAGAAAGAAAAAGAAACGAAAAGAGAAAAGAAAGGAAAAGGAAAGGGAAAGAAAAACGAAAAAAGGAAACGAAAGGAAAAGGACAGAAAAAGGGGAAGGAAAGGAAAATAACAGAAAAGGGAAAGGAAAAGGACGGGAAAAAGAAAGGGATAGTTTCACAAGCAAATGATAATGCACCCGCCTGATTCTGCAAAAAAAACAGGTCGGTTTTAGCGATGCCATAGCGATGCCTTAGCGATACCCAAGCGATACCCAAGTTCACCCAATTGCACAGGATCCCCAACTACTTGTACCTGTACTTCTACTGCTAAGTCTTCTATTGTACTTCTGCTTCTACTACTACTACTACTATTATTTGAATTCCTGCTACTAACGCCAGGATTGTGTTCCTAGCCTTGCAAATATTTCTAATACTTCCTTATTCTTAGTACTACTTTTACCAGTATGTGCGCTGCTAGCACTTCTAGTACTCCTAAAATATTGGCACAATTCATACTAGTAGTACATACAAGTATGAACAGTACTACGAATACAATATCATATCTACTTCAGCTGCGTTTAGCCTTAGCGATACCCCTTGTAAATCAATATTGCGCAATGATGGTAAAATTGCTACGAAACTGTGGTTAGCGATGGGACATTTCCAAATTATGTTGATGTCCTTTTCATGAACAAGGAGTTTTGACAGCCGCACATATATATATATATACATAATATATATATATTTATAATCAACAATGACATATATATATAATCAACAACCATATATTCAACTATTGGTTATCCATTACTCATCCATTAATCAATAGTGACACAATGGATAGTCAATGGATAGTCCCATTCATATCACCTAGTTGGTGGTTTGGAACATTTGGATTATTTTTCCATTCAGTTGGGAATTTCATGATCCCAACTGAGAAACTCATATTTTTCAGAGCGGTGGCTTAACCACCGACCAGTATAAGTACTACGACTGTGGTCTGTTTCATGGACATGGAATGACATGGATACTGTACTTAGATGGGTGAACATAAACCAAACTCAACTGGGAGGATGGCCTCTCTGTAAGAAATATGTGGTGTGGACACATCAGAATCAGCTTTGAAGCAGCTGCTGTAGCTCGTAGCGGCCCGTCATCTTTCAATTCGGGCCTGACCATCTACAGCACATGGATGTTTCAGACAACTGGGTGTTGGCTATCACCAGATATGTTTGCAACATGGTTGAATCAAATCACCGGGTTTTCTTGCGATGGCCCAACATTTTTTTGGTCTTGTTAATACCTGTGAATGGTGTGTGTGTGTGTGTCCCTTTGTTTGCTTCTGCATGGTCGTTTAGCAACTCTCCCGCATTTTGCTTGGTCATCAATCATCTTTCAAGACAGAAACGGTAGGCCCATACGGATGCGTCCGAACATGCGGGTATGCTCCAATAAAGGTTAATTTTAACGGGACAATTATATAGCGATGAATCAATGGATTTTGGGCACCCTATTTTCAGATAACCCATGTATAATATATATATAAACATATTCATTGACCCATGTCCAGATAAATTTTTCACATCTATTCCCCTAATATTTTTCAACATCCCCAAGCAACTTTCTGCAGCAGAATGGACTTATTGGATCTCATCAATCGGGCATCTACCCTCTGGTAATGACTAACAGTTTGCTATTGAAAATGGTGATTTATAGTGGATTTACCCATGAAAAATGGTGATTTTCCATAGCTATGTAAACGTTTACCAGAGGCTATTTAGAGATTTTGTCGAGCGGGTCGATAGGTTTTTTGGGATTTACGGTATCTATCGATCGTTTTTTTCTTTACATCATTGATATAGTCGCCCATCGTTTTGACTACTCTATGCTAACATTGGTTTGTGAGTGTTTTGACGTACGGACGTAATATTGAAATATTATATAATGTTTAATCCATAGCCATTATGTATTCACATATCTATATATATATATACATAGATGTTTGTTGATATGGTTTATTTTATGTACATACCCATTATATCCCATGTATATTTTTGATCCAAACATGTTTGGTGATATAATGGGATATATGGCACATACATACCCCATGTTTGGATATTTTTTGTACATTATAAACATGTCCCATGTATATTATATCCCATGATTTGGTTTAGAAACGGCTTTGTCTAGTGAGGAATAGCCTCAAACGGCAACTGCCATGGTGACAACGGGGATAAATCAAAATTCAGGTACACCATAGCACTCAGCTCCATGGCTGGACATTTAGTCGGATATTTTTCATGAGTTTCCCAATAAAATTTAAAACTTGCATGTAGATACAGATGATACATGGGATTTTCCCATTAAAACTATGGTTTTCCTATGGTTTTCCTATGATTGTCTTTCTAAAACCTCCACTTTCGCCATATTTGATGACACCAAAATGCCGTCACCGGTGTCAGCGTGCGCTACTAGGACTTGGAGCCGCAATGAGCTACGCCATAAGGTGCGGCAGTTCCCGTTGGTGATGAAAACTTTTTTTTTTTTAAACCATGGTAAAGCCACAATCCTTGCCCATAGGATCCATGGTGCTGGTATATATGCTAACATTTGGGGTATATTGATGGTAAATGTTACCACATATAGCATACATGGATCCTATGGGTTGGTGGCTCTGCATCTTTTTCACATCTTTTCTCAACAAGTCTGGGACGTTTTCTAACATCTTTTTCTGAGTACCCTCTGGTTATGACTAACATAGCGAACTGGAAGATCCACCCATTTTTAAGAACGGTAAACCATCTATTTCGATTAGGGCCATCTATACCATGGCAAACTGTTAGTCATAACCAGAGAATAAATCTGCAGTTTTGTTGGCTACGGCCATGGTGGTCTCTGCTCAGGCCATTGAAAACATCCGCCGGCGGCGAAAGAAGCAGCCAGGCCGGCCATAGGGAATCCCCAGGGAATCCTTTCGACTCATGGAATAGGTGAAGTCCCAAGATGCCGAAGATTGGGATTCAATCCAAGAAAATATGGTTGTTTTATGAGATTTTTCATGGGATTTAACCAACAAGATATAGCATATCTGGTTGGTGGTGACTGGAACATGAATGGATTATGACTTTCCATTCAGTTGGGAATGGAATAATGATCCCAATCGACTTCCAAGCAGATTATTTTAGTGGGATTTGTGCTTTTCTATTCTCTTCTATATCTTTTTGTGGATTGCTATCGAAAAATATCCATGATCTTTAAGGGAATCATTTAAGGTCAAGGGAACAGTTGACATTTTTTTGCCGGGCCCCCCAGCCTCGCCTCGATCCATGAACACTTTCCAATTTACTGGGTACCTCTGGTAAACATACAAAAAGCTATTGAACATTGCCATAGAAATAGTGGATTTTCCCATTAATAGCATTGTGATTTTCCATAGTTATGTAAACGTTTACCGGAGGGTAAAACACTCTGTTCAAGTAGATTAGTAGATTGATTTGTTTTTCTATATAGTTTTGCATGTGTTTGCTACGAATGGAGGAGTATATCCTAGCCAGCAAAAAAAAATCATTTGGTTTGCCCGGTAATACCCGGTATCGAAGTCCGGCCTTGTTTACATGCAAAAATGGTGTCCGGAAATTGGGATTTCCGAGCACATGAGTTTCTTTTAAGACACTTCTTATACTTCCTATTCTTGGGCAGTTCAGACATCACTTGGCCGGTAGTTTTATAAGTACTTTAAAAAACACTGGAACAAGGTCATGTGTTGAAATAGAGGGAACCTCGAGAAACCTCGAGAAAGGTGCTTCCGGGCAGACTTCCATAGACTTCCGAGTCGCGAGTTGTGGGATTCACAATTGTGTGGTTGAGTAACGAGGCTAGAAGAACTCTTTAAAACATGCTGTATGATCAACGAAAGCCATGGAAATGTGAACCCTGTCAGTGTACTGTCGTTTTTTTGGGTTCTTCATGAGCCTTGGTGCTCAGACTATCCATATTTTAAGGGTGTTGGAGCTGAGCTATATATGTATAATATATAAACATATTCCTGGGTGTTGGAGTCGGTTGCAGAGTTGGCGACACCTTCAATTTCACACGCAAATCACGCAAAGGTCAAAAAAGCAGCAGCAACAGCAACAGCATACACGTAGACGTAAACACATATAAATCATATAAACACAAACGTAAACACTCACAAAAGAAACCACAAACATAAACACAAACATAAAGGACATACTATATATATAATGTACATCATTGAACATCAACATTGAAGTGTGCCTCTCAAATAACCACCGTTGTCGCATGGCTTGCCCCTTGCCTCCGCGCTGGGGCCCGGGGGAGGTAAGACGACCATCGACAACCCGCGATCAGACTTCGAGGGCGACGAGGGGATGAAGTCGGGGCCCTTGGTTCGATCGACAGTCGGAGAGTTTTTCGATGTTTTTCGGGAAAAATGGGGGGAGGATAACGGGATCACCATATAAAAAAGGGAAGATTCTAATGGGAATTCTGAATTTTAATGGGAACGTTTTTAGATTTCAAACAAAGAAAAGGGTGATGATTTTAATGGGATTCGAATGGGATTTTCATGGGATTTCATGGGATGAAGGTACGACGTATCTGCTTGGTGGGGTTACGAACCTACCAATTTATGGTTGTTTTATGGGATTTAATGGCTGGTTGGTGGTGACTGGAACATGAATTATTTTTCCATTCCCTCTGGTTATGACTAACAGTTTGCCATGGTATGGAAAATGGCCCATAGAAATAGATGGTTTACCGTTCTTAAAACTGGATTATGACTTTCCATTCAGTTGGGAATTTCATATTCCCAACTGACTTGAACTCCATCATTTTTCAGAGGGGTGGCGAAAAACCACCAACCAGGTATGTTGGAGTTCGAAAAAAATCATGATTTAAGCAGCAACCATGAGGAAAACCGTGTGATTGAAACAATAAATTAATGGTTTTTTTCATGATTATTTTGGTGAGAGTTGAAAGCCCTGGGCCTGGGCCACATCAAAATGACACCTGTGAATTTGGTGGCTTGAAAGTTTGGGGATGCCACATCAGTTGGCACATCCACACGGCAGCGGAAGCCCGAAAAAAAGGGGCGACGTCGCCATCCTCACCAGCTGCTGACCATCCTTTCTCACTCGGCGCCAGATCTTCCCATTCGCAAATGGCTTTTTTTGACCGTGTGGATGTTGGTTTAATCCCATATTTTTTGCAGCTAAATGAATGGATATTAATACCATTTAATACCCAGAAATGGGTATTAATCCTAAAGAAATGGGTGTTAATCCTAAATGAAATACCCAGGACATCAATACAACCTCCAAAATCTCATTTGAAATCTCGTGATGAATCATCATATTTTCCCTACGGTATACCAACAGACATTTTATGTGTATCTCGCAATCCCCCATTGATACCAACATGAAATTTGAAACTCACCGAAAGTTGGTTTAGTCCCCACTTTTTATGACTTTTAGCAGTTTGATTTTCCACACCCAGCCACGGCACGTTTATAGCTTAGCACTATGAACGTATTGGTTAGGATATTCACCAGCTATATACCCTCTGGTAAACTAACATAGCTATTGAAAATCACCATTTTGTATAGGTCAATCCTCTTTTTTAAGGGGCAATTTTCCAGTTCGCAAACTGTTACAGTCATTCCCAGAGGCTACATGTCTTCCGATGCCGGGCATCGGCTTCGGCCACGCCGCATAAATCTCCGCATCTCCAAGGAGAGAAGGATCCTTACCATCCAAGGATACCATTACTGGAGGCTGGGGCAGAATCTGGAAATCCAGCGGCTGGGTCAACGGAAAACCACCAGTATTACTTAATATATAGACAATATAGGGTTAATATATTATATGATATATGATATATACCACATATTAGACATTTTTTACAAACACATTATAATAAGTCATTTTATCATTTAATGTGGATAAAACAATGCCATAAACAAACCATGTTTACCATCCCCCAGTCAGAAAACCATTTTTATAGGTGCTATGTTTACCCACATCATACGTAGGATCCATGGAACTAGGAAATTAATTGAAATCGAAGCGAATATTTTTTCATCCTAGCTGCGATCGGGGTAGTTCACATGGGTGGATCATCTAGCCTTTGGTAATTTAACAGTTTGCCATTGGAATAGATCTCAATAGATCTCATTCAGTTCGATGATAAATGCGAAAAAATCATGATGATTTCCCCCTAGCTGTTACCCTCTGGTAATTTAACATAGCTATTGAAAATTACCATTTAGTTCGTGGATTTTTCCATTGAAAATGGTGATTTTCCATAGTTATGTAAACGTTTACCAGAGGGTAGCCATCAGAGGACAACTCCTTAGGATTTGTCGAGCCGTCATGCCGTGGTCTACGAAAACATGGTCGAGCCGGCTGGAGGATTTGACGATCCGACGTGAAGAAAAGTCCGGTGATTGGAAGTCCTCTAAGTGGATTATCCTATAACCCTTACCCGATAAACCACAACTAGTTACTGGGTTCTACCCCCTCCAGGTGATTGATAAATATGATAAGTGGATTTTTCATAGATTCTCACTAGAAGCCAGTTACTACTGTAACCGTAACCACTTCCTATATGGGAGAAATCCTGCAAGTATGATCATTCTGCGTCAGCCTTGGATGGGTGCTTCAGTACTTGAATATTTTGCTGTGGTATCATATATCTATTCATACTAGCAAGCTAAACAAAAACACATGCAACATATAGATAGATAGATAGATTAGATTAGATTAGATAAGATAAGATAAGATTAGATAGATAGATAGGATTAGATAGATAGGATTAGATAGATAGGATTAGATAGATAGGATTAGATAGATAGGATTAGATAGATAGGATTAGATAGATAGATAGATAGATAGATCGATCAATAGATAGATAGATAGAATAGACTAGATAGATAGAATAGATAGAATAGATAGATTAGATAGATAGATAGATAGATAGATAGATAGATAGATAGATGGATAGATAGATAGATAGACAGACAGATAGATAGGATAAGATAAGATAAGATAATATAATATAAGATAAGTTAGATCGATCGATCAATCGATAGATCGATAGATAGATAGATAAATAGATAGATAAATAGATACTAATCACCTAAAGCAAAGATATGTTTTTGGTCCTAAGATTGGCTAAACAAAAAACGGTATCCCAAGGTCGAACTGTCACAGGTGATGCTCAGTTCAGCAAAAGTCCCAGCCAGCCGGGCAACCTGGAACAGGAAATCGGGATGAATCAATGGTAGAATATGGGAGAGAAATGGGGATTTAAGCAACTTAATATGTGCCATGGTTTTTCGTTGTTTCAAATGGTTTTAACATGTTATAACATGATTAGCTTGTTTTAAGCATCAAACATTGGGATATTGATATAATCCAGAAATGGTGGCGCGTTGATGATAAATATGATAAGTTCAAAGGATATAGTGTGCTGATTATAGTAGATTCTGTCTGATTGCCACATACCCTCTGGTAATTTAACATAGCTATTGAAAATGGCCATAGAAATAGTGGATTTACCCATTAAACATGGTGATTTTCCATGGCTATGTTAGTTTACCAGAGGGTAGATTCTGTCTGATTGCCACATATTTATGGGAAACTACTCAGCGAAGCAGGAGCAGTTTGGGACCGGTCGGACGGGTCATTAATTCACCCATTTGCGCATGTGCGACGTGTGCTACTAATCACGAAAATGATTTATGGAATGCCGTTTCCATGTGGCATTTGTCTCACAAAAGATAGTTTACCCTTCAGTAATCAAACATGGCAATGGAACATCACCCATTTATAGAGGATGTTCCCATTAAATCCTCCATTTATGGTGAATTTGCCATTGCTACAAGTACGTATGTTTGATTACCGGAGGGTAAGGATTTTGAGGGGAATATTGCAGAAACCCTTTAAGTGTTTTCCTTGAATTGACAAAATGATATGGCCTTCCTGTAAACGTTCCTAGATCTTATGTATATATGCATACTATCAACATAACATGTGTATATATATATATACACAATGTGTATGTATATATACAAATATGTGTAGAATTATATATATAGATATGTAGAAAGAAGCTTTGGTAATATTTGAAGGTTTTTGACCTGATCCATCTAAGTACCTGTTGTCAAACTCAATATATGTATACATACATATACATTGACAGACATACGGGTAATGTGTTGAGATAACTTGATAGGCAAACACATTAGTCATGCGGATCCAGGGCCGGAAAAGATGACGAGGCAGTGGGACCCTGCACCGGGTTTTGTTGTTTCATGGGACACCCTGAAAATACTGAAATTGAACGAGGCCGAAAAACTGAAGCCGAAAAACTCAAGCTTTGGACAGTGCCAAAATGGCTTCCCATCCCTCTCATATCTCTCATGAGGTACCAGATTGGATTGCACTTCCCCAAAACCCCGAACTGGCCCTGCATAATATTTTTTATACCACCCCAGAAACCCTCGTTTATGGCTTCTAATCATTTTGGGGTCGCGTATTGGGGGTAATGGTTATAGAGTTATACATGCTAACTGTCGAGCATTATACACCCGTTTCGATGTTGATTGATTTTCCCTGCAAATTTCATGACCAGCCCCAAGAATCTTTACGCTTTTTGGCCCCAAGATACGATGAAAGATGGAGGAGTAAATCCCTTCTGAATCCTACCTTCATGGCTGGCTAATCCCCATCATCATCTATTGCTGGTGGGTTTTCCAGCAATGTTTGATTAGCCTCACTTTTCTATCAGGGGTTGCTATTCTTCCAAGACCTTCGAATGGAGTGGTCCAAAAAACCACTACTTTCTCGTTCTTCTTAGATTTCCTCTGTGAATTATGATTGATACGAATTTTGTAGATAATGACATCTCCGCTTTTTCATTTTTTGTTTGTTCATCATCCATGGTCTCAATGTTCAATTGCTCACCATTTGTCCTACTTGGGTGTGCATCCCAATTAGTAGTTGATAAATGTCAATAGAGCATATATTACTGGCATATATCTCACTAATCTAGCTGGTTTATTTCACTGAAAAAAAAACTTTGCAATTGGGCGCGCATACTTGATTATAAGATATTATAAGGTTAAGTCCCAGTTTATCCCATTCATTGTACTAGTTAAATCGTGTTAAATCCCGATTGTGACGATTATTTTGCAAGTGGAATAATTGACAACAAGTTAATAACCAATCTAAATTGGGGAAAACTCTTAAGAAAAATCCCCATTGTGAGGGTTAAATCACATTTAATCACCATTGATTACCCATCAACCGGCAGGGCGGTCGCGATGACATGTGGTGGCGCGGGGCCGGCCGGGAACGCCGCTCCAAGTGACGCTACGCGGTTCCGCGGAAGAGCCGCGGTTCGGTGGACGTTTCGACGGGGCGACGGGGTGGCTGCGGACTGGTGCTTCGTTTGGTAGTTCTTTGCAACTTCGAAAAATAGCCAATGGAATATGAAAATAGCTGGTATTTCTTTCAAAAAATGGATGGAACATAAGAAATGCCAATGGAACATGAAAACAATGAATATAGTTCAAAAAAATCAGACATGAGGAATGGATGAAACATGAGAAATGATCAATGAACAAGAAATACGGATGGCTGTACAATGGTTGCGATCTTCGAAGAAAATGCAAGAATCTCTACTTGGCTACGGTTGCGACATTCTGAATTTCAATATTTCACTGCTACCACATCTTCTGATTGATGTCAAACGCCGCATGTTGCCACCAAGTCTCAAAGTTGGTAAAAGTAGTAGTTGGGTACCTACCATGGTGATGGTGAAAGTCGACCGAGCTGGCTGGAAACACAATCTGGCCAGGAATTCTCGAAGAATTGGATGGTGATGATCGGTTGAACCATGCATTTGCTGGAGATTTCCCTTTAAAAAAACCAAGCAGTAGGGGGTGTTGGCAGCATTTTCAGTGGCTTTTTTCGTTGATTCTAACCGGCCGCTGCAAAAAAACACCGCAGCTCACCCACACCTGGGCAGATGCACGAACTGTTTGGTGCTGGGGTGCGTTTTTTTGGGAAAGTCTGGGGCAATTTAATACCATGCAGACAGCCATTGAGTAGGACATTATTTTAGTGAACTCATTGAGGATTCTGCTAGAACGATGGAGATTGAACAAAGGGTCCATGAAATGCAGAGCCTGTGCATGTGGGCTAGTCTGAAAATTGGCTAATTACATGTAATGACTCAAAAATCGCATTGTTTTCTGAGTTGCCACATTTGATAACTGGTTGGTGGTTTGGAACATGTTTTATTTTCCACAATATATGGGATGTCATCCTTCCCATTGACTTTCATGTTTTTCAAGATGCTTGAAACCACCAACCAGATAAGAGTAAAACCATCACTACTAATAAACCATCCCCCAAATCACCATGAATTGGTGGCATAGACCATTCCCAAACGGGTGGTTTATTATTGCCACATTATTTGATAACCAGACATTGGAAAATTCCTGCAGTCAGGCAGTTCTCCCTGACATTCTTGGTGAAATCCTCAGTTTCTTCCATTGCCGTCTATTGTCGATGATATACCATTGTATTATCCAGTAATATGATATGGATATACCAGTATATATAGTAGATAATATGGTATTAAGATATGGATAATATGGATATGGATATGATATATATATATATATGGATATTTTTTTAATATGGATATGGTATCAAGATATGATCCCATATTTCCAATTATGATTTACCATATTATATCCCCATCATGAATTATTCCCAACTCAGCACCGGCAGCCACTGATTCTCCACAAGTCTCAAACTGCCGAAGGCAGTAGAGACGCGGCGGGAAGTTGTGGAAGGAGATAAAAAGGCAGTAGTTGGATGGGACTAAACCAGTCATTGTATAGATTAACCCTCGAACATGGCGAAAAATGTGTTTTAAGTTTCATATCTCATAGGATCCATGTATGCTATATATATGGTAACATTTACCATCAATATACCCCATTTATGTTAGCATATACACCAGCACCATGGATCCGTCATGGGTATGGGATTTAATCAATGGAAATTAGGATTTTACCATGACAAATTGGGACTTCAGCAGCCCCATTTTTTTGGGATTTTAGCCATGTGAAGCATGTGGATTCAACGGGCTCTTTAAAAGATGACTAATTGATGATATTCTGGTGGTTTCCACTTTTCCTTATGAACGTGTAACGAGCCTATAGAATTCATATAAAGATAAAGAAGGGATTTTGCATGAATAAACCAGCCGAAATGGAGATTCCAGCAATACGGGGGATGTTTTCAAAACACGTTTTGTGATGTTTTGTTCACATGGGTCGCGTTTTTCAAATGTCGCAATCCAAGAGGATCGTCCCCAGTGATGTTCGGATGGCCGGTGCTTGGGATGTTGGGATGAAATTCAACCAGCCATGGAGGTGTTCAACCGTGAAAACTTGGGGGTTTAAATATGCACACATTGGGGATACCCGGCCTGGTAAACATACAAAAAACGATGGAAAATCACCATGCTATTAATGGGTAAATCCACTATAAATCAGCATTTTCAATAGCTATGTAACAAATTCCCAGAGGGTAGCGTTAAGGATGTACTGTAAAAGGGAATGTGATGTTTACAAAAGAATATATGAAGCGAGAAGGGAGATATGGTGACAAGAAAAGAAACATAGGGTGACCATTAACAAGCGAGATAGAACCACAACAATGCGGGACATGTCAACAAGTGCGGTTGGTTTGCTGCAAATAAACTATATATAATTGTTAATTTAGGACGCCGCTAAAGCAGCGGTGTTTTGCTTTGGTTGTTGGTGCGTGTGTCATCGTGTATTTGTGTTTGGCTGAAACGTGTGATACCCCTCAATTTTGATGGGTTGTTATCATTTTCCTCATCAATGTTCATTAATTACTTTAGAACATGTGGGGGTATACACCATTTTCAGGCACCCAAATGTAATATTGTTGGGCATCATCCCATTATATCACATGTTTGCGTGTTAAATCCCTATGTCGATTGGTGAAATCCTTATATATCTGATTATCTGGTTGGTGGTTTGGAACATTTTTTTCCATATACTGTATTGGGAACCATAATCCCATTTGACAAATATTTTTTAGAGGGGTTGAAACCACCAACCATATATATAATATTGTTTTTCTGCATAGTATAGATGGTTGGCTGAGTCGGACTTCTTGAGAAACAACCAACAGTTAAATGTGTCTAAGTGTTTTTGGCCCCCGGCTAGACACCACTACATAGTCTCTGCTTGTGAAAACGATGAAGTGTGCATGTATGGGCACATGTCTTTTTGCAACTGAGTGAAGACATGTGTATAGATTCTATAGATGCTTGCAGCTTGCATATTAGATCATATGCGAGAAACCCATGGAACCAGCATTTTGTTGCCCAACAATTTGCCATGAACAACCCTGGATGGATTGTTGCCATACACAACTCTTTTTGTTGACTTGTTGGGAATCACATGGGGGTTTCTGAAAATGGGGGTCCCCAGTCGTCAACATGGTTGTTTCAATACTAAGTCATGGTCTAATGACTTGGATTATTTGGTGTTACCCCCATGACTGAGGAAAACTCCACATGGGTAAACACCATCTACCTCCTCTGAATCGTGAAAATTAGCAGGGATCAAAGCTAGGCCGAGGACATCCCGATTAGCTGGTGATAGAAAATATACCAACAGCTATCCCGCAAAAAGATGCACACAGTTTTGTAGATAGCTTAGAGAACTATATCAATAGAATATATCAATAACTATTTACCAGACTATATTATGAATCATTGTTTGATATCAATCATGAACTCATTTCAGGTTGTGAACTATGAGAATATGTTATACTGGTTGGTGGTTTGGAACATTTTTTATTTTCCAGAATATATGGGAATAATACTCCCATTCTAATGCTTTTTCAGAGGGGTTGAAACCACCAACCAGTATAATTCATCCAGATACACGGAGGCATTTGAGCATGAGAATTCGTTGCAAAAAGCTGAGGCACGGCCGACTGAAGGGCCGACGCGACTCAGATGGCAATCTCCAAGTGACTCCCAATTGATATAGGGGTTGTGGCTGAACATAGTGCTCCTAAATCCACTGGTTGATCATAATTTAGAGCCTTACGTTCCTAAACTTAGACATATTTCTAGATGTTAAAATTGGCTACATCCTCTAGAGTCAACGCCCCTTGGGTCAAAAAATAAAAGCCGAAAACACAATTCCATCCCATGGTTTATCATCACTTTTGTTCGTTCACATAGAGAGTTGGGGCTATACCCCGTTTTTTTGAACACCAAAAATATTGTGCTGGTTATCTTCCTATCATTTTTCCATGTTTCCCCATGGTATTTCCACAGTTGTTGGTTGAATTCCTGTGTTGGTTGGATTTTTTATATAGTAATTTTCATGATCTGCACACGACTCCCATCTCCCTAGCATTAAATACCTCCTCAAAGTTGGGTCTATTGGAATTTGAGTGTCTATTTGGGGTTATTTAACAGGGGAACAGATTATACCTGTATAGTATATATATATAATTATATATATATTATATATATATATTATATTATATATATATTATATATATATGCATGCATAGACTGTACGGATATTGAATACATGGAGCAACTTGGAGATCTCTCTTGGTATTCATTGGCATTTGCATGTTGATCGTCCTATATCTCACAGGTGCAACTTTCTCAGGTGAGTTTTACCAATTCCTCCCCACAAACATGGCACACATGTGAAAGACCAGGAAAGTGGAAACTGTGTTCTTTGATTGGAACTCTAAACATTATTATATCTGGTTGGTGGTTTGGACCATTTTTTTGGTTTTTCCATATGTTGGGAATAATGATCCCAGCTGACTTTCATATTTTTCAGAGGGGTGGCTCAACCACCAAGCAGATATCCTGATTTAGCAGGCACTCGGTTCATCCCAATTAGAACTAGGCGAAGCCCAAGCCACTAAGACGATCCTGAGGTGAACCAAACAGATTTCCCATCTGGATCTAAAAATGTTGTGGACCCAAAAAATTAATGGCTTAAGTCACAATTTGGCTTAAGTTAAGTAGTTAAGATCCAATTTCTATACCTCATTTTCAGATAATTTGGCTTAAGTTAAGTAGTTAAGTTCTCATTTGTATCAGATACACCCACGTTTTTTTCCGGTTCAGTCGCCTGAAAGCTTCAGGAAATCTGGTGCTGCTGACCTGCATGGCCAAGCCGGGAACCACAGGGGATCAGACCTGGCTTGCTGGCGCTTCGCCAATGCCGCCTGGCTTAGTTGGGGGGTTCGGAGATGTGTTGATCATGTCACATAAACATATTGTAACTATGTATCATTGTGTATATATATATATACATATATATACTGTATACAATGATACAAACTGATAAATACTGGGTCCAATGCATATATATATATATACATAAATGTATTGTATATATATACACATTGTATATATATATATATATATGCGTGTTCCCAAAGATGGGTTGATTCTTGCAGCATCGATTTTTGATCTAAACATATGCTTTCGGGTTTGGGTGTTGACAGATTAGGTTAATCTTTGTATGTATATATGGGACATGAAAAGAGAGAACGGAAGAGATGTTTGGGACTGAGCATGCTGGGCCATGATTTGAGCATGACAGAGTCTCTTTGCCAATCACACTCGCCCAATCATAACCCAAATATGGAACCCCTTCCACCAGCAAGTCTTGAGGCTGCTTATGTTTGATATCCCAAACAATAGGTAACATATATATATATATATGTCATATGTTTGTAGTTCAAGGTATATATACATATATGGTCAGTATATGTTAATAGTGATATAGTGGGAGAATAGTGGTTGATAAATGGATTACGCTCTGGTGATTTAACTGATTTAACTTAGCTATGGACAATGGTCCATTCATCATAAACATATGATTAACATGATGATTTAGCTGTTAAAATGTGGTGTCTTTCCAGTTCGCTACGTGGAAAATAAGCACATGGTGCAACGCCCCACATCCATGGGGGTTTGCCACTTTTCTTGTTTTTGCTTTATACTGAGATGATTTTGCAGTGTCTGTATTTTGTCACACCTTGTTACATCTACGGCTCCAGGGGTCGAAGCTGTTTAACCACATTGGCACTGCCAGAAATCTCTCCTGTGAGCAATATATATATATATATAGAGTAAACCCATCTAACTACAGAGGTGTCCAACCTAGTCACACTAGCTATAAACCATTTTTGCTATCATAAATCAACTATGAATCATCATTTTTGATGGTTACATTTTTCAAAGGTGTTTAGGGCTCCACCTAAGGTATGTGTGGTTTGCCTATCCTTTGGAGACTTTAAATTTAGGGTGCATCAGCCATGGCTTTCACTATTGCAGCGCGGCTTGCGGCCACCAAAGCTGTCGTGCCGGAGGAAATGCCTCTGAAGTCCTGGATTGTCTGGTTCTTTGTTTTGATGGAATCTGGGCCGTTCAATCGTTAGCGGGATTATTTATGGTTGGGATAGCTATTGAAAATGGACCATTTAAGGTTGATTTACCTATTAAACATGGCTGGTTGGTGGTTTGGAACATGAATTTTATTTTCCATAATATGTGGGATGTCATCCTTCCCATTGACGAACTCCATCATTTTTCAAGATGGTTTTTAAGCACCAACCAGTTATGGTTGGGATAGCAAAAATGATGACTTGATGGTATTTCATGGGATGTGGGGGTAGAATTGGAATTGGGATATAATTGGGACACCACCATAGGTTGGGATGTAACCACGAAGGCTTGGTGGTTTCATCTAACTTCGGCGGCGATGATGATCCCTAATACAACTATGTTTCAAGTTGGTTAAGCACCAACCAGGAATAGCCATTTGTTTGACATGTAATTTCTATATTTTTCTTTTATATATATATACCTATTCGAATTTGATGATAGTTTTATCTATGATCCATACATCCGCAATTTCTTACGGGAGAATCATCCTTCAATGGGATTGTTAGGAAGATAGCACTAGATAAGTGTTCCCGGTGCTTGGTGATGCCGTTGAGATTGGTCTTTTGTTTGTTGTTCAACAGGGAAGTTTGGACCGTAATCTGGATGAATTATAGCGATGCTGCAAATGCTGCTTAGCATCGGGGGGGACTCCGAAAACGGCCTATCTCTGATTATCTCAGTAATTTGCCAGGAATTTCCTTTCTGAAAACAGTAGACTGTCAATCAATGATGTAGACCTTTTGGTTTGTATCTTCCTGGAACCAACCAGCCAACATGGGAGTTTACCATAATTGCCTAGGTGTTTAACAACTCGGAAATTCAAAGGGACAAAATGGTGGATGGACCAAGCTAAATACAGGGAGGGTTGTTTTAACCAGAAAACATGGGGATTCAACCAGAAAAAATACCTTGATGTGGCTTGGGGGCAGACCTGAAAATACTATTGATATCTATTGATCCAGAGATTATGGTCAGTAAGGAACACCCCCAAAATGGACATAATGTCTTTATGTGATTAGGGAATTATCACCTAGAATGCTGATGAATGCTGATAAAGGATGATAAACGATGATGACGAGTGATGAGAGGATTTTGATGGAGTTTTATTTTACGGTTTCCAATGTTTTTAGCCGCTACTAGAAGAAGCAGCCCCACCTAGATTCACGCACACGCAAGTTATGATTGTTGTGTCCACAGATAACCCTCCCAACCACATTTTTTGTTGCATACATATTACAAAGCGTGTCGTAAAACCTTTCTTCTCTGGGGCTGGGGAGGGGTGACGATGCATTTGAGTTTGATGTGCCAAGGAAGTGGGAAGCCTGGGAACGTTCCTTCAGTGGCCCAGAGCAGAAGCAGGTTTTTTTATTGTTTTTCTGTGCAAGGTACCCTCATTATATGGAAACCCCACCAAGACATGGAAGATCGTCATCACAGTTTGGGTAGGGTTTCCACTGCAACCTTCACTACCATCCCAAGCAGAAGCCTTGTGTTGTTCGTTGACTTGGGGTCCTGCAATCAAGTACTCAGTACTATTCCGCGCCGGCTCTGAGAATAAGCATGATAAACATATATGTGTTTTCTATGTGGCGAATGGCAGAGTTCGTGACTGGACAGAAACCTATTGGGATAGCCATAAAAAAGCTCTTTGTCCTGACACGGTTGGGCCTGCTTGGCACTCGAGGCTCGGATATTTCGTCCATCCGGGACTGCTTCTTATTCCGGCCTTTCTGCAGGCGCGGCCAAAAATGCCGCACTTGGTTACAATTTGAAGTCTAAGTGTGCTAAGCCTACTTACCCTACTGATAATTGGGATTATAAATTAAACAACTTTCATTACTGGGGTGAACCACCAAGTTCATCCCTGCTGTTTTCATGGGTAAACAATGTTAAACAACACTTGTTTATGGTTTAAACAGCAATTTTACATGGTCATTCCACATTTTTTTATGGGTTACGCCCCCATGTTCATGGTTGGACCCACCTGGAGACACCCTGCAGGTAACACTAAGTGCTACCAGAGCGGCAATGCAAACGAGTCACAGTTCGTCCTTGCATGACCCAAGAAGCTTTGGATACTTCATGGGAGATCTATCTTTTACCATCAACAGATAGACAAGTGATATATAAACCAATGATGACCAATGTACTATATTGATATATCACAGTATATAACTATTTTGGCGGATTTTACGAACTTCCATCTTTTGAGGATGACTAGATGATGTGATATGGATCTCTTTAGCAAATATGGGGAGATAATGGAGATATAATGGGGTTATAACTGTAGCAACAATGGATATGTCATGGTGTTTTGTTTTTATCCAGCAACAATAAAGGAGTATATTCAGCAATCCAAAAGCGTTGTGGAATACTCAGATGTTGACTTTGTATATTTTCCACGGGATGACCCATCAGAAATGAGGAATCTACCCTCTGGTAAACATACAAAAAGCTATTCAACATCACCATTTTCACTGGGTAAATCAACTAGAAATGGGCATTTTTCAATGGCAAACTGTTTGTTTCCCAGAGGGTATAGGGAAAGTGAATGTGTTCACTTTTTTCTTGGAGACCCTGAAGCAAATCCAAGGAAGACAAGTGTACTTTGCACTCTTCAGCCAGGGATTTTCAGCCTTTGGCTTAGCAAGGCGTGGTGGGAGGGCTAGCTCAAATGAGCACTTTTCAAAACCTCTGTTGGTTATGATTACAGGAGATTTCACCATTCAACATATGAAGGACTCTATCATCCATTGTAGGAATTCAGCTCTTAGCCAAGCAAAATGGAATGACAATTCGGATTTTGAACGCCGCTTAACTGTGGAGTTTTTTTCAATTTGATGAGTGTCGGCTGTTGGTTCTTGGGCTGGCCATGGCTCCATATGGCTCCGACAGGCCTCTGAATTGTCAGCCCAGATGAGGCTAAATCCTGGTTGATTTGGCATATGATATCATTAATGGTGGTGAATTTGGGATTTAGAGTCGACATTTCCAAAATTCCGATGAATTTCGGGATGTTGCGTTCATCCCCAAATGATCATGGCTTGTCATGGCTTGTCACGCCATGTCACGCCTAAAAACCCCACCGGGACATCTGCTCTGCCGGGGAGGCGACAAAAAGCAGCTACGACCTTTTACATTGGCACCACTTTGCTCAGAGTTGGCTGCTTGATTCCAGTCCTCTTTTTTCTGATTGGTAGCAACATGTGTGAAGCTCCAATTGATCGTGGGGCTGGGAGAAGCTATCCGAAGGTCTGGAAGGCGGAGAATGGCATCAGTGGCATCCACGAATTTCGCGCAGAGCTTTGCAAAATCTACGGCGAGCCGCCGTGCAGGTGTAACTTTTTGTATTTTTTGGTTTTGTCTGATGCTTATCTTACTTGTGCTTAGTAGGGAATGAGGGAATGAACCACAATAACTATCAGTAACTATCAAGAATAATCCCATTCCCCGATTCCCATCCATTCCCTATACTAAGCACCAGTAAGTTATTGATGTTTGGTAAACTGCTGAACCCACAGCCCACAAAGTGCGGATATATATACTATGATACCATGCTTCCAATGACAACGCTCTCAGAGTGAACCAAGGTGACGCGAATAGCTTGTGCGACGTTTCAGCATTTTCCTGTTTTGAATTGAGCTGCTTCGGATATTCCGTTTGTGGCCCTGGGTTCAATAAGGATTTTTGCGTGGAGACCCCGGGACGATGCCAATTAACATGTTGGAAGTACACACAGTGCGAAGAGACCCGAAAGGCAAACGATTTGGTGGAACTACCGAACATGCTTCAAGAGTCCTGTATGCTCCACGACTTCGATTTTTTAAAATTCCAAGCTTGCGCAGCAGAAAGTAAACTGTTAAACTCATGTAATGCGCGAGCTAGTGCGTGTAGACTGCCTTACATGTCAAGAAGTTTTGGAGATGGCATCTTCTTTTTCTACATCTTGCTGCCAATGTTTTGTTTGCTTGGGTGGCTACTGATTTTTATATTGAGCTCCATATATTTCCGAGATGGTTTTCTAATCACCGCGGAAGAAGACAAAGATCGGCGGAAAACCGTTCGGAGAAGGGCCATGAAGCTTGGACGTGAGATGCTCCAGCAGAAAGCAACGCTGATGGAGCGAACAAGGGCGTACTTGGCTCTAGCAATGTTTTGTTTCGATTTAGCATCAGATGGGAGCTGCCTCGCGGGGTTTCTTATGACAGGCCAGTGGGGGTTTGCAGCTGCCCAGGCCAGTATAGTGCTGGTTGCAGCTGCAACAGAATTCTGGAGAGGAAGCCCTCGGGAGCTACTGGAAGCCTTCACAGATTTTAGACAGACGGGCGTGCCACCGGACAAATTCCTGTCCATCATACAGGCGGAGCAAGGTCTGGAAGCTCCTCTATCATTTCTATTGCAATACTACAGCGCATTTTTTACGTCTGGATCTGAATGGGCGTTCCTCAACTTGTGCTTCTCCATATCCATGAGCCTCTACGGCATCTCCAAAGGCGTGTACGACAACATCCATCTCAACATGGAAGCAGCATTTGATGCGGCAGAGTTGCTCGACCAGGACTCCGCCTCGGAACCTCCAACGCCTCACGCGCAGCCTCCGGCAGTGGTGGGTTTTCCGAGTTTGCCTCCCGGTATGGCACAGCCGCACCAAACCTCGGTCACCCCGTTGCCGCCCCCCCCAGGCATGTCGCCCGTCATGGCGTTGGCAGTCACGCAGCCACCACCCCCCGTTGGGCCCATCCAGCTCGGGGGACCAGTCAAGGACACGGAGTGAGATAGAACATGGTTGAAAAGTTTCACATGGTTTCACCATGTTTCACCGGAATTCGCACCCCAAAATTGTGGGGATTCAAACGAGCCCTCCAGCTGTTCGCCGGACAGACGTGGGCTTACGCAAAGTCCAACTTTGAAGCTGCCAATGTATTTTCAAGATGGACATGCAATAACATGCGCACCTGGTGTTTGCCAAGGTGTCTTTGCTGTTGTTTGGGTTGTACATGATAATGGCTGAATGAATTCTTGCGGTCACAGTAGGAGTCGAAATATGTTCACCCCAAATGTCCCGAATGAATCCTTGACTGTGGCAAACACCAGAAACAATTTTCAAAGGCGACGCTGTGCTGTGTTCAATCAGGGTGTTGCATGATATTGCAAAAATGCGATTGGGAGTTTTGTGAGGTGCCGTCCTGATGCTACTGCATGCTTTCTTTTGCTCCACATACATCAGGAATCTGTTCAAATTTTGTGAATGTGCATGGTTTTTGTTGTCATTGGTTTCAGCACTAAACTTGAGTTTTTGTTTATTCCTAGGTGCTTTCTACTGGGGCATTCTTGATCAATGGTGATTTGCCACATCCCTAATCATAGTTGACATACCACCAGTTGTTCCGTTGTCACCCAATCATTTTGTCAAGTGCCGGTGCTCTACTTCCTGTGGTTTTTGTTTAGGTGTTTTTTTTCATATCCATTTCCAGAATCATCTCACTCAGCGAGTGGTAAATGATGGTAAATGAGCATTGTCACCAATTCCCTCCCTACTCGTAGGAGTATCAAACTTCGAAGCCGTGCTTTATGAAAGCTGCCAACCACTTAACAACTTAGATGATCGTTGAAGTACCTGGGATGATGAGCCCCAGTTAACTGAATTGTTTGATTTGCACCCTTTATTTTTTGGACTGGTGATCGCGCATGATTTTGAATGTTCTTGAAGCGCGCTGAATCTACCAATGAGAACTTTTAGGGCATGTTAGGGCATGTTAGGGCTGCTTAATCCAACATCAATCAATACAACCCTAAAACCATATCGCCGCTATAGCCGAGGTGAAATGCCCAATAATACTAACGCTGTAACTATGGTTATTTCTTAGGATCAGCTGAAGCCGCCAGCAAACCACTCAATGGCTTCACATCCCGCCATGTTTGGACCACGGCCCAGGTCGCGTTGCTGACACTCCGACGGAGTTGCAGAGTTTTCAGCGGCTCCGAGTGAATGGGTTCGCTACTGAGAGCGTCACCGCAGTCACAATGCGGAGTCCCCCCAGGTAAAAGTTGGTTCGCGACCCCCCATTGCCTTCAGGTATAGTTTGGGTTGGTTTAGCAATTCCAATTTATAGTGAAACCACGTTAAAACTTCCAAGTGAGCCACTGAACTGCGGCATCACATTGTAGCTAGTTCACCCCAGTTGTAGCTGAACCAACCCTACTTACCGTACTTGGAACAGGGGTTACTAACTGGGATGCGCCCGCCGAAGTATCCAAGAGAGCTCATGTAGATTCAACAAACTGTCGCTGGGTCTTTTGGCAAAGAATCTTTCAATATTGTGGTATCGAAGTGATTAACGACTGTAGCAGCTGAGTTGCTGGCACTTGATTGGTGGTGAATCTCTATATAAAGTGGTAAACTTAACGTTTAACCATCTCAGCAATCATCCATTTGAATCCATTTGATGCCATAATGAACATCATCCCAAATAAACGGGCACACCCGATTATATAAATGCAACAATCTCATCATGAAATGTTGGCGCATTAACATTATTGAACTTGTTCTGCAATTATTCAATAGTTTCCCAGAATATGGTCCCTTTTCCCGCTTTTCCCATCAAATTGCTATGACTGTGGATGCAAAGCTATTGTCTGCTGGTACAAACCGGCCCTGAAAATAGACAAACAATATGGGCCATATTGGCCCCCATAGTTGGCTAAGGTGGTTTCTAAACAAGTTGATTAGGATGTTCATTGTAGTTTTGCTGGGGTTTGAGAACCAACTCATAGCTGTCATAGCTCTGGGCGGCGAGATTTGGGGGCGGTCTACAATCAGAACCAATGCTAGCTGGAATAATTCTGCAACCTAAGGATGGATGAGTGTCACTTCGGTTCAGAAGAAACACTGGTTTATCAATTCTATATGTTGGGGGTATACCCAATTGTCAGAATACGCTAATAGTACTCGTTCTGTTCCAATAATTTGCAATGATTTGTTTCTTGTGGGGTTAAACACAGTGAATCACCACTTGTTGCCAGTGAAATCATGTTTTTCCGCATTTTATCGCTTATATCCCCTACCAGATATCATATGCTTAGCTTTCATCCCACTATACCTTCCCTGGTTGGTGGTTTGGAACATGAATTTTATGACTTTCCATATATTGGGAGTGTCATCATCCCAACTGACGAACTCCATCATTTTTCAGAGGGGTTCAAACCACCAACCAATTCCTTATAATATACCATAATATACCTATGATTTCCCCAGTGATCCGGTGAAAAATCCCCATCTTGGTTGGTCAAAGCCTTGTGTTTGCCACCAGCGTCCTCGGCCCAGGACCTTCAGGACCTGTACACCGTGCCCCAGGGCGTTGCCATTTTTGCTGCTTGGCTACTGGTGGGATAGGACAGAAATATGACCTAAACATTAAGACGATGTGTTTACCATTGTTTCCCACCGAGAATCTTAGAAAACTGAAGGATTTTAAGACATTGAAAAATCTTGCGCAAGCAGTGGTTTCAAGCTGGTATTCCCCAGGTTTTCAAGAGGTTCCAGTAACCCTCACTGGTGCGGTCCCATCACCGACCGTAGCCCTTTGGGCCTCGAAGCCTAGTAGCTGAACCGATGGAACCAACACAAAGGGTGACTCAACCAACAGAAATGATGTTACAACAACGACCTCAAGATAGATAATGATTACAGTAAAGGAAATCTTCCCCCCAACACATGATTAAAGATTTAGAAAATCCAGTAATTCCTAAAGTTGGGATACTTCATTGGATTGGCCATGCTCGACCCTTTGTGATGGGCAACCTGAACTTTTCCCTGTTTCAACTCAGCAAACATGAAAAAACAGGGCCTCTTTGTAGGGGTCCCAGCCCCTGACCCTGCTTCAGGGTCCCAGCCCTGTGTATGTTCTGTGCCATCACTTCAGTACGTCAAAACAGATCGTTCCTCAAAACTGGCGAAAAAGTGGGATGATTCTGAATACTCAAGAATATCAGAATATAGTCCAGTATCAGTATCATATGGAATATACCCTTTCACTCATAAAGAATAGTGAATAGTATGAATAGTGGACTATACTACCAGTGTCAGTCATGTATAGTCCATTTTGGTTTATGTTGGTTTTCAATTTTGATCCATAGCGCAGCCGCTCCAACGCGACTTATGACCACGCGCGCGCTCTGTGCGGCGCTGTCGAGGCATACCTGGTGGTTTCACCCTAGAAAGTGGGATCCCAGTTAAGAGTAGGGGAAGTACTCACTGTACTAATTGGATTGAATAGGCTCACATGGTAGACAACAATCATCAACAATCATCAACAATCATCAACAACCAACACTTAGATACACTTACATGGTACACCTTGCAACTTAATCACTAAGTGGTTGGTCAGTTGTGTTTTTCTTATACGAGAGATAACATGAAGAACCCACCTGGACGTAGTAACTGCCAGGGCCTGAAAACCATTTATTTCGCAAATATTTGTGGTTGCTGTGATAAACCAATCAGAGGAACATCTTTTGACACACACAATATTGACATTGATATACATATAAATACACATAGATATATATAGTTATATATATATAATAGTTATATATATATATTTATATATATGCCACTCCGGTATCATTCCCAACTGATGGTTTTGGTAAACGCAAGAAGAACCCACCAAGTGGGGGATGGGTTACACAGCCAATGTCTGGTAACATCGGGGATAGTTTATGACTGTGTAAACCTTGAGTTGTTTGATTGTTGGCTACAAATGGTGGACTATTCTAAACAGCTGGAACACACCTTCTCTATTGCAACCTATTACAGGTACATGATAGCTAGAGCAGGAATGAAATTGCTTGTTTTACTAGAATTATTATTTAACGTACCCTGTTTTTCCCCATGGTATTTCGGGTGCTGTGAACAACCAATCGAGGCGATGGGCAGGTGATTCGTTGCAGTGTGAACTGCAGGATTGAACATTCACTTGTTACACAGAAAGTTCGAAACAGTACAAGTAATGGCTAATTCACCCTACTTGCCCTCTGGTAAACATACAAAAAACTATGGAAATCACAATTTTTAATGGGTAAATCAACATATACTGGCTGGTGGTTTCAAACATTTGGATTATTTTCCATTTCATATATGGGATGTCATCCTTCCATATCCTTCCCATTGACTAATACTTTTCAGAGGGGTTGAAATCACCAACCAGTAATTGCACTGCGGGTTCTACCATCAAAATTTAAAGATTGACATTGGACATCTTTGTTGTGGGAACATCGATCGAGGCAACTGGGGCATATTCCATGGCTGAGTTTTTGTGCATTCTTGGACTGTTACAGAATACCAAGAGCTCGACCCCTCACAAATAGCAAGTAGATGCATCGTGGGAGCTATGAAACCCTTGTGTTTTTTTCGCCCGGCATAGGAACGACGCCCATAAGGCTGTTTAGTGTTGTATTCAGTGTTTTACATTGCTTTTTTATATAGTGCATATCGCCTAGCTCAAACAATCTCAACAAAAAAATCCGATCAAACTGACACACTGCGGGGTTTGAGGATACATGACATGAAATGGGTCTGACGCCCTCTTAATGTCTCAAACACTTAAGCCTAAGCTATTCTTAATTGCTCAGCAACCATTCTATTTCTATACAATAAACGTTTTACGAGTTTAAGTCCCTTATAGGTGCCATTAATCACCTGAAATCAACCATGAGGTAATTAATAGCACCTACAATGAACTCATTCACCACCTATGCGGAAATCTCATAATAAATCTACCATTTGGCTTTGGGCTATACCGGATATGAGGTCAGCGGGCAACCGGGCAGTGGGTTGGTGTTCCACAGATGGATGAGTTGGGTATGGGTCAAATTGGGTACCCAAAAAAACCCATAAAAATGCTGATTTTGAGGATCGTTTGTTTTTAGGTTTTCCGCATTGTATAGTCATGTAACCATGTATAATCAGAATGAATCAATCAGCGCCATCAGCTCAACGGACGCCCAGGAGAGAGCATGGCATGCATCGCGCGCGCGGCCTGGGAGCGAAGCTGAGATGTCAGGTGAGCTCCAAATGGCTCAACCAGCTGGTGGAGCAGGGTTACAACCCCAAGATATCCCAAGTATAAGTGGACTAATGCCACTTCTCCCATCTATCACTGGGCTTAAAAGGTCAAGACCTACCTCTGAAATGGGGTGGACATGTTTGATTTTCCCCATGTTTCTTGACTACGGGCCACCAGGTCTCTGACTACATCCACGGGCGGATCAGAAAGGTGATGACTTAGCCTCTGGTGACTGTTACAGTTCGCCATGGAAGCCATGGCCGAAATCGATGGTTTACCTAGCTATAAAATGGGTGGATCTTTCCATGGCAAACTTTTAGGTTAAATAACCAAATGTTACCTGTTTTGATCTACCATTTCTTTCCTAGATTATATCTGGGAAGTGACCGGCTGGTTGGTTGCTGGGTGATTTTCTCTTGTTCAGGCACTGATTAGCTTGCAACACAGGGCGATTCAATCATGAGACATGAGGCGCCGAGCAACACAGTGATATAATCTACAGTACAACACAATGATTACAATGATAGTTTGTTGGCAAAGGTTAGACTAAGTCATGAAGAAAACCCGCATTCTTTTTCGAGCAAATTGTCGAGTTTCAAGTTTCCTGTTTTTTCCGAAAACCATTCAAAACTATACTGGTTGGTGGTTTAGAACATGGCTTGATTATTTTCCATTTCATATATGGGATGTCATCCTTCCCATTGACGAACTCCATCATTTTTCAAGATGTTTTTTTTAACCAGCAACCAGATATTGTCGGGTTTATAAATGGTATATTAGTTGGGTATATGGATATATAAAACCATTCATTATTATTAGAGGGGTGGCCCCAACCACCAAGCAGTATACTTTCCCTGCGACCCGGATCCAAACAACGGAGGCGGCTGCTCCAAGCCTCCGGAAGGCTTCGACTGTGAGCAAGGTGCCAGTGGGTGCCAGGTTTCACCCGAGGATTGAGTTTTGGAATGGCAATTAGTAGCAATACAACATGGGGACTTCACGCAGAAAAATGTGGATTTAGCCTCTGGTTATGACTAACATAGCCATGGGAAATTGCCCATTTATAGATGGTTTACCTAGCTATGAAATGGGTGGATCTTTCCATGGCTATGTTAAATAACCAAATGGTAGCCAAAAAATATGTGGGTGTAGGAAAACCAAAAGGGGAAATTCACGATAAACAATGGGGCTGTGAGATTCAAGAAGAACACAAGGAGGACCATGGACTTGGAAATCTACGGCCACCGAAATTTCACAGCGGAACAAACCAAGGCGGCCACGTCCAATGGGGAGGAAGATTTCTCCACATGTGCCACGGTCAAAAGTTGGATTTTAGAATTGAGGGCGGTAGTCACCAATCCATGAATAGGGATGTATATACCCATGATAAGGATTCCCCGGTGATGTTGGGATGACAATAACACATTAATCCCATGTAACCTTACCATGCTACATATTAAGTTTAAGTCGATTGTGTATCCCCTTAGTTTTATCCCCGAGAATGTTCTGTCGGTTCGTTTTGCAGCTGACACACCATGATGCCATTCATCGTTCTATCCCCAGGCCCTTATATACCTTATTTTTGTTGATTAAACCTTGTGAAGTTATTTTGACCGTGGCACACATAATTTCTTCATGTTGTGAGCTGCCAGACTCTCTCTTAGACCTGACTCTGCTGGTAGTCTTCTCCCCGTTACTATGCAGTACATTTATGCAACCATTTTATTACTCAGCCATTTATTATAATAACCATTGCACATGTTATTGTTGTCTTTGTTTACTGTTATAGTTGTTGTTTCATATCTTGTGCTGTCCAGTCCAGCATTTTTTGTCAGTACCAGTTCATTTATAATTAACCTGTGTATATACGTGTATATATATAGACGATCGCTTTACTGTTTGTCTTGTTCTTCTGTTATCCAGCCATTTACCACTAGTTCAGGATACCAACTTCTATTTTTTTAACGGGTGGTACTGTTGTATACCATAGAAACAACTTTTTATCACGAGATTGACAAATTCTGTTATAGTGAAATTAGCAAAAATCCATCATTCTGTTATGATTATTTGTTATAGTTAAAACACAGGTTTTCCTCATTATATAAATCTATCTTTCTGTTAGTCAATCCCAATTTTTCTCTGATGAAATCCCAAGTTGCACAAACTAAATTCAAGCTGTTGCTGCTTAAATACCCATATGATTCTTGGTGAATTTCCTATTTTTCCTCATGGTATCCACCAAAACATGGTCGGGATCAGCCCAAGACATGGCGTCACGGTGGTCAGGAGCTGCTGGAGGCTGCCTCCATTCCCCGCGAGCGCAATCGAAACTTTAGCCGCCCGACGAAAAAAAACGAAGCGACGGGAATACGATGGGATTTCAAGAACCAAAAACCTGGGGATTAGATAATACCAATATCCAATATATAGTATATATATAATACCAATTATAGTATATACTATATCCCCAATGTATAATAATCCGATCCCCAGGTTATCTAATATACCAATTATATATGTATATATATATAACAATTATATTTGTACCAATATACCATTTTTTTAATAATAGATATACCATAATTGGATATAGCATCTATTTGGAAGAAATTGAGATCCAACATGGTCCAACATGATCCAACTCGTTGAACCTGGTTTTTTTTCACGACTTTGGGATTGAACCACTTGTTCAACACGCGTCAATTTTGCGGATTGAAGCCACAGGTAAATGGGGGATTTGACGGTTTCATTTTCACAAGTTGGTGGTTTGGAAAAGCGTCAGGAAAAACCTGGTGTCATTGATTAGCATCTAGAGTGACTGGAAAGTCGATGGTGAGTTTGCTGAATAGATGCCTGATGAAGATTGATGAAGTAGCTCCTCTTGTAGGTTATTTGCCGGAAATGCAGGAACTACATGGAACTACTGTATACCCTGCACCAAAAAGCAAACATAATCTGCAGGCTATGTAAGATTGGCCATGATTCTTTCGCCATCATCATATTTGCTGATAATGGTTAATACCATATATACTGGGTAGATTACGTAGTCCTAATCTATTGATCGTGGTTAATACCATATGCCAATGATACCACATAATTACCATTGACAACATATCCATTGATAATATTAATGCCATTAGTAATATGTTATTGAATACCATTTTCAATAGTGATATTTGTACTGGGACTACCATCTGGTTATTTGTTACATAGCCATGGAAAATCACCATTTCTAATAGGTAAACCATCTATTTCTATGCGCCATGGCTTCCATGGCGAACTGTTAGTCATAACCAGAGGGTAACAGGGATATCATCTCCCAGCTGAGGGCTAATCACCCTGCAGGTATCATTGCGCACGTGGACCACGGAAAAAGCACGCTCTGCGATCGGCTGCTGCAAACCTGTGCCGTGGCGGCGTGGCGTTCCGTTGAATTCGCCCGGTTTTTGGGTCCCAGAAACATCCCAAAAACTTGGGTTTTTACCATCTGGTTATGACTAACATAGCCATGGAAAGATCCACCCATTTTATAGCTAGGTAAACCATCTATTTCTATGGGCCATGGCTTCCATGGCGAACTGTTAGTCATAACCAGAGGGTTAAAAAGAAAGCCATTTGTTTAGAGATGCGTCATTTTTTTTGCAACCCCCAAATCAACTTTGCAGTTTGAAGATGACATATGATGAATACCCTCTAGTTATTTAACAGTTCGCCATGGAAGCCATGGCCCATAGAAATAGATGGCTTACCTATTACTAGCATGGTGATTTTCCATGGCTATGTTAGTCATAACCAGATGGTAAATAGCTCACAAATCTAGCTTATAGTCCCATTTGCCATAGCCTTTGATGTTACGACAAAAAACGTGCCATTGGATCATCTCCCATCTGGGTCAGTGGGGTGTACCCACTTTAAGGTAAAAAAACAACACATTTTGGGCTATCATGGTTTAAGACAAACTCATTCAAAACAGCACATATTGCTATAAATAGTTGTTTGGCCATGTTCGGCCAAGTGTTTTTGTCAAAATTATGTCGTAAAATCCCACATATGTCTTTTATTATCTTTCCCCCGACTCCTATTATTTTTTTAATGTCGTCTTTTTGTATCTTTATAGTTTCAAAAATTGGTGCATACTTACTAATTTCCCTCTTTGGATGAGTTATTGTTTCTTGCATTTTATCTAATAATTCCTGCCCTCCTTTGCATGCATAAGAACAGATCTTATTATGTTTAATGATGCTAAATTAATCTTTATATCCATTTGTATAGCTGCAATACTTTCGAGAAAGTACCTGCAGCTTTAAAATCCATATCCCATAGGATCCATGTATGCTATATATATGGTAACATTTACCATCAATATACCCCAAATGTTAGCATATATACCATACATGGATCCTATGGGTATATATATATGCACATATATTATTCCTTTAAATCCTCATGAAACCGCCATGTTTCTTGGTTAAAATCCCCATGAAATCACAATTTTTCTTGGTTGAATCTCATGAAATTGCCATTTTTAATCACCATTTGGTGGTTCGTTGCCGCAAGATCTTTTCGTCAGGTGGTGTTTTGCCGCCCAATGCTCCAGACCAGTTCCTGGACGGTTTGGAGGTGGGCTCGTGACAAAGTTCAGCATTTTACGGGGGGTTCATCAACAAACATGGTATGATTTGATGTTTTTTTTTTCCCTTATGGTTGATGTAGTGGTGATGTAGTGGTGATGTTATTCGGAAAATAACTGGTTGGTGCTTTGGAACATTAGAAAAGTGGGGTTACTAACCTACCATTGTTTTATGGGATTTTATGGCTAGTTGGTGGTGTGGACCAATATATTGGGAATCATATTCCCAACTGACGAACTCATATTTTTCAGCGTGAAACCACCAATTAGATAGGGATTTTTCACCAACAAACAACTGGGGAATTCATGAGGAGATATCATGAAGCATATATAAGCAACAAAATGGTGATAGAATAGGAATATTGTGAATCATTGGGAGTGCACCCTTCTGGTAATCTGTGACATAGCCATGGAAAATGGTGGCCCATTTCTAGTGAATTTACCTCTTGAAAATTGTCAAAGTGGTGATTTTCCATAGCAAACTGTTCGTTTACCAGAGGGTATCACATCCGATCAAAAAGAATGACAGCTAGTTTTCTAGAGCGCTGTATCGAACGTTAGCCGTGAAAAGACTGTTTGGGCATTGGTGTCATAACCATTTAGATGTCGGTCGAACCTGGTTCCTCTTTTTCGGTTCCATACTTTCCATCCACCGCTACGTTTGAACGAAATTATCCAAACACCTTAATTACCTGGTTACCTATAAATCCACTTGTTCTGATATTTATACAATTTTATTACCCATTTATTACCCATTTCTTGTTGGTTCTTGTTGACTACATCCCAACTTGGACCCATATCCCACCATATCTGCAGGTGGAACGTGCCCGTGGCATCACCGTCAAGGTGCTGCCGGGTCTTTTATGATGGACACGTTGAATTTCGGATGGACTTATAGCTACTATATAAGAACTATTATACTATACTTATACTATGGAAAATGTCGAAAAATAAAAGATATTATTATTTTCAGGGGGACCGCAGATCCATTTTTTTCGTATGACACATCGCAGTTATATTCGCACCAGATGATCCCTGTCGGTTTAATCTCAAAGAGCCACCTGGCGATCCCCCCATGATCTCCCAAGCCGCTGGTAGGGAATCCCAGCATTGGGGGCACCGTTCGTTGCTGGTTAAATTTTGATGATGAAGATCATTTCTAAGTCATGCGAAGTTAAGTTGAAAATGGCAACTTTTATCAACTTTTACAAGGTGCCCCTATGTTATGTTTGTTGGAATATGACCCGCAGTATCTAGTTCGATATATCTACCATAAACCCAGCAGTTCGATTATTGATTATTTGTGTTCGGATTTTTCGATTGCAGTCTTTGGTCTACTAACTTCTATGACCAGATAGAATTAATATGATTTTCTACCTCAGTAAAAAAAGGGGGATCCCAAAAACCCATGGGTTTCAACACGAAAATCGTCTAATTTTGGATGATTTGAGGTACCCATCATTTCAGGGACACCAATATTTGCTAAGGATCCAATTGATAGACACTTGGGTATATATATGAACTTGTATTATAATTTATAATATATATATATATACATATTACATCATATATATATATATACATATTACATCATATATGTATATAGATACATATTATATCATATATATATATATATATACATAATATATATATATATACCCAAGTGTCTATCAATTGGATCCTTAGGAAATATTGGTGTCCAACAGCCAGGCGCAGACGTGTTCGATGCTAGTGACCTCGCAGAAGGATGGAGAGCGCTACTTGCTGAATTTGATCGACACGCCGGGACACGTGGATTTCTCCTATGAGGCACTTATCTGGGCAGTGGAGTACCCGGCCTGGTAAACATACAAAAAGCGAACTGGAAGCCATGGCCATAGAAATAGTTGATGACTACCCATTAATAGCATGATGATTTTCCATAGTGATGTAAACGTTTACCAGAGGGTACTTGGAGTGGAGTACTTGATAACGGTGGGTTTCCATATGGGAAGATATGGATTTCATGGGGATTAATGATATTTAAGAAGTATACTTACTGGTGTTTACCCAACACGTTACCCATCCATGTACGTAGATACACTAGCACCAAGGAACATATGGGCATGCATACATCATCATACATTCCACCAAAATCATCAAACATGGTCACTATGGGTTTATTTTTTGGCCACCACGGTATCCCGGATTCATATCCCAGTATTCACTATTTCCTCACATTTAAATCTGTTCCAATCTGGTTGGTGGTTTGGAACATTTTTTATTTTTCCATATATTGGGAATTTCATCATCCCAACTGACGAACTCCATCATTTTTCAGAGGGGTAGGTATACCACCAACCAGCAATGATATTCCCATGATTTTTGATTTCTTGTTGGCCATATATTTCCAGGTATTGCTGGTGAAATCCCAATAATGCGGATTCAACCAAAGAAGTTGACCCCCCAATAATAAAGGCGTATAAAGGCTTGCTGGCAAGCACCAGCAGCCAGCAACCACATTTATAAGGGCTTATTAACCATCTATTATTGGTAAATAGTGCATGGGAAATCTCCACTTATTGCCATCGATATCATCATGTATTCATAGTTATTCAAAATTATTCCATCATTTGTTTGTTAATTCACCCATGTTGAGTCATGGTTATAAGTTATATCATTTCATCCTATGTCTCCCGTTTTCTAGTACCTACAAGGTGTAAAGATCCACCAAATCATCATGTTTGTTGCTTAAGATTCCTAAAGCCCCCAATTTTTCTGTTTCATTCCACAAGATTCCAACTTGGTGAAGCTTCAAAAATCATCTAAAAACCCAATTTTTGTCAGCGTAAAATCCCATGTTTTTTTGTTTTACGCACGTTGGTCCTCGCGACTGCAGGTGTCCCGATCTCTGCAGGCATGTCAGGGCGCGGTGCTACTCTGCGATGCCGTACAAGGCGAGACGGGGCAACAGAGCTGACCGTCGGGTTGTCTCGGTGCTGGGGGGTCCTCACCTTGTACCCATTTGCACCCCATGTACCAAGTAGTTGCAAAATTGTGACGATTGAGGATATGATAAAGTAACCAGCCAATCAGTGGGAATATATGGGTACATGTGTATATATATATATATACTGTATATACTTTTTATACATTATAGTATCATTATAGTCAATTATAGTATATATATATATATACATAGATAGATGGTTGGTGACTGGGAATTTCATTTAAAAAAACTATAGTGATTTTATCGGGACTTGCATTTAGCCAACCAGTATGGGGATGGCAGTTGAATTTTGGCGAGAAGCGTCTACTGGAGAAATCTGCAAACATCTTTGAAAGGGGTAATATTAAAAGTGCATAAAAGTGCATCATTTGGTAGAATAGTCAGTATAGTTTTAGAGTACTTAGTGCCTCAGATTCAATATGTGAAACTTTCACTGTCCAGTTTTGAGCCATGTCCAACTCTTGCTGGTGGTTTTCAACTCATTGCTAATTGCATCATAATTTTTGAATTTGCGTGGCTTAATCACCAAACCATAATATATTTATTTGCAATGCCTTCTGACTAGAACTAAAGATGGAGAAATCACCTAGTTGGGGAGTTTCAAGTATTAGTTGGTATCGCCCCAAATCCTGTTTGGAATTTCCATTCATCAGTGAACATCTCAGCTGATTCCGAATGATCTTTTCCTGTTCGGAGATACCATCTGGTTATTTAACATAGCCATGGAAATTCACCATTTTAAATAGGTAAACCATCTATAAATGGGCAATTTTCCATGGCTATGTTAAATAACCAGAGGGTATCTCAATACCTTTGAATATCTAGCTTTTGGATGGGTCAAGACATGTCAAGACTACAAAATCAACCATCTCAATACCAGAATTCCCAACTTTGGGGGTAACTCCTGGTTAAGTCAGTAGCTTGATTTTTTTGTGCCAGAGACGGAGGAAGGTTAATCTGACCGAATCAGCTAAACATTCAGGTGTTTTTTCCCGGCTTAGTATCTTCAGGAAGCAAACCATGTGTGTATGTTTTTGAATGTTTGCTGGCAAAACCCGAATGTTTCGATTTCTTTAACTCCCAATATTCCTGGTAACAACCCATGCATAGTAATATATTACATAGTACAATGTGGCCCCCCCAGTTACAAGATGGTTTTTAAACCCCATTAACTATAGTTATAAGTATCATAAATCATAGGTATTGGAGTTATGTGCACCAACTTCGCAATCTAGGGGGCCCCACCTTGTAGGAACTGGTTAGTAACTGGCTTCTAGTGAGAAATAGTGAGAATATGTGAAAAATCCCTTTATCAATCTCGAGGACTAGGACCCAGTAGCTGGTTGTGGTTTATCGTAGTTATCAATAGGAGGCTGAGGCAGCTTCAGCCCGTGGCTACGCTACGCAGGTATCCAAGCCCAGACGGTGTCCACCTTTCACCAAGCCTTCGAAGCAGATTTGGAGGTGCCAACGTGTGCAGCGTGTGCCAAAGTTGGCCTCCACAGTGAGGTAAGACATACACTTTCATTGATTCATCCAGAAGATAAATGGGAAGATATGGATTTACTGTGGATTAATGGGGATATACTAGATTCATACATTATAGAATGTTTTTTTTTTTTTTTTTATGGTATATACTTTCACAAATACCATGGGGATTTTACCCGCTGGTAATTGTTAATGTGGCTGGCTGGGGGGTCCCCGCACGAATGAGTGCCGGAGGGTCTTTTTGATGGTATTTGATGTGAAAGACATGTTTTTTTATGATTTATCCAACAATTATGGAAATACCGCCGGGACTTCACAAAACTGGATGCCATTATATATAATGATATATATATTTACATATAGATATATACATATTTATATATATTATACATGTTACATATTTATATGTATACACATATATATATATATGTATGTATACGTACACACTCCCCTTCCCCCAAATGTAACATACCACCACTAAGGAACAGAACACGATGTGGTCTTTTTTCACATATGGGATGATGTGGGACTTGCGGTAACAAATAGCCACGAAGTATCGCAAACAAATTGGGTGCAAAGAGCAACAAATAGTGATTTAGCCATCAAAATTGGATATCCCCATCCCATCAACATATTTTTCCCCCAACAACAAATTGCATAACAAGAGATATGTAATTGAATATCATGTAGGAAAATCATGAATCATGGAGATGTACTGCTGGAGATATCATGGGGTACGGGTGTGTCTGAAAATGTGGTGTACCCTCCAAGTCAAGTGGCATGTTCATTATTAAAAAAATTCGATAAAATTATAAACCAGTGTAGTTTTTGGTATCCTATTTTCAGAGAGACCAATATTAGCAACAATAATCACGGGGATTTCACATGCCTCCGGGTTTCGAAAGGAATTTGAATCAACAGGATTTCACTCCCTGAAGTGTTTCAAATTCACAATATGGGCGATTTGCAATGGTGAATGTTCACAGGTTGATGTTCAGCCATGTTGATTACATATTCACATGTTGTTTAAAATCATATAGACTTAATCTCAAAGAGCCACAAACATGCAGATAACGATAAATAATGATTCATAATCACAATCTAATCATATATATATATATAATCAAATACACTAATACCTAATCACATCTAATCATATCTAATCAGATGTAATCAAAGATAAGTAATTACAAGTAACCATATCTAGTCATGTAGAATCATATATAACCATATAGTCACATGTACTGATCTTTCCTGGTAAACCCCCATGATATTTGGAGGTGTCAGCCCACCTGACCACCTGACCACCGAAACGATCCGAAGCTGCAGGTCTTGTGCGCCATCAGCAAGGCGGTTTTATTGGGTGAGCCCGCGAGAAACCACACCCAAAATTGGCATGTTATGTGATTTATATCCCATAGGATCCATGTATGCTATATATGGTAACATTTACCATTAATATACCCCCAATGTTAGCATATATACCATACATGGATCCTATGGGTATAGATTTATAGCTGATTTCAGATTGCTAAGTTGACTAATATATAAGTTGGTGAACTGGGGTTTATTGGAGATATTTCACTTGATAGAACTATAGTGAAACCATGGCTTTATAAACCAACGTTCACATCACTGGGAGCTGCCGCCAGGTGGACTTGGAACACGCGCAGCGCGAAGATGTGAAGAGTTGGGGCACTGAGGGGCACACAGGGGGCGAGTCCAGTCGGGGTCAACCAAAGGGTGGGGTTGACCTCATTGGTTACCCATTTGTGCCATCAAACATGGCTGGAACATCTACCCTCCATAAATTAACATAGACCCTGGTAGTCATCGGGATTGGAAGATTAATTTCCTCTAAAAATGAGTGATAAATTCAGGGTCCAACTGTTAATTTACCAGAGGCTAAATGGACATTTAATGGAAAAACACTGGGAATTAGATGGTGATTAATGGTCATTTCATTGGGGAATCGTGGAACATCTACTATAAATGGAGGTTCTGTAATGGGACGTTTCCCCGTACATGCAGCATTTTCCAACAGGTCCGGAGCTCCATTTAGAGTGGGGACGGGAATTTCCAACACGTTTGATGACACGGAGGGTAGGTTACCGGGGGTTTAGCCGGCAACAATTTGGGATTTATATAATGGTTAATAATGGTTAATAATGGTTAGTATATGGTTAGTATATGGTTAATTAATAATGGTTAATTAATAATGGTTAATTAACAATGGTTAGTATATAATTAGTTAGTATATGGTTAGTATATGGTTAATTAATAATGGACAATTAATAATGGTTAATTAATAATGGTTAATTAATAATGGTTAATTAATAATGGTTAGTATATGGTTAATAATGGTTAATAATGGTTAATGATGGCGAATGATTATTTGTGATTGAACCAGCAACAACAGTGAATTTGAACCAAACTGGTGGGTAGTCGGTGGTTCACCCTAGGAATCGTAGCCAACAATGGGTAATTATCGAACCAGCAATGAATGGGGATAATTATGGCGGTTATCGCAATGGATGAGTAACCGACCTGCTTTGTTGGGAATATGATGGGGATATAAGCACTGTGGCTTAGTTCACCCTGGAGACCCCAGTTAATTCAACAGGGTAAGGGTCAAACTCCACTTGTATCACTGGGGCGAACTAACCACACGATTCCTGGGGTGAGCAACCAAGTAGTATGCAACCTCCATGGTCTGCACTTTGTGGTGCCGGATTCAGGCATCGTGAGTGGCTAATGAACAAACAATATATGTAACTTGAGTATTTCCCACTTGGAAACTGGATTCATTACATATATATATATACTCGTACCTACTACTGCTGCTGCTGCTACTACTACCACCTCCCCCTTAGAAACTGGGATGCAGATCCAAGTAATCCTCTGCTGACATTTCATCATGAGCGCCTACCACTGGGCTGATCCTTCATGTGAGCAAGATAGTAGGTGTTTTTTCAAGCTGTTGTAGCTAAAACATGCTAAAACCACTTGTTTATAGTTTCAAGTGGGTGTGTATGAAAATGGAGTAGCCCTTTTTTCCAATGCAAATTTCATCGGAAGACATTATGATTCATCAAATTTCGGGGTATCCTAATCCTACTTTCAGATTTCAGACAAACCCAAATGTTTCAAGGTTTTGAATCAGGATTTTCCCCACCCCTCATGATCGGATTCGGATTCCCATGGTCGCTTCCAAATCACACCTCCGAGTTGGAGAATGGGGGCCGCAGTCTTGGGGATCAGTGACTGCCATAGAAATTCATTCGACCTTAACTTGAATGTTTTATATAAAAAAAAAAACACACACTAGAACATTACAATCATGGAAACTTCTAGTCAACCAGTGGCAAATTACCTTCTGGTAAACTAACAGTTCGCCATGGAAAATCACCATCTTTAATAGGTAAATAAAAAAACGGTGCCATTTTCAATAACTATGTAACAAATTACCAGAGGCTATATCCATATCAATCCCATTATCAACCACTATTCACCCATTATCAGCCACTATGAATGGAAACTAACTACTATGGTTCTTTGGATTTGTGTAATGGACAAACTGACCAGCTTGTGGTGGGAGCTCATCGACCCGCGCCCCCGTGCCGCCCGAAACAGGACAACTCTCAGTGCTGACGGGTGTGGACACGCAAGAGGTCGTGGAGGTGGAGATGCAGTAGACCTGGAAGAGGTAAGAAGCAGATAAAATAGTTGATATATATATATATATGTATATATATATATATGTTGATATTATGGGATAGATAATATCATAGCAATTTACCAATGGGATATAAATATTCATATAAATATATATATATATATATGCGTAACCGACAAAATTATTGTAAGACTGATTTAGTTTTGCTTCGCCTTGGCCTGCCCGAGGTTGCACAAAACCTTCATAACCGATAGGGGACGACCCTAATTTGTGCATGGCATTAGATTTAGCGTATAATTTTGTCCGCTCCTCATATATATATACATATATATATAGAGATATACTATATATATATACACGTTATACGTGGGATATACCATAGTGATATGTTATCAACCGCTAAAAAGCAGTTACTAAGTGGGTCGATCCCCCAAGTACGGCGAAATTTGGTCCCATTCCCTATCATTCTGTAGTCACTAGCAAGTAATTGCTGGGATTCAGCGAATTACCCTCTGGTAAACATATGGAAAACCACCTTTTTTAATGGGTAAATCAACTATTTCTATGACCATTTTCAATAGCTTTTGGTATGTTTACCAGAGGGTAACAACATGAACAAACATGAGAATTTTGCCGAGAAGTAGGGGACTGAAAAAAAAATCCCATGCGCCAATCGAAACTCGGGACGATCCCCTGACAGGTGAGTGGCAAGACAGGGGCTGGTGTGCCTGAGCTTCTGGTGCCTCAGCTGCGGACGTTGCTTGGGGAAATTCAGTGGAAATTTTCCAGGGTTAAATGGGTGATCCAAAAAGTGGAAACATATAGAAAATCATATGTTTGAAACTAGGGAAGTCACCAATACCAGGAAACATGGGATGAAAACAGCAAGAATTGGGATTTCCCATGAGACAGAGGGATGGGATACTATATAACCTACCCCATGGAATCTACAGTAGCTTGGGCATTTTTTCCGCACATGCGGTGAACCCCGTTTGAATAGGATTTGGTTGGTCATTTGAACATTTGGATGATTTTTCCATATCTTGGGAATGTCATCATCCCAACTGACTTTGACGAACTCCATCATTTTTCAGAGGGGTGGCTTTGAAACCACCAACCAACTATTATTGGTATTATAACCACTATTATCATATAATCCCATTATTGATGATTATCCCATTATAACCACCAACCAGGATATATCTAGTAGTCCCATTATTGATGATTATCCCATTATAATCCCATCATTATAATCCCATTCTATCCCATTATATAACCACTAGTATTATTATAACCACTATTATAATCCCATCATTGATGATTATCCCATTATTTATTGTTTGAAAGCCATTTTCCAATGGTTAATCTAGATCAGCCTCCGGTAGATCGTTGAGCTCCTGAGGAGGCCATCATCCAGAAGGTACCTCCACCTCCAGGCGAACTGGTCGATCGCGATTCCTGGTTTTTGGAGGGGCAAAAACCCATTGGAAAACCAGCAACAGATGGTATAGAACCAGTAAAGATGTGTAAAAATCCGGTTGTTCACCTGGCAAAGTGGGCAAAAACCGGAATGTCACCTATGAAATTTAGTTGTTTCACTCAAAGAATTGTAATTAATTTCAACCAGCAAACATGTTGATTTTGATCAGTAAACTCAGCGACAATGAATTCTGAAGCAGCAAAAATGGATGCTGAAGCAGCAAATATCTATGGTTGGTTTTTGCACAACAAGAACTGTTTTTTTGAACTTCACATACCCAGACAAAAATGTGGATTTGGCCAAGAAATAATGATAGCAAATCATCGAACCTGAGGTCCCCTTTTTATTGAGAGAAAACTCTGCGAGTTTTCGAACGGAAGTGGAAAAATCATTAAGAGACACGGTGATTTTCCTTGAGATTTGGCCACTCAATCTATCATGGTCGAGGGAGTAAGCACCATTCCTTTTGTGTATGAGAAACATCAAAAGGAATATTTGGTATTCAATGGTATATCAATGGTATACACATCATGATATGATTTGGCCATTCAATTTCGGTATATCTCAACCATTTGTTTTTGTCTTCGCTGAGAGAGATTGGATAGGAGATATGGATAGATATGGGTTGTCACAAAGTTGCTGATGAACAAACTGACCCTCCCTGCTTGGGGAATCTTGGGGAAGTTCAGATAAGGTATGTGATCCCAAGATGCCTCGCAGTAAGCGATCGAATTGGAGAGTGGAAATTCTTCCTCAAAGCTGTGGTATCCCCTATTTAAGTGTTATGAACATTTTACCTTCAGGTGCCAAATATTTGCTATAGCCTATAGCTAAATCCCCAGTTATGTTGCTGAAGTCCCATTTTTCCAACTGGTTTTGTTGGTGAAATCTGCAGACATCCGCATTGAATCTGCGTTCTTTGCATTCTGATTAAATCATGTGTTAGTTGGTTAGATCCCAATCAAGTTCACATATATTAGCGTTGGTCCAATATAGTCCGTTCGAAAGTTCATATCACAATTCTTGGTTTCAGATCCCCGTACTTTTTGTTGGTTGAGCTTTTTGGGGTGTTCTGTTGCAAGTTGCTTGACCTCCCCATATTTGCCATTGCCCCCCGATACCAGGATACCAGTTCTTGAACCGCAACCATTCCATGTATAGTATGCCCAACCCTAATCCTTGTATCATATCCCCATTTTTAGATGGTTTTTCCAGGTGTCCCATTGTAAATATCCCTTGCAAACCCGAGCTATCCTCACTATATAATCTGAAAATAAGTGGTAATATCATTTACATCCGCAGTCTTTCCCATAAAATGCTCGGTCTAATTCCATTTTGGGGGTAAATCTGAGTCCATGTTTGGAACCATCTGCCATATCTTTTGAGAATACTTTAGTTGAATCTAACAATTTGAATCGCTTTGGGAGTGAAGATGGACTAAGAACCCCCCATCTTTCACCCTCGAAGAAAGCCAGGAGCTTCGAAGGCGCCCTTCAAAGCTCTGCTCTTTGATGCCAAGTACGACAGTGACTCGAAAAGGAACAGTTTTACGGTGATTTTTTTGCGGTGCAAACGTCAAAATGAGAGAGACCAAGCGATTAAGATTCTGTTTCTTTTTTGAAAAGAAAACATTTATACACAATCTTGACAAGAAAAAGGTATGATCTTGACGTTAAAAATAGGTGGTGGGATGCTGACATTAAAATTACTTTACTTCGTGTGATCCCCACCATGACATTTATACATTTTCTTACTGGCAAATCTTCTGGCATTCTATCTGACATATCTTCTGACATTCTATTTGATTCTATTCTATCTGGCATATCTTCTTCTGGCATATCTTCTGGCATTCTATCTGGCAAATCTTCTGGCATTCTATCTGGCATATCTTCTGGCACTCTATTTGACATATCTTCTGGCATTCTATCTGGCATATCTTCTGGCATATATTCTGACATATCTTCTGGCATTCTATCTGACATTTCTTCTGGCATATATTCTGACATATCTTCTGGCATATCTTCTGGCATATCTTCTGGCATATCTTCTGGCATATCTATCTGGCATATCTTCTGGCATATTTTCTGGCATTCTATCTGGCAAATCTTCTGGCATTCTATCTGGCATTCTATCTAGCATATCTTCTGGCATATTATCTGGCATTCTATCTGGCATATCTTCTGGCATATCTTCTGACATTCTTTCTGACATTCTTGCTAACTTTCTTCTGCACATTCTTTGTCCCATATCTTCCTACATGAGGTCCGGCAGGGAACACTTGGCGTGGATACTCGCGGTTGAGGTCCGGCAGGGAACACTGGGCGTGGATGGTCGTGGTTGAGGTCCGGCAGGGAACACTGGGCGAGGATGGTCGTGGTTGAGGTCCGGCAGGGAACATTGGGCGTGGATGGTCGTGGTTGAGGTCCGGCAGGGAACACTGGGCGTGGATGGTCGTGGTTGAGGTCCGGCAGAGAACACTGTGGATCGCGGGTCGCAGTTGAGCAAGGACGACGAGGACGACGAGGACGACGAGGACGACAAGGACGACAAGGATGACAAGGAGGACGAGGAGGGGAGGAGAGGAGGACGAGGCAGGAGGAGGCGGAGGAGGAGGCGGAGGAGGAGGAGGAGAAGGAGGAGAAGGAGGAGGAGGCAACTGACATAAAATCTAACAACCCTCACCTGGCAGGTGGGGAAAAACAATAACTACTTGTTGGGAAATAAATCAACATTGGAAACAATCCCACTATGTTTGATAACTGTGGCAATGGATGAAAATGGTAAATTAAACCAGATACTGCAGCCACTGTTGGTGATCCAGTTTGGAAATGGTACATTGATCAAAGTTGATCAAAGTAGCACAAGTAGTGCAAACACTTCAACGATCACCTCTGGTTAAACAATTACTGTCAGAGTCAACTTGTTTGAGATGTGTGCATCCCAGTTAGTATGTGGTTTTAAATCAATATATGCATATTATGTATACATAGCCCATCTAAACTTGGATTACAAGGTAGTCTGGTAACTGGGATGAACATCCAAGTAAGAGGGCTACAACTCACATGAAAAATCACAGGAATCCCAAGGGAAACAACTGGACATGCTATGGCCTTCGCCGTTGATAATTTATTGGTATTCCCCATGCAGGGCCGAAAGCGGAGATCATGTATGTAAATTAAATGTATATAATGATATATATATATATATATAGTGTATATGTCCATAGAAAAAAGAAAAGATGAATACAGGCATGCAGACTGATAAATGGGGGTAGATAGATAGATAGATAGATAGATAGATAGATAGATAGATAGATAGATAGATAGATAGATAGATAGTATATGATAGTATATGATAGTATATGATAGTATATGATAGTATATGATAGTATATGATAGTATATGATAGTATATGATAGTATATGATAGTATATGATAGTATATGATAGTATATGATAGTATATGACAGTATATGATAGTATATGATAGTATATGATAGTATATGATAGTATATGATAGTATATGATAGTATATGATAGTGTATATATATATATATATATAGAGTCTATATCTATATCTCCCCATGTTGGGTAAAAATCATCTTACCATCTGGTTATGACTAGCATAGCCATGGAAAATCCCTTATAAATGGAGGTTTCTAGCTGGAAAAATCATCTATTTCTATGGGCCATCTATACCATGGCGAACTGTAACAAATAACCAGAGGGGATCCATATCACTCTTTCCCATGGTTTACTGTAGTCCCCGATTTTTTGTTGGTAAACTACCTTCATCTGGGTATGGATCAATACCTATTAATACCATTTTTAGGGGGTTATTCACATCCATAAATCCCAGCTATTTTGATGTGAACTACAGGGGTACAAGGTTTTGACACACTGCCATATGGGGGAATTTACAGTGAATTTATAGTGATTTATAGTGGATTTACCCATTGAAAATGGTGATTTATAGTGGATCCAAAGGGATCCAAAGGGACCAATTTGTAACTTCCCAATTTCCCAATTCGGCGCTTTGACCTGACACATCTTGTGTGTTTTCACGTGCAGGCCGTCGCGGCATGGTTCTGTATGTGGCCGTACAGGATGGGGCCCCAGGGAGTTCGGTAGTAGTCACATGCAGGATGGGGCAGGATGGGGCCCCAGTGTGTTGGCTAAGTTTGTTTATAACTATAGTAACAAGAATAGTGTATGATACTTATACTTATATATATAGATGGGGTTTTATGCCAACTTATTTGCCTGAGGGGCACCTGGCTTTTTGTGGAAATGGGCAATTCCCAAAGTTCCATGATTTCCAGGGACGATCTGCCGACATCTATATATGGGGACCTGCTGAAACTGATGACTTTTCAGATGTGGATACCTCAGAAGGGACCATCTTGCTATCTTAGGCTTTCCAACACACATGTCCTGTCCGATCAAGTGGTAATTTCCTTTATCTTTAGCATAGCTATGGAAAATCACCATGTTTTTCATAGGATTGATATGGATCCTGGATTGATTACAGTAATAGGAAAAGGCCGATCGGCAGATCATCCATAAATGGACAATTTTTCCCTTTTTTTCATCCCTGGGGCGAGATTTTCCCTCGACAACTCTGAGTTTCTTGATTAACAGATCAACTCGTGCAAATGCATATTTTTGTGAAGATCATCTGGCTGATGGTTTCGAATATTTTTTCCATATATTGGGAATCATCATCCCAATTGACTATATAATATTTTTCAGCGGGGTGACTCAACCACCAACCAGTCATCAAATTCGGGCGAACTCATCATTTTTTAAAAAATAAATTCATATTGTAAATGCAAAGCTCTGACTCTCGTCCACTTGGAGGGTTGGAAACTTCTTCCATTTTTTTGGAGATCAGGATGGAGAGCTGAAAAGGGGCAGCAAGATCTATTGCTCCTATGGGAAACGCGTCCATCTAGCCGCGGACACTCGGCGGAGTTCAACCGTTTCGGGCTCTTGAGTTCCACGGGCTGTTCGGGAGGAGCTGACGGGTTTTTGTGGGGAAAAGCAGAAGATTTTGAGTTTAAACTTGTGCAATCGATTATGGGGCTCTGGACCTAGATGGGTCATCCATTCAACCGCATGTGGATCATGTGGTTTCATGGACCTTTTCCTTTAAATCAAACCTTCCTTCCAGGGATCTCTTGGACTCTTAGCCATGGCATTTCCAAGAGATATTATTGGGCAGTCGTTCGACCAATCAACGCCGGCCATGTGTAGCAACGTGGTTAGGATGAAGCACCAACCAATCAATGGCCATTTCCGGTACCTCAAATGACATATATAAACCTTCTATATGGTAGGTATCTCCAAGTTAATTGATCTTCCAACAGATTGAGACATGTTTCTTGTTAATCTTACTTGGTAATAGTTATACTATGGAATTAAATCGTAAATTATATATATATATATATTCATCATCCAACCAACCCCGGCCCCATCACTTCACATTTCTGCCGAGGACTTGGGTTTCCTCTATCCGGATCTCTGCTCCAGCGACTTGTTGCAGAGCGGGCAGATCGGCTTCATCGTGGTCGGCGCCAAGGTGCGAAACGGAGGGTTTCAACGGGGAAAATGGTGGGTTCAACATGGTTTAACCTATGAAATGGTGATTTTATGGGACTTCAATGGTGATTTAATGGGAATTAGCCATTTGTTTGTAGGTTCAATGGGCAAACATGTTGAACTGTTGATTTAATGAATGAGGAGTAGGGATCTAACAATGAAACATGGTGTAACAGGCAGACATGATCAGTGTTTGGGTGAAGTTGATTTGTAGATTGTGGGCAGGGAAAACAACCCTGAACCCACTGAATTGTGCTGGGCAAAAATAGTCGGACGCACATTTCATCGCGAGCCATGACCTTGTTTCACATCGAATTCCCACCAAGTTCTCGGTAGTCTCCCCGACCCCATTCCCGCGTTTGCTTCTCGATTCCCAATGTTTGCTGATAAACTCCCAGCAGATCCCAATTTTGCCGATTGAACTCTAGAAATATCATGAAATATCTAGAAATCCTCTTTGTGATCTTCAAACCTCTTTGTTTCTGCACTTTTCCGATTGAAATCTCTTTGAAATCCAACATGTGCTGGTGTTTTTTTTGCTGCGATCAAACCCCGAATCCGGTGTGTGCCGGTGTTTGATCATCATCCCGGCGCGCGTGAGCTGCTTACATCCACATGGAAGTGATCAAATTGATGGAAATCCCATGGCTAAATTGTTCAGATGGCCATGACTCAGGGACCTAAGAAAAAGAGGTACCTACTATATTACTGAGGTCTAAATTTCAGCGCGTTTCGGGCATATCCCCACATATTTTGTGGCCTGAAAAATGGTACGTAAACACGTAGCTCCATCTGTTGGGTCCTGAAATTGCCATTGATATATTGTTGATTACATCTGAATTATTCCTATTATGTATTGGATAGTGGTTGGTTGAATATCATATTCATTGGTGATATACCCAAGTGGCAAAGTGACGGTCTCCTTTCAGGACATTCGGAGTTTCCGCGTGGGTGAGACCGTCTTCGCAGAAGGCGGGAGCATTCTGCGAAGGATGGTGAAATATGTTGAATTTCTTCAAAGCTTAGAACACATGCATTGCTAAATTGGCAATTTACTCCCAAGTCAAAAAAAACATGAAAACATCTAGAAAAATCCTGGTCAATCTAGCTAAGGTTGGACAATAATATACATCATGTTAAAAGGGTTTTTGTATGGTTTATTCTTGCCACTGGGCCCTGAAAAGATATAAGAGTAGTATTGGCTATGAACGCGTCTGCCTATAGGTCAAGATGTATTGCCCACAAGACCACGGACTTTGGTCCTTTTCAGCAACAATCTTTGATTTTAGGGGTATCCAAGTTTGACCCATACCAATAATTGTATAACTATATATAACATGATGCATATCAGTTGGTCACCAGTGGTTCTAGTTTCCATTATGTCAGATTATGTCAGCGAGTCCTAAGAGCAGGAGCATGTCCAACCATGGGGGATAGGCATCCTGCATGGTGCAATGGGAACATCACCATTTTCCAAATCCCGTCTACTCTCTAGTAATGCAACCGTTTGCTATGGAAAATCACCATGTTTAAAGATCTTTCTGACAGTACCCTCTGGTAAACTAACATAACTATAGAAAATGACTATTTTCAATGGGTAAATTCACTATAAATGGCCATATTTTCAATAGCTTTTTGTATGTTTACCAGGCCGGGTAAATGATCTTTTGCAGAATGGGTCATTCAGCAATGTCGAGTTTCCGGAGGGATCTGAGGACTGGGTCCCCTGGGTCTGCAGAATTCCACGAACAAAGCCATGTTTTCGAATGAGGGTGTGTCCAAAGACTGGCAGTTTTTGAAGTGAAAACATGATGGACAACTTGTCATCCTTAAAAAGATGCTATTTCCAGTAAATCATAGTAAATCCCCATTAATGGGTAAAACACAATTTTTAAAATGGTTTTAATCACTTTAATTTACCCATCAATCCCCATTTATAGTAAATACAGTAAATCAATCCCCATTAAATCCTATGGTGAAGAACTATAAACCTTTGCCCCTTTTGGGGTGCCGTGTTTTGTTTATAAAGCCTTTTTGCATTTTTTGCGCAAGAGTCACCATGTTTTGCACCAAGAGGATCCCTTAGACTGGTAGGCTGTTGTTTAGTGCTTGCCATGGAGATATTATCCTTCTCTGAATATCCATTTGGTGGTGGTTAATATCGATTTATAGTGACCGTGGTTAATGCCATGTAAACGTGATTTACACTGGGATTAACATGGGTTACATTCGGTCATTTCACATAGCTATGGTATAGATGGCTCATTTAGTTGGATGATTCACCACTCAAAAAATACCATCTGGTAAACTAACAGTTTGCTGTTGAAAATGGCCATTTATAGTTGATTTACCCATTAAAAGTGGTGATTTTCCATAGCTATGTTTGTTTACCAGAGGGTATGATTCTTCATAGAAAACTGTTGAATTGGCAGAGGGTACATGCTAAGCAGAAAGATATATATATATATAGTCTTGTGAAGGTCAAACTGATAGTGACGAGAAGAGGATTAGATAGGCTTATTTATAGCGACTGTGGTCTGTGATATCCTTCAAAAGTAAAGAGATGATGAACCAGTTATCCTTGTGCAGAAAGTGCTCGAAGAAAACAGCGAAGGCAACAAGACAACATGCCATTTCCTCTCGGGTTGCTCCTCATCAAGCGAAGCGACCAGGGCATATTTTTAAAAATAGGTTTGCCGCCCTAAAAGGTTCCTTGGTTTTTGCATCAAGCACTTTGCTTGATCTGAGATTGTGGCCCTTAGAGCTGCGAAGCGATCCTTCAGTGCTTGGCCGGCCCGAGCCGTAGAAAACGCTACAGCGCAAGGGACCAACGGGCACGCATGCCGTAGGCAGAGTCATAAACCAGCAATTGCGGACGGGCTGAAATCAAACCATGTCGGGCAAGCATGAATTTTGGACCTGGGGACCTCAGGCGTGCACTGGGGGGAGTCGGCTAAGTTCTAACGTGTGAAAGTGAATGAAATCCATGGGTTCCGACGGAGAACTTCAAACCGGGGCAACCCAGGAACGGGGGATTCACATGCAAGATGACCAAATCGCCTCAGCCGGCTTAGGGCGAAATGAACCGCAACAAATTCAACAGGCTCCCATGGGGCTCCCTAAAGAAAATCCAGGTTTATTTTTTCTGCCAACAGACAAAAGCCTTGGCAGGAGGCAAACAATGTGCATATATAGACAAACTACGATTACCATTTTTTTTCTTATTGTTACTTTTATTAGTACTGCTTCCACTTTCATGTGTTTTTTTACTTATGTTTTTTTTTCGTGCTACTATATTATTCGTTTTTGGTCTTGTAAATGTGACTGAAATTGGCATTTAATATTCAAAAGTGTATATTCCCGTGGGAACCCTTGCAAATCCAGCCACAACCCAAAAATGGAGGAATGGATGGCGCAACCCCCAAAAGGGCTACAAGTCCCCGAAAATATTGCTGGAATGGGAGGATCTACAATAACATTGTGGGAATTGAATAGGTAGTGCATAAAACAGCTGCAAACCCAACCCAAACCCGCAAAGGCAGGAATAGATTGCGTGATGGCGCAATCCCCAAACTTAGAGGCATTTCAAGGATTCTGCAGGGCAGCCAGTGGGAACTGCATTAAAAGAAACATCGAACATCTCGATTCCTAATTTGCGAGATTCTTGGCATAGATGGCGCAACCAACTATGAAACGGGGCCTGAGATGTCACGCCCTTTTGAAGTGTCAAATTTCAAAAAGTCGGCGCCATCTATACGCGCACTTTCGAAGTGGGCAGTGCCATCTACTTTCATTGCGGTGTATTTGTTTTTGTTTTCTTGTTTTTATTTTTGTTTCCTTTTTTCTTCACATTTCCTCCTACCTGGAATGACGGTCCCACATGATTTTCACTTTTTTGGATAGGTGGCTCAACCGCCCACTAGTTTGGCCAGTGGATTTTCTTTACATCCCAGCCATATCCCAATTTTGTATAATTTTGTGGCTTCTATTTGCAGAAAACTTCATTACAACGCATCGCAATTTCTAGCAATCCCAAATCACCATGAAAGCAACATCAATACCTACTAGATTCCCACTAAAACATTGAAACCGCATTCAATCCCATGAAAACCAATCCAAACTCTACCATTATTTTCCCCACCAACCCCTACTAAGACCCTGCTCTATCCGTTGCAGGCGGCGAGAAGCTGGGCCAAGCCTTCCCGGGCTTTCGCCCCGCACAGCCCATGGTCTACGCCGGCATTTTCCCTGAGGTGCGGGTCCTTGAACGCCACAACTAACGGTCGATGAAATTGAGGTATGGCTCAAAATAGAAGACTTGTGGAACCACAGATTTTAGTTGTTTTTAGTTTATTTTTAGTATGAACCGTCCAACTTTTGGGGTACCCAATTTTGAACCATATCCATTTCAGGATGTTCAATGGGAATTGATCAGAAAAAATGCAGAATGATGATTAACCATCCAGGGTTGTTTTTTTAAAGCAATGGAGACTTCACTGGAGAAACGGGGTCCGACGTAATTAGCAATGAATGCTGATGTACTGGGGATTAATGATCACAGTAGGTGCGCTTGATAATAGGTATACCTCCATGTTGTGGCCGTTTTAATCGGTAATTTTGGAGCACCCTGTTTTCAGACAAATCCATTGAACATGTTTTTCAAAATCAGAAGCGAAAACGAAAACGAAACATATTTCCCCACCTGCCAGGTGAGGGTTGTTAGATTTTATCAGAGCTGTTCTCCTCCTCCTCCTCCTCCTCGGCTAGCTGTCCTCCTCCTCCTCCTCGTCCTCCTCCTCCTCCCCCTCTAGTTTCTCCTCAACCATGTCTGCATCAACTTCCACCTCCACTTCCGCCTTGCCAACTCTTCGCCAGGCTCTTTGCCAACTTCCCAGCTCAGTGTGTACTGGGACCTCAACCTGGGACCTGCCCAGCTCAGTGTGCACCGCTGGACCTCAACCAGGGACCGTCTCAGCTCAGTGTGCACCGCTGGACCTCAACCTGGGACCTGCCCAGCCCAGTGTGCACCGCTGGACCTCAACCTGGGATTTGCCCAGCGCAGTGTGCACTGCTGGACCTCAACCGGGGACCTCCCAAGCTCAGTGTGCACTGCTGGACCTCAACGGGCAGATAGAATGCCAGAAGATATGCCAGATAGAATGTCAGATGGAATGCCAGAAGATATGCCACATAGATTGGCAGAAAGTGTGCCAGATAGAATGCCAGAAGATATGCCAGATAAAATGCCATGAGATATGCCAGATAGAATGCCAGAAGCTCTGCCAGATAGAATGCCAGAAGATATGCCAGATAAAATGCCATGAGATATGCCAGATAGAATGCCAGAAGCTATGCCAGATAGAATGCCAGAGGATATGCCAGATAAAATGCCATGAGATATGCCAGATAGAATGCTAGAATGTTAGAAGATATGCGAGAGAGAATGCCGGATCGAATGCCAGAAGATATGCCACATAGATTGGCAGAAAGTGTGCCAGAAGATATGCAGGATAGAACCTCCGAAAGAAGTTTGCCAGTCAAGTGGACTAGAACATATGGACAAAGAACAGCAGATGATAAGCCAGATAGAATACAAGATCATGTGTGTAGAATTTGAGTGGATCGCTTGCTTTGCTGGGTCCTGGGTCAAGCAAGATCAAGTCAAAGCAAGTTGTCTCGTGGAACGGATGATGTGTTTGAACAGCATTGCATCATGTGTATCTTAGCAGTTTGTATTGGTAAGCAACAGCTTGCGCTGGTTTTGACTTTCAGCACTTGCATGACAGCAGTTGCATCACAGCAGTTGCATGACAACACTTGTAACTGACATGTGGTTCAGCTGGTATGCATGAGGTGGATGTTAGAAGTATGTATGGGTTAGTAACAGCTTGCTTAGCTTGTACATGACAGCACTGTTATCACAGCATTTGCATCATAGTGCTTCGTAGTGACACTGTGGCACTTCGGTTGTGTTCTCGATCCTTGCTGGAGGCTGGGCACTGTTGATGCCTGTAGCCCATATGCACTGCTTGCATGCTTTTTCTGTGGCAGGTTCTTTGCTTTTGCTCAGTCGCGGCAATGGTGCAGGCTCGTGCTCTGGGGTCTGCTTGGAAGCAGCTGCGAAGCTAAGAAACATGGTTAGACAGAATAGCTCATTTCGCGCCTCTGGTTCGAATCCAAAAGTCTTGGCTGTTTGCGATCAAAACATGCTGAAATTTTTGTTTGTTAGACTGAATAGAACATTTCCATTCAAATGTGAATATAGAATGTTGGCTGTTTGTATATCAATGCAGAAAACATGGATAATATATATTTATGTATGTGGTGTAGATCCACTGTCTGTGCTTTGCAGCTATGGTGATGTTGGTTGTGACTGACACGGTCAAATTTGCGCAGCTACTGTTTGGTTGTGATGTTCAATTTGAAAATTAAAGCCACCGGCTGCCACGCAACAGCGATGAAAGCTTTTTGCTGTTTGCAAAGGGAGCATGCAAAGAACTGATTGTGGATCAGTTGGAGGAGATCAAGGACTATGAAATTGGCCGAGGCAATCTGCAAAATCTGGAAAAATCGCAGCAGATATGCCAGAACATATGCCAGAAGATATGCCAGGTAGAATGCCAGAAGATATGCCAGGTAGAATGCCAGAAGATTTGCCAGTAACAAATCGATAAATGTCATGGTGGGGATCACTCGAAGTAAAGTAATTTTTGGATTTTTGTTGGTGGTTCTTTGTTTTTTTCCTGTACACATAATTTTTTAAAGCGTGCTTCCAGTGCTTCCACTATGCAACTTATCCCCGCATATCAGTCCAGAAGGGGTTAAAGGTTCAAGGAACTGCTCATTAGTCATGGAGCAATTGTTTGAAGTTCCCTAGTTCCCGTTTTTTTCCATAACCGTTGCTGTCGGTGCATGATGTCAAGCAGCTGTGCTTCCACAAATATCTCTTAACCCGAGCGTCAGCCTAGTTATAGACCAACTTGCCTACCATAATTCAACTGCAGTATCCTGTCGATTGCTTCTATTCCCATGGTTAAATCCCAATTTTTGTTGGCAACGCACCGAATTTTCCCCAATTTTTGTCGCTTAGTTCAACCAGCGTTCCTGGCCACCCGCTCGTCAAACGAGGCTGTGGGCGACGGCGAGAAGCTGGAGACCGCCATCCAGCGGCTGCTGCTGACCGACGCCTCCGTGGAGGTGTGGGGCGTTGGGGATTTTTGTAGCTCAATCACCTTGGGGGTTATGGATGAAAGTCAACAGTTTTGGGGATATCATGACGGGCATCCCTTGTAGCCATCGAACCCCCCATCCTGTTAATTTCTCTTATTGGAGACCATCGGCAAACGCCTGGAGGACTGGCAAAAAACAAGAGGGCCACACAGCATTGCAAAAAGTTGCTGAGGCGACTCCTTGGGCTCCGTGGTTTGAACAAAGAGAGTGATTATCTGCCACCAAGTCGAATGAACGAAATCGTACTGAGGTTTCTTCCTGAGGACAGCCAAGCCGACATAGCTGTCATTCGAGAACACATGCGCGATATAAAACCACTGGCCACAATTCATTGTGGCGCCTGGCATCTCAGCCTGAACATATGCTAGCTAGCCTGCGACGTCCCCTATTTCACAGCTGTTTTGAGCTGAACTTGCACAGTGGCTTAGGAATGGCGAGTGGTAGAACTAGGAAATACGTGTTTATATATTTATTTAATTATATGTATAGTATATGTAATTATTTGTATATATCTATCTATCTACCTATCTATCCATCTATCTGTCTATCTATCTACCTATCTATTTATCTTTCTTTCTATCTATCTTGTCTATCGATCTATCCATCGATCCATCCACCCACCCATCGATCGATCGGTCGATGTATCTATCTATGTATCTATCTAATCTATCTAATCTAATCTAATCTAATCTCATCTAACTATCTATCTATCTATCTATCTTTCTATCTATCTATCCATCGATCTATCTATCTATCTATCAATCTGTTTAAATTTATCTTTATCTATATATGGTCCCATGTCTCGTGTTCATGGCCCCCCTCCCCCCCATCCCACATGGTATGGAGGGTTACCCCCCGGCCCCCCCCGACCCTCCCACCTCCCCACACCCCCGCCCCCACCACATCCACAAGGGGGAGGGATACATAGTATATATATATATATATTCACACATATACATACATATACTTACTGTTTACATTTGCACATGCGCATACCACATACGTATACACACACATGTACATATATATATAATTTACATATATGTATAATATAACTGACATATACTTATAGGGGCCATCGCCATCTCCGGGGGGAGAGGGGGACCACCAAACGCTGGGCATTATATGTATATATATATATATCTATCATATTATTTCACCAGTATCCAAATATGTAACAGGTGAAATGCATCTCTATATAGATATATATATATATAAACTTGGTTTGTTTTATAACCAACTATATGATGATGAATAGCATGTATACATATGTATAGTGCATTCTTTATTTTTGAATTTATCGTTGTTTTTGTTTTTCAATATATATTGTACAAACATTTCTATAATTACATTTTTCGCCACAACTTAAGCATAAAATGCACGGTTAAATCATATTAAATCGATGATATGTACATATATATAGAGGTTGTTTTGTTTAGTGGTTAAATGTTCAGGGAGTTTGGTATTTTGTTCAATGTAGATTTGCGGTCTTGTCTATAAATATGAAAATATATGCAAGTATATACATATAGGAACATTACTGCATGGAAGTTACGAAGAATGGAAAAGTAAGGATGTAACAATTTGTGGTGTTTTTTGGTAGACATATAAATATATATATATGTATATGTATATGCATATACATACATATATGCAATATTGATCCCTTTACTAAATAACAGGTTGTTCAGTGGTATGTGGCACTTCTTCAAGTTTGTTTTTTCACGAACCAAAATATTGTCGTTCAACCAAACATGGAGAATTAATGGCATCTTTAGTCGCATTTTGGGTTCTTACAAATCCAAAATGGTAGTTTGAGCAAGTTCGTCCCATTTTGTTTGGATTGTAGGGTGATGAATAACACAATACATGATTATTGATATGGTACTATTTAGGTTCAACGGGAGAAAAAACATATCACCCAGTTGCACCTGGAAAAACCATATCCCCAAATCTCTTCGAAAACGCTTCCATCACCGGGTTTTTCCCGTTAGATGCTCATCATGCAAATTGACACAAGTTCTATGTTGGTGAAATGTTCATTTTGGTTGATTTGTTTTGGACATATTGGTTTGTCTGAAAATCGGAGTCCCAGACTTTGATTTTGTTATCCTCATTTTCCCAATTGAAATGACAATTTGAAGGTATACCACCATTTTCAGACAAACCCAAATATCATATATTTGTGGTATATATATATATATATTGTAAATAATCCCAATCATAAGAATTGTTTGGGAAAAACCAATATATATATAATACTGTAAATGTTGATTATATTATATATTTTTCCCGGTATATCCCCATCATATTTCCATTTCTTGCTGCTCAAATTCCGATTGCCAGGCCAAACGTGACATTTCACCAGTGCTTGGTGCAGGTTTCAGGCAGGGGGCCTTTGTGGAGCTGTTAAATACTTACCCAATGGGAAGCAAATATAGATGCAGAAAACCAATGGTTTCCATAGGGACATTATCTACAAATCATGGGTTTTCCATATCTATGGTAATTTACGGGCGATTTTACAATGTTGCGCTTGTACGTGGTACTATGCTTGATCTGATTAGAAACCGGGGTATTGTAATGGAAAATTCCCTATAAATGCAGGTTTTTAACTAGAACATTTCTATAAATGCTGGATTTTCCATTACTATGGTATTGAATATGCGGTAAACCAACTATGGGCCATGAACACGTGGCGCTCCCGGATTAAAATCAAATACGCTCCCGGGACGGGAGTATCGACCAGGAAACCAGCGGGTCTCCGGTAAACTACTCCACCAGGATGTGGTTATGGGTCTGTAGCTGAGCGAGTTGACCATGGATGAAGATAGATGAGCATCCAGTGCTACATCAACAGATTTAGGATATAATTATATGAATGTATTTATATACTTATATTATATTTACATATATATATGTATATATATATATGTGTATATATATATATATGTATGTATATATATATATATGTATATATATATATATATTTACATGTATCTATATAACCTATATATGTGTATGTATATATATATGTATACATGTATCTCTATATATATGTATATATATATATATTTATGTATATACATCCAAAAACGGGGGTACCCCCAAATCATCCAAAATTAGACCATAATTTAGTATTGAAACCAGTTTTTTGGGATGTCTTGGGGATCACCCATTTTCAGACCCACAAATAGATTGGCCATGGGATATAGAGGGTATAGATCCATTAAAAACCTCAACTGCACTCCCGAGTAGGCTATGTGTGTACACCATTGTATTCCATTTATATTTACCATTGACCATTACCCTCTGGTAATTTAACATAGCTATTGAAAATTGCCATTTACAGTGGATTTTCACACTAAAAACGGTGATTTTCCATAGTTATGTTAGTTTACCAGAGGGTATACATCAGGTCATTTGACCCCTACCAGTGCGCGATTGTAGAAAGATTAAAAGAAAACACGTCCTTTGTGTCGTGTAAGTGGAGTGATTGCGTGGTTGGATTAGCTCTTTTAGTTCCCACCTGACAGGTGCGGCTTCCTTGGGTTGTTGCACTTGGACGTTTTTCGCCAACGACTCACCAGCGAATATGGCACGGGGACCCGTGGGGACCGGAGATGTGCTGACGCCGGGTGTCTGGGGTGCTCAATTTTATTTACAAACTTACACACGGGATAGTAAATATAGTATGTAATTAATTATGTACACAGCATTGTTTCAAGTCTCAAGTACAGTAATTAATCATTTTTTTCATTCCTTACCTAGGATGATGATTCCCAACGAGTGAGATGTTCAGCGGGCTTGAAATTACCAACGGGATGATTTGAACAATGTTGAACTGTATATTTGAATGTTGGGCGGCGGCCGAATGGGTCGGAGCGACACAAGGGTGATAGATTTGGTTCACGTTGAGCTTTTAATGTAGTGCTACCTAAGAGCGAAACGCATCACATGTCAGCATACCAAACTTTGAGACGGACTGATGCTTGGTGACATGACAATCTACTCGTAGTGCAGTCCGAAACAGTGCAAATCCCCTCTTCCATGAACTATTCTGGCAACCTTCCATGGAGAACTTGACACAGATGTGGTACTTGACGACTTGACGAAGTCCCATCTTTTGGGACTGCCAGAGCTCAAGTACGGGCACTGAAGGTTTCCAAGCCGCTGCCGGCATTGGCTCTGCGGAATGTTTTTTTTTTTTGCAGATGAGTGGATGAAGTATATAATTAATAATCATGGCCATATGTTCCATGTGTGGTATTTGCTAGTCATTCCCCTAAGGTTCCCAAATGTATGTAAAATGCAGTAATTACTCATGTATGAAACATATGGGATGGGGATGAATCAATCGATTAAATTCATTCCCCTAATTCACACACACACCCCAGAAAAGAACCCCCAGTTCAGTCATGTATTCGACCAGTTTGTGTCCAATCTAAGGGGGTGCTGATGGAAAAATGTATCTCTCTCTCTCTCTCTTTTCATCTATTGCAGTTCAATATAATATATATATATATATACATAAATATGACATATATATATATACAGTGTGGATTGATCATGTTTGTACTAGAAGCAATTGGTTGAAGTTTAATACCTGCTGTGGGAACAGAAATTTGCATGCACCTCCAACGGGTGGATGGTTGAGTTCACCCTGAGGTGTGGACGTCTTGGCCACGAGCCCCACGGTGCCGTACCGACTCACCCTGCAAAGTGGCAAGGAGGTGGACGAAGTTGCTGTGAGAAGTTGGAATCTTGTGGATTGAAGCAACAAGATACTGATATGGCAGTGTGTCAAAACCTTGTACCCCTGGTGAACATCAAAATAGCTGGTAAATGGAATGGTATTAATAGGTATTGATCCATACCCATATACTGGTTACTGGTTGGTGGTTTGGAACATGTTTTATTTTTCCATATATGGCTTACTGGTGCTAAACGTAGGGAATGGATGGGTTGCTGGGGGTTGCTGGGATTATTATTACTAGTGATGAAATGGATCATTCCCGACATTTCCTACGTTTAGCACCAGTAAGATTGGGAATGTCATCATCCCAAGTGACGAACTCACATTTTTCAGAGGGGTAGGGCTCAACCACCAAGCAGATAATCATATGTGTGTTGTTTGCCCCAAATCATGGGGATATACCCGGCCTTGTAAACATAGAAAAAGCTAACTGGAAAATGGCCATTGAAATAGTGAGTTTTCCCATTAAAAATGGTGATTTTCCATAGTTTTTTGTATGTTTACCAGAGGATATATAATTATATATACATGTTCAACATATATTTAAAGTAAACATGATAACACACATTTTTTGAAAGATCATGAGAGTTCGCAAATTACCATTGGTAACCCACCTGCTATATATATATATATATACATATGTAATGTAAACAAGAGGAAATTATCAATCAGATGATTGACATTATCCATGCTTGGAAGATCCACTAGCTGTTCTTGCCCCAGCAAAAGAAAAACTGTGCTGCCTGAAGTAAAACGCAACATGTCGAGCTGCTGTACGTGCACCCCAGTTTGTAGATGTGGAATGATTTACGATAACCCAGATATCCCACATCCAGAACTGAGCGAATCAACCATGAAATTATCTTGTACTTACCTTGTCGTATTTTTGTTTAGCGTATGTGTTCCGTAATTGTTTATAGTCTATCTAGTTCTAGTATGTTATAGTTATGGTCTATTTATAGTATAGATTCTTTCTGAGTTAGGAAAGGTTACATCGAGTACTATCAACATCTCTGCCATAAACCCTAGTTATCTTAGTTATCTTCACCAACTTGCCGATTCCCAACCATGGGGCAGGTTGTGGTGGAACATGCCGGCGACTTCCCATCACCACCGCAGATGCCGCCCAAAGGGGTGCAGGAGAGACAACGACAACGCTGGTGACGGGGTGACAGTGAGTCCTTGTTTTTCATGGTTTCCTTGCGGATTGTTTGCCAACCAAACTGGTGATTGGGGGTTGGGGTGATTTTTGTTATGGATATAACTTGATATAACATTATATAGTAATCAATAATAAACAATCCCCCGGATCACCATAAATAGGTGGTATAAACCATTCCCAAATGGGTGGTATATTATTATTTTACCATGTTTTACCCGCATCATGATATAACCATGGTAGTACAGTAGTACATCACTTCCATGACTTGGGTTTCTATGGCCCCCATAGCATCCTATAACTATGGTTTAATATACTGTTGTATAAAGATATCCATATACCATAGTTATATAATATATATTTCCATATTACCTGTAATAGAAGGTATCCATACTATTTATTTATATATATATATTTATATCCATGCAATAATACCTGGAACTACACCCTGTCGGTATGTCTCCAAATTGCCAGCCGGATCATCCCATGGATCGAAACTGGTCACCTTGATTCATAAGATCCCGATTCCTCAGTTACCCCATTTATAATTGAGTGAACTAAGCCCACTTTCTAAACAGTTATGTTTCGTGGGGTGATCTTTCAAGCGGGTACAAGACATGGTTCAACACTTCAGTCGGTTATATAGTTATATATCATATATCCATATATATATTCCATTATCTCTATTTTATAAATATATATATGTATATGTATATGTATATCAGCACGTCCCAGTATGAAACCATGGTTCAAACATGTGCGACATGTTATGTTCCCTATCAAAAACGGCAACGGATTTGGATTGTTAATTCACCATGTTCTTTCAAACTCATATATAAATCAGATTATAGCTTATATATTCCCATTATGTCCCCATTATATTTTCCCCCATTATATCCCCATATTTGTTGATGAAATCCATCAGACCCCAACGTGGGGCCGCACGCACTGCGGAAGGAGCCTCTAGTCACTGCCACCATCGTCGCATGGCCCGCATGGCTGATGGGGGGTGAAACCACTGAGGGATATAAACATAGTCACTTCGAAAGCCCCTTTGGGGGACATAGATGGTTAAACTGAGATGGTTCACATAGATGGTTAATGAATGATGGTTAAACTGAGAAATATAAACTTGATGTTACTTTAGCATCTTTTGTTTTTTCAAATTTGCGTTTTCAACATGGATGTTCCTGTCACCCAAAATTCCCACAAAAAAGGCTTCAACCTCAACACGGCCTATAGGATTACAGGATCGGTCGCACGACTGAATGCTGGGAATGCTGCCGCAGGAGACACAGATCCTGTTGCTTGGCTGAATGGCAGCACCAGCCGCTTTGACAAAGGAGTCAGAGGGTAAAGAAATGTTCCTCCATGATCCTCCATGGGTAAGGCAATCCATACCTTGTTCCCATCCCGCATCAAGAAGACCCTGTTCCAGTCCAAATTGGAATGTCAGAAAGTGAGCACATTGATGGATGCGATGATTGAGACCTACAACTACAAGGAGGGCACTGGAAGCATAAACATTGACATTTTGTTCCTGTGCTCCGTTGTGGATGTGAGTTGGTTCAACGCAATGTTCAACCATGTGTTGCCAGCACAGCGTGAATTCGAGAGGAACAAAGTCTGTTTTAGTGGCATTTACCATGGCATTTTGAGTAAGAACTTTCACTATCATTGGGGACTTGGGTTTTTTGGAGCCTTGTGTTCAGGAAGAAAGTTGATTTGATGGATGATTTGATGCACTAAAAGCTGATTGTTCAAAGGGTATTTAAGGTTCTCCGTGCTATCACAAGTTTTGTGACACCTTGCGGTCCGCCGATTGACCTGTGCCGACCTCTAAACCCCACTACCAAAAGTGGTCTGAAAATAGGTTGCCCCATGCTAGCTCTGGTACATCATGTTCCCTCCTTGTTGCAGTTCCAGTTACAAGTGTATATATTATACAACCACATATCGTTTTCGGGGTTATATCATATCCCAGATTATGGCGGTTCTTACTATGATAATTAGTTATACCCATTCATAATCCCCACTGCAGCCCCAAGTATGTTGCATATCCCATGATATCCAAATAATGTTCAATCCCATATCATATCCTTAAAAAAAAAAACCATTTTCATGATATCCATTAATTATACCCATATCATATCCCATTACTACTGAATCCCCATGCTTTGTTTATCATCCCCCATTGATCCAGCTGTGGAAAAAAGTACGTGTTGAAAACGGTTCGACTCGGTCGACTCCGGCGGATCCATGATGGTGGATATCAAATTTGGAAAATCACCAAATTTATTAATGGATGATATCTGGGTAAATTATAACGACCTCACTGCTCTCCCTCACTGGAATCATGGTTTATGTTAGGGAAATCATCCCCAAATGGCCTTGTTTCAGGTTTGTGAATTATTATAATTTGCCCATATATATATATATATATAGTGGGATATCATTGGAATATAGTGAAAATTTTGAGTAATGAAATCTGACACTTGGTGATGTAGTGGTGATGTTTTTCGGAAAATAACTGGTTGGTGCTTTGGAACATTAGAAAAGTGGGGTTACTAACCTACCAAAATGGTTGTTTTATTTGATTTAATGGCTGGTTGGTGCTTTGGAACATGAATGGATTATGACTTTCCATATATTGGGAATGTCATCATCCCAACTGACGAACTCATTTTTCAGAGGGGTAGGTATACCACCAACCAGATAACCATTTTTCATAGGTAATATTGGTATGTTTTTTTTGATGCCATTTTCCACATCTATGTTACTTTATATAGGGTAATAGATGGACCATAAATCGGATGGCTAGTTGAGGTTGAGTTATGCCAATAGGACCCTGTCGAACTTGGGTTCTCCCAGTTGCTTCTATCTCCGTTCCTATGATATCCCCATAAAATGGCTGGTGCATCTTCGACAATACAATGGGATATTGATCCAATTCTGCACACCAATGTTTCTTGAGGTTCTTGGTTAAATCCCTATTTTTGAAATATGTACATATATATACATACATATTATACATACAGGTGATCCATATTAAACCAGCATTAACCAGTATTTTTCCATCATTTTTCAGCAAGCGAAACTGGCCAGAACTGAAGGCTGTAGAGGCCATTTTCAGACACACCTATGTGGTTTTCAGCATCTGAGTCCCTTTTTTGAAATCCTTATAACTTGGGCAGTTCCGGTGAACTTGCCCACGTAGAACCAGAAGTGATAGCGTTTTATCCCAACTTCTGGGGTACCCTCTGGTAAACTAAGAGTTTGCTATGGAAAATAAACATTTCAGTTGGACAATCCACTAGAAAATATGTCATTTTCCATAGCTATGTTAAATTACCGGCGGGTATTTGGTCATATTATAGAAAGAACCCTAACTGCATATCCAAGTAGGTTATATATCCCCTTATATCCGCATTATATCACCATTAAATCAGTATTAGTGATATGATATTGCATGGGTTAGATCACCATTATATCCCATTATATTATATAACCATTACAGTAAATCACCATTCATGACAGACACACCTTAACGCATTATATGTCTTTATATCCCAGGTGCTCCATGTATGGAATATTTACCTACATTTGGGCCATTGGGTAAATGTAGGTAAATAATGGTAAATATAAATATTCCATACATGGAGCATTTCTGGGTGTGTCACCGTTAAATCACCATTAGGGATAACCGTAACACATTATATATATATATATATACATATATATATACATATATATATATATATATATCATAGTATTGTATATAAGCCATTAAATCACCATTGATCACCACTAAATCACCACTAAGTCTTTGTCAGTTCCACATCCCGGACCGGGTCTTTTTTGACCATCGCCGAAACGTTCGCCACGCCGTTGACGAAGGTCCTACCCCGCGAACTCACCTCTGCTGTGCAGCAGCTATGCCTAGAACGGCGCGGAGAGGTGCCGCACGGCGGATGGACAGGGCTGACAAAAAGGTAAATTCATCTTAAATTAGGTGATAGAAAGGAACATTTTTTGGGTACTATGCACAGCCCTTGCTTTATTCCTCGCAACCAATTAATGGGTGAAAGAACCATATACATGGCTCTTGAACGGTACAGGCATGCTGCAAAATGCAGATTTCAATGACATGAAGAGATGACATGGCATTGCGATTCATGCCTTGTCTGGGTGCAGCCCCCGCGGAGCGAACTTTGGAGTGAGAGGACGTGCTGCGGATCGTCAACCAGGATCAAAAGCAGCAATTCGGGGCAGCCAGCCGCCCGTGGAGAGTACGGGCGCACCAGGGTCACACCCAAGTGCACATAGAGGAGAGTTCGCCAGTATTCCCTCATAGTTCATTTGTGGCAGGCTGCGGCATTGTCAAAAGCCTATGAGGCGCCGGAGTACCAGGAGTACCGGTGGCATCTTCTCGCTGGGCGCTCAGCCACACATCCAGATCAGCGTGATCAACGTGCGATTGTGCTCAGCATCAACTCGCTACACAGATCAATGTGCTGTGAGCAATGCCTTAGATAAGCATTTGCCACGAAACATTGATTTGAGGCATACAGCCTTCGACCTGGCCTTTGAACAGAGTTTTCTGGCGTTTTCTGGGGAAGAATAGAACGCGATGAGAACCATTTGGTTCGCAAGTTCTTTCAAGCATTCTTCTTCTTTGCCGAATGAGGTTGGCAAGTTTTTGCAAGCATTCTTCGTCTTTGCCTTAATTCACCAAGAGTAATGTGTGTGGTGTGTGGTGGGAGGTTGTGGATATGTATTGGTTCCCAAGGATGTAAAAGAAAACTAATTAAGAAACAATAAAACACAAAAAAATCTGATCATTTCTGCCCATTTGTGCTCTTGTTGGTTTTTTTTGGCTCTTTTTGGCTCTTTTTGGCTCATTTGTCTGCACTTTTCTGCTATTTTCTGTTTTTTTTGCTCTTGTTTACTGTTTTTTCTATTTTTCGTTTTTGTTTGGCTCTTTTTGGTGCATTTTTCTGCTCATGTTTGCTCTTGTTGGCCCATATTTCTGTTCTTTTTGCCTCTTCCGGACTCATTCTTGCCTTTTGAATATCTTTTCTTGCTCAACTCTGTTCTTTCTGGATTCTTTTTTGTTTGTTTTTGTATTTATTTGCCTTTGTGCTTGCTCAATTTTGCATATTTGTGCTCGTTTCTGCTCTTGTTTGCTCAGTTTGGCTCTTTGCAGCTCGTTGTTTTTTTTTTTGCGCTTTTTTTGGGGGTGTATTTTTGGAAATACATGTAAATAAGTTGTGTTTTCCCAGGGCGCAAGTCCACAGCTACTCGACTGTCAGCTGCATGTGGCCAAGCCACCGGATGACACTGCTGTAATCTTAGCAAGTGGTGATGTGTGGGGTTCAAATATTTTACTTCAATGCATGACCCTCTACGGCAAGCTGAATTTTTGTGAACCTGATGCTCATCGCTGGCAGCTGTAATTTTTAAAGCAGTTGTAGTCATGTGTTGCAATAGGAAGGGACGGGAAACCATTGGAAACCTTTGTGCTCTCTGTGTTTGCACACATGTGGATTGTTTCTTTTTCACAAACCAGCTCAGTAGGTTTCAGTAGGTTTATTTTTGGTTTCCTTTAAATTTGTCTCTGTTGATTTTGTTTGTCTCTTTTTGCTCTTTTTGGCTCCCTTTTGCTCTTTTTTGCTTTTTCAAAAAAAGATTCATGCAGAAAACGAAAACTAGCAAAAGACAAACCCTTACATAACATAAACAAACCCTCAAATTGAACCATATAGTAGACATGACATCTCCGTAACCATGTAGTAGAAGAACATGATGTACCAATCAAAAGTCCAGAAAACATCGCTACACCCCTGAGAAAAAACATTTAATAACGATGCAACATGGTATATTAATCATATGATGTACCGGTGTCATTTGTTGCCAAAACCATTTAGATCATTTAGCACAGATTTGGAAAATACCTGAAACCATTTAGTAGACGCAATTTTTGAAGTTGCAACAGGGGACAAGTCAAACCTGAAGAATGAATCAGGAAAAAAGTGGTGTTGGATCGAGTTCTGTTAGTCAGTTAGTCCCTCAACTTGTCGGCAACCCAGGATCTCTACTAAATGGTCTTTGGTGTTTGGTCGAGTCATGTTGGTCTCTCACGACACTTCAAACTCTATCCAAATTTTGCACTAAAGCTGAACCATGGGAAACCGTTTAGTAGATTTACGCACTCCCGCTGCATTAAACTTTCAGACCTGCACACCAAGGCTGCAATGAAACCGCCCCCTGATGGCCCTTGGATCTGTTGACAACTGATGTTCCCCAAGTGAGCGTTCTAGCTTTACCCACATTATATATATATATATATTATATTTATCTCAGACATCTATGTACAACAAAGGTACCGGCCGCTTTCCACCTGCAAAAACATGTTCTTGCATCGATATAAACGAAAAAGACATATATGCAAAGTTGTGAAACTTGTCCTTTACTTGTGGTACCCTGGTGTTCCACTTTGGCTGACGGCCGTGATTTACACCCGTAAATCTGTGGACTCCCATGGTTTCGTCATCTCAGTGGGGGCATCCCTGCCAGCGCGCGCAGTTAATCTCCGCGCCACAACCGGTTGACAGAAAAAAACTGCTGCGCACCCAGGCACCCATAGCTTGATTAATCGGCTGACTCGCCGCCCTGGAAGGGTTGTCATTTTTTGCGATTGTATACTTATGCTGGTACGGTGGGGTGGGGTGGGGTGGGGCTAATAACGTTCCTTGGCACTTGCACACCAACATGATGCTACGTTAGAGATGGGGTGGGGTGGGGTAGGGTGCGGTGGGGCTAATAACTTTCCTTGGCACTTGCACACCAACATGATGCTACGTTGGAGATGGGGTGGGGCGGGGCTAATAACCCGAGTGAAGTTCAACAACCGCTTTGTTGTCGCAGGCACCCAGCAAGTTGACTCCACATGGAAAGTTTTGAAAAAAATGGAAGCCGATCGCTTTTTTGCCCAAAAAGACAAATCCCATGGGGGAACCAACGAAAATCGTTGGAAATGGGCGCGAAGCTTCCAGTGGAGGCATAATGCTTCCATCACTAGTTCAATCTTGGAAGAACTTCCCGCATGCTTGTGGCAGAGTTGAAAAAAGATGCGTTCAAGCTGTAAGGACGTGGAATTTCTTGATGAAGAACAATTTCCAATTTTTTCCCACTGTGATTTAAAAAAAAACGATCGTTTCGCCTGCACGAAATACAATTTTCTCAATTTTGAATAGGCCCACGCAGTACAAAATGACACTTTCAAAATGCCTTCCCAACATGAAACATGTAAAAAACACTGGGTTTTAAGCAGTCCACCCTGCGAATGAAAAAAACTTGTCGACAGCTCCAGGGCGGCGAGTCAGCCGATTCCCTTGTTTTACTTCCACTCGCATACCTACCTTTCGTCCCCCCTTCTCTAGTATCTCCATTTCTGGTCAAAACAAACTCACCACAAACCCACAAAAATGTTAACCCAGGATTCACAGAGTCATAGACCAAATGTTGATATTTAATCATCACTACTTCAAGGGCAAACACCTGGCTTGGCCTGGGTATATCCAGCCAGCTAAACCAATGGTTGAAATATGGATACGACTCCAATATCTCACTGGCCGGGTTCACATTAAATGGTTTTAAACCAAAGTCTCACATGATATATCCCACATATACATATATATATACTGATACTTGGGGACCCCCATGGGCACCATATTTCTGAATGATCTATATATATATCAGGCAACATGTTATCCAGCTATATACCACCTGGTTATTTGACATAGCTATGGAAAATGGCCATTTGATAGATGATGTATCATGATTTACCTATTCAAACTGGTGATTTTCCAGTTCGCTATGCTGAATGACCAAAAGGTATCTCATCTACTCTGTGTGCGGGTTCCCCAAAAATAGGGGTACCCCAAATTATCCAAGTCACTAGGCCATGACTTAGTATTGAAACCAATGGTGGTTTGGGGTACCGCCATTTTAGGTGAGTGTATCCAGATATCATGGTTCTAATTTAACTCTTCTAGAATATTTGGATTATTATAACTAAATAACCTTTCCATAGTAAACTAATAACTCGTAACCCATCCATATTTGGAATCATATATAAATAACTAATAACCCAGCCATAGCATATGGACATTCCAGTTCTATGCCCAAGTAGAACGCGCCATGATTTTCTCGGCTCCTAGCTCCGGGACGCCAGGAGCTCTCAGCCTAGGCCTCAGTTGTACACGAACTTATTTTTTTTGGAGATACTGCGTGCTTACTGGGGTTTAGTGATGTTTAGTGGGGTTTCATTGGGTTTAGTGGTGTTTTTCATGAGGTCTGTGAACCGATTGTGTCTGGAAATGGTTAGGAAAAAACCCACTGAAATAGCCATTTCATAGGGAAAATGACGAGAATGCAATGGATGGAATGGGGACCGGATCCTGGAATCATCCCCACTGTTTGGCCTTACCTTAGTTTAGGTGAGTGGAATATGATCATTTACCAACATTAGATTCTTATCAGAATGTTTAGGGGTTATTAATAGATATTAATAGTGTTGGGTTTCAAATATCTAGATTATATAAATTATATAGTTCAAATTATTTTAGCGATGATTAGTGCCAATCATCCACGTACTATTACAAGTACCACTTTATGATTTCCGTGGGGAAAACCAATTCTGTCCGGGTCTCATCACGGGGATTTTCCATGGAGTTTCTCGTCAACCTTTGGCGCGGATATTTCGTGGTGATTTTGGTGTGGATTTTTTTCAAGAGAAATTAATATATTGGACTGACATACCCAACATCAATGCTGACTATACCATTTTTTCTGGTGATATAACATTTTCGTGGTGATTATTCAACCATAAATGGGTATAGTCAGCATTGATGTTGGGTTTGCTGAGAAAGTGACGTTTTGTTCTACCTATATAGCCAGATAATTATAACTATAATCCGTTATTTGGAATCCAAGAACCCAGAACTAAGATTTGTCAACCAATAAGTTGCATGAACTTGGTATTCTGCTTTTCTCACATGTGGACAGCTCAAAATGATGTATCATGATATACCCTTGACAGTGGACTGTGAATGAATTAACAAAACATGTCAAAACCTGACATTTTTCTGAGCCCATTGGTATCCCACCCGGAGTTTTTCATGTTTCTTGCCCTAAGGTAGAGCCATTGGACAACAGTGGAGAACGAGTAATGATGACTTGGAGGTGCGCTGTGTGTTAACACATGAAGGAACCATGAACCCGGTAGGTTGCTTTGCCAAAATCCATGCTTAAAATGGGGGTATCAAAAAGGATGTCCCGATATATCCGTTTAATTATTTTTGATATAGGTTAGGACATGTTTTACATTAATATTATTTGTTGTTATTGTTATTTTGTCAATTAAGCACTAAAAGACTATGGTTTATTCTTTCCAGTCAAAATGCTGAGATATCCCTTATTCAACAACGCTAGTTTTCGGGAGAGTAATCTACACCAACATACCCATTTCTATACTTGATACTTGCATACATGAATGTGTACAGCCAGCTGTACAGCTGCTGCTTTTTGGGGCTCGTTCTAGGGATTGTTTATATAATGATTGGGGGATAACACTATATCGATGTTTGGCAGATGTTGAAACCCCTTACCCTGTGATAACCAAACATGACAATGGACAATCCACCATTTAGTTCGGGGATTTTCAATTGCAAATTATGATAATTTTCTCTGATTTCTGAAGTAAATAAGTAGCTTGTTGGTGGTTTGGAACATTTTTATTTTTCCCATCATATTGGGAATAATTCATACTCCCATTTGACGAGTTGTCCATGATTTTTCAGAGGGGTGGCTGGCTCAAAACCATCAACCAGATCACTATTCACCATCATTCACCATCATCATAACCATACATTAACTATATATTAACCATACATTATATATTAACCATACATTCACCATACATTTCTACCGGGGTTTTCCCGGTTCAAAACCACCAACCAGGTAGGTCTATTCTCCCATGGCGAATCTCGGTGCCAGGTTGCCACTCGCCGAGGTGCCGGGAGGTTTGAACAAATTATTGGGTAATTCATGGATTAATGGGATGAATTACCAAAAACATGATAATAAGTAATGACATCCTTAATTCATCCTTAATTCATATGAAAAGAATCATCCTTAATTCATGGGTCATGGGAGTAATCAACAATGATTATATGATTACTATATAGTTCATAAAGGTATATGTACCCTCTGGTAATTTGGTACATAGCGAACTGGAAAAATCCACCCATTTTTTTATGGGAAAATCCACTATTTCGACTGGGCCATTTTCAATAGCTAACTGTTAAATTACCAGAGGGTAACCATTATAATAGGGATTAAAAATAAGGATTTTTTTCTAAGCCATAATGATAATATTAGATATATAATGTTTTTATATTTATATATAATTATATATATATAATATCCTTCATATGGATTATATACGAACGATTCCCACTTTCATTGTGGGACGAAACATCAGAAAAAAAAACATGTGATTTGACGACTTTCGATGGTGGCTTAGCTACCCAAAGATGTGGCTTAGCTATGCTTACATCAGCTTTGTGATGCGCTGTGCGGGTTTGTGAAATATGACAAGGTGATCCAATGTGCGGGGATTTTTTCGGGAATTTTTAGGGAATTACTTGATCTAAGAACTAGCAACGCATGGCTAATAAGGGTGCGAATACAACCTAAACCTGTCATTACATGTGGGTATATAAGTCTTGGCATATACTCATATATAATGTATATGGTATATGTACATCTGCACACATGTATATGTATCCATTCGGAATAGGACACAATCACCCGAAACAAGGGTATCACTTTCAAAGCGGGATATTCCTGACACTAAGTGAAGACACACCTTAGAAGGAAGCGCATGATGCAACAACCAAACCCGGAGTATAACCAGCATGCCAACACCGGAGTGTGATCTTTATCTTGTATCTCAAAACAAGAGTTAAACAACCCACCAAAAGTATATGGGTCTTTGATATGATCAACACAACTTAAACTACACAAATTGAAGAGTGTGATGCAACTAAAGCTCATGTACAGTAGACATCGCGAAACAAACATGTTGTGCAAACAGCAAGCCAACAAGATAACGTGTATATACATATAATAGTGATTGTATATGTGTAGAGCAACAACGAACATACGTAACATATGCATGTTTTGTTTTGGTACACTGGTTAAACCCCCAATCCTAGTCCCCAATGTTCAAACAACTTCGTTATCTTTTTTGATTGGTTGGTTGTTGCTTCGATTGCTGCCTCCGTTCATTGGTTCAAAATCCAGTTAATCCATTTGCTGGCCTTCATTGGCTTTGAACTTAAAACATTCCCAAGACTGTATCCCAAGAGAAAAAAGGATATTGGGAATGCAATAATCTTTACACATGTTGCCGCAAAACAAAAACGACCATATTTGGGAGTAAACCCCAGCCAGTTTCCTGCAGATTTTCCCTTAAATCAATCTATTGAATCCCATTCTATTTATTTGTCAACATATGTTCACATTGTTATATACCCTCTGGTTATTTAACATAGCCATGGAAAATGGCCCATTGATAGTTGACTTACCTATTAAAAATGGGTGAATCTTTCCATGGCTATGTTAAATAACCAGATGGTAATTTGGTTGTTTAAATGTTAACCAGACCCTGAAAAAAAAAACGATTTTTGATGGAAACCAGTTTTCCAACCCCGATGACTGCCAGGGTCTATGTTAATTTGCTAATTTAACATAGCTATTGAAAATCACCATTTATAGTGAATTTTCCCATGAACAATTGTGATTTTCCATTTTTATGTTAAATTACCAGAGGGTATGTTAATTTGCCGGAGGGTAAGACCCATGTCTCTGTCAGAACTCAAAAAATCACCGTGTCACCGGACCAGGTCATCACCGACTTCTTTGATCGACTGCAGGTGGAGGGAAGAACTTTGTGCCGGGCTTTGGTCCAACCAAAAATGGTGGATGTTTTATGGGGATTTTCTGGGATTCAATCCACCAATTTATGGTTGCTTTATGGGATTTAATGGCTGGTTGGTGGTTTGGAACATGAATTTTATCTTTCCCATCATATTGGGAATGTCATCATCCCAACTGACGAACTCCATCATTTTTCAGAGGGGTTGAAAGCATCAACCAGGTATAAGTGGATCGTAGATTGGATCATGAAGATGATATGAGTTGTGAAAGAAACATCATTAATAGTAACAATGGATATAAACGAACGAATGATTATATGAGGTAATGGGGAAAACATGATAATATGGAGAATAACACTGATCATAATGGAGGATATAATATATAACCAACCAACCAATCATATCATGATTGGATCATACATTGGATTGTGATGAAAAAATGAGCATTGATTAACCGTTACACCAAGAATTTAATGGGATTGATTGGGGATATGATATACAGTATTCATATGGGGGTTTTCATTAATGAGGGATCCCCAATAGCTGGATGTTTTTTTTTTCATGGAAAATCCTGATGGAAAGATGGATGATGAAATGGGGGTAGCCCTATTTCAGGAAACCTCCATATATATATATACACATATGTATACATATATATATGTATACATACATACATACATACATGCATGCATGCATGCATGCATACATACATACATACATATACATACATACATACATACATACATACATATATATATATAGAACCAACAAAAAATCATCATGTAATGTTCAACACCCCGCTTGGCTGATGATTCGTTCGGGGGATCCCGTTCTGAACCAGGATCACAAGGAACGATACAGGTGCAGTGTTTCCTACAGCCTTGGGCACGAGTGCACAGCGCTGTTGCTCATCGGTGATATCCATGCGTTTACACATGTTTGTGTTTGTATATGTGTGTATCTGATATGTTTGTACGGACATATATCTGATTACATAATATTCCCATCATGATTCCAGCATGCTGGTTAAATCCTAGTGGTCTATTGGTTGGGTTGATAAGCAACCTATTAACTACTACCACCGGGTTATTTAACATAGCTATGGAAAATCCATTCTAAATGGAGGTTTTAATGGGAAAATCATCTGTAAATGGGCTATTTTCCATAGCTATGTTAAACAACCAGAGGGTACACTATATAGGTGGTTAGTATTTCAATATATATATATATACATACGCACATAGGGATGGGTCACAACCTATTCAGCCATATTTTGGGTCCAAAATCACCAGACTATTGTGGTTTTGATCCATGGAATATATGGAATGCAACCATTTTGCCTGGTGGCCGCATTTCTTTCCCCACTGGGCAAACCCGCAAACCTTGGATGGGTACTTGGTACTTTAATCTTTAATCAACTGAAGTTGGGACATGTTCTCAGATAACAGAAACTTGCATCTCTGGTTGGTGCTTTGGAACATGAATGGATTATTTTTCCATTCAGTTGGGAATTTCATCATCCCAACTGACGAACTCCATGATTTTTCAGAGGGGAGGCTGAACCAGCAACCAGTGGAAAATGGTGGATTTGATGTGATTTGATTCATAAACAATGGGTATTTTTACTGGATTTAATGGATGAACATTTAATGAGCGGGATAAAACCACCAGCCAGATCTAAAATGGACTATTTATCGGGGATCCCCACCACTACCATTATGCCATTAATATCCCAGTATTATCCATTTAAAACCAGATAAAACCATATAAAACAATGTAAAACCATATAAAACCATATAAAACCATGTAAAACCATGTAAAACCATATAAAACCATATAAAACCATAAAAAACCTCCAATATTCCATTAAATATCCCCACCAGACGTTCCCGTAGTCGCCATGGCTAGGCCTTAAGTCACGGCTTCGCAAGCTTCGACTATCAGCCTTCGGGATACCAAGAGGCCCAGTCAGGTGGTAAGCCATCCTGAATCATAATATAATTTAGAATCTGTTATTATACAAATCATAATAACAAATTATAACATATGTGTGTATATATAATCATGATGGGATACATAGAATACAGAATCGATAATTTCGGCCTCCAAAGGCATCTTCCGGAATCGGTAAAAAAAACCTATACATAGAATAAAAGCATCTTCCGGAATCGAAAAAAAACCTATACATAGAATATTTCCGGCTATCCATTTTGATCCAGGAAAATGTTTTTTCTCAGGTTTCCTAATCTAGAACGTACCCCGAAATGATCAAATTCTTTTTATATTGTATTTAAAAACATGAATTTTTCAGGTTCACCGAAGGGTACCCCCCACGACTGGTGTTGTAGAACTTTGTAGAACTATGAAAAAAAACTATATATTTTGCAATGAAAACCAATGGAATTGGGTGGTGATCCTCAAAAAATTGATGAATATGTTCACTGGGGACCTATATTCTATGTATGTAGTTCTGCAAGGAATTGGGTCTCTTTCATGTATAAGGGTAAATATCATATATGTAATTCCCTTTGGGGAGTAGCAACCCTGGATGTCTGAAGTCCCTAAACTACAACGTTTCAACAATAACAGGTCACCCGAAATGACATTTTTTTTTTTATATTGTATATAAAAAATGAGTTTTTCAGGCTCACCAAAGGGTACCCCCCACGACTGGTGTCGTAGAACTATGAAAAAAAAACTATTTTGCAATGAAAACCAATGGAATTCCGTGGTGATCCTCAAAAAAATGATTCATATGTTCACTGGGGACCTATATTCTATGTATGTAGTTCTGCAAGGAATTGGGTCTCTTCCATGTATAAGGGTATATATCATATCCGTAATTCCCTTTGGCAAGTAGCAACCCTGGATGTCTGAAGTTCCTAAACTACAACGTTTCAACAAAAAAACAGGTCCCCCGAAATGACCAGTTTCTTTTTATATTGTATTACAAAAATGAGTTTTTTAGGCTCACCGAAGGGTACCCCCCACGACTGGTGTCGTAGAACTATGAGAAAAAAAAACTATTTTGCAATGAAAACCAATGGAATTCGGTGGTGATCCTCAAAAAAATGATTCATATGTTCACTGGGGACCTATATTCTATATATGTTGTTCTGCAAGGAATTGGGTCTCTTCCATGTATAAGGGTATATATCATATCCGTAATTCCCTTTGGCAAGTAGCAACCCTGGATGTCTGAAGTTCCTAAACTACAACGCTTCAACAAAAAAACAGGTCCCCCGAAATGACCAGTTTCTTTTTATATTGTATTAAAAAAAGGAGTTTTTCAGGCTCACCGAAGGGTACCCCCCACGACTGGTGTCGTAGAACTATGAAAAAAAAAACTATTTTGCAATGAAAACCAATGGAATTGGGTGGTGTTCCTCAAATAATTGATGAATATTTTCACTTGGGACCTATATTCTATGTATGTAGTTCTGCAAGGAATTGGGTCTCTTTCATGTATAAGGGTATATATGAGCAAGGGTCAAAAGACGCTATGAAAGGCTTCAATTACGATCCGCCATCGCTACTCAAAATATGTGATTTACTGTGTGTAGCGATAGGGGGCCTTATGTAGCGATACCTCTTTTTAGACTTTGTTTATGATTGAAGCTTCCTGTTGGGCGCATGACTTTCCAATCTTTTGATGTCAGAGTGCGACACTGGAGCAGTCGCAGTGGGCTGGTCTTCCTGGGTAGTTGCAAGATGGCCTGTCGTCAAGTATATATGAGATAGTTACATTAAACAATATTGATATATTGGGGTATGTTGATCTATAAGGTATGCAAGAAACTAATTCATAACGCATCATGAGCTTGATGATGGTGATGATGCTGATGATGATGATGGTGATGATGTTGATTCAGATAGTGACCGTGCTGAGATATGTTGAAAAAGCATCCTTGTGCGGTCACGGACGCTTCTCCAAAGCCACTGTCCAGGAGTAGAATTGCAACATGGAGCTTGTCAGAATTTCGTGTCACTTGAAACATACACCTGAGATCACACATTTTCTGGTCCCCGTAGCGATGCCCGAAGCGATACCCCTCGATACCCAGAGCGATACCTGAAATCCATGAAATTAGGGAGTACCCCACATGGTCACTTGAAACTATACAACTTGTGCTATAGGTGGAAAAATATGGGAAGTATGAACAAGGGTACCCTCAAGTTCTTACTGGGTTAGTTCTTAAAGGGTTCATTTGGTCAGGGTTTTGCCGATTCATTTTGGCGTGGTATTAGGTTGCAAAGGAGGCGGGGTGAAGAAAAAAAGGCGCCGGAAACAAGGCAGCACAGGCAAGACAAGCCAACACAAGCCAAGGGCAGCCTCCGAGGTCAGATGACCTGCAGTGAGTCCGGCTGGTGTCTAGCTGAAGCTGTCGACGTCAGCCTTGGTGATCAAGTAAAAGTTTGAATTTCCCTGGAGATACCATCGCAAGGGGAATAAGAATCCGATTCCTCATCTGGATCCTCCTCTTCTAGCAGCAATTCTGCCTAGTTGGTGAAAAGGGTGCTGGGACTGTGTGTAGCGATAGGGGGCCTTATGAAGCGATGCCATGACCTCACCACATGAATTGAGTTTTGACCGTCGCACATATCATATCCGTAATTCCCTTTGGCAAGTAGCAACCCTGGATGTCTGAAGTTCCTAAACTACAACGTTTCAACAAAAAAACAGGTCCCCCGAAATGACCAGTTTCTTTTTATATTGTTTTTAAAAATGAACTTTTCAAGCTCACTGAAGGGTACCCCCCACGACTGGTGTCGTAGAACTATGAAAAAAAAACTATTTTGCAATGAAAACCAATGGAATTGGGTGGTGTTCCTCAAAAAAATGATGAATATTTTCACTTGGGACCTATATTCTATGTATGTAGTTCTGCAAGGAATTGGGTCTTTTTCATGTATAAAGGCCTTATAAGGGTATACATTATATACGTAATTCCCTTTGGGGAGTAACAACCCTGGATGTCTGAAGTTCCTCAACTAGAACATTTCAACAAAAAAACGGGCACCCCGAAATTATCAATTTCTTTTTATATTGTATATAAAAAATGAACTTTTCAAGCTCACCGAAGGGTACCCCCACGACTGGTGTCGTAGAACTATGAAAAAAAACTATTTTGCAATGGAAACCAATGGAATTGGGTGGTGATCCTCAAATAATTGATGAATATGTTCACTGGGGACCTATATTCTATGTATGTAGTTCTGCAAGGAATTGGGTCTCTTTCATGTATAAGGGTATATATCATATATGTAATTCCCTTTGGGGAGTAGCAACCCTGGATGTCTGAAGTTCCTAAACTACAACGTTTCAACAAAAAAACAGGTCGCCCGAAATGACCAATTTCTTTTTATATTGTATTAAAAAAATGAGTTTTTCAGGCTCACCGAAGGATACCCCCCACGACTGGTGTCGTAGAACTATGAAAAAAAAACTATTTTGCAATGAAAACCAATGGAATTCCGTGGTGATCCTCAAAAAAATGATTCATATGTCACTGGGGACCTATATTCTATGTATGTAGTTCTGCAAGGAATTGGGTCTCTTCCATGTATAAGGGTATATATCATATCCGTAATTCCCTTTGGCAAGTAGCAACCCTGGATGTCTGAAGTTCCTAAACTACAACGTTTCAACAAAAAAACAGGTCCCCCGAAATGACAAGTTTCTTTTTATATTGTATTAAAAAAAGGAGTTTTTCAGGCTCACCGAAGGGTACCCCCCACGACTGGTGTCGTAGAACTATGAAAAAAAAACTATTTTGCAATGAAAACCAATGGAATTGGGTGGTGTTCCTCAAAAAAATGATGAATATTTTCACTTGGGACCTATATTCTATGTATGTAGTTCTGCAAGGAATTGGGTCTTTTTCATGTATAAAGGCCTTATAAGGGTATACATTATATACGTAATTCCCTTTGGGGAGTAGCAACCCTGGATGTCTGAAGTTCCTCAACTAGAACATTTCAACAAAAAAAACGGGCACCCCGAAATTATCAATTTCTTTTTATATTGTATTAAAAAAATGAACTTTTCAGGCTAACCGAAGGGTACCCCCACGACTGGTGTCGTAGAACTATGAAAAAAAAACTATTTTGCAATGGAAACCAATGGAATTGGGTGGTGATCCTCAAAAAATTGATGAATATGTTCACTGGGGACCTATATTCTATGTATGTAGTTCTGCAAGGAATTGGGTCTCTTTCATGTATAAAGGCCTTATAAGGGTATATATTATATACGTAATTCCCTTTGGGGAGTAGCAACCCTGGATGTCTGAAGTTCCTAAACTACAACGTTTCAACAAAAAAACAGGTCACCCGAAATGACCAATTTCTTTTTATATTGTATTAAAAAAATGAATTTTTCAGGCTCACCGAAGGGTACCCCCCACGACTGGTGTCGTAGAACTATGAAAAAAAATTATCCAGAAGCCAAAAAATGTTCAATCTGCTGGGTTTCACACATGTTTTCGATATGGGAATATCGTTATTTCTATGGTATTTGCTTTGGCACTGTTTATGCACTCCAAATTTCTACCCCAAATATTTCTACCCCACATATTCTAAGTTTTTTTTTCCGTCCACACCCGTAGAGTTGAAATCGGGCATATTCTATGTAGGCGATCATGATATATGGGGAACTATCCCCAAATGGCCTTATTTTAGTTTAGCTAAATGTTATAATTTACCCAGAACCATCCCGCAAAAAATGTGCTCTATCATTGGCTTTGCCACATTACTTTTAACGAACATGCACGTGGCAAGCCCTGTAATGGATGAAACTAACCAGCTCAGGTGATAGAAATGTGGGGTGCATACCCCCTACCCATCTATCGATCCTACCAAATACCCCCCATGACTAGGCTGCAAAAATGAACAGGTCCAAGACTAAACCAGGGTTTCAGGGGGTTTTATTCAATAGTGGTGAGAAAGGATTTATTCATGATGATTTTACCAACCCCATCCAAAGAGGATCTCCCCTAAGGCCCTAAAATAGGGATTTAGTAAGGCCTTTTAACCTCTTTTAACCACCAACAGCAACATTTCTGAGAGCTCATTAACCTGAGAACATGCGGGTCACCGAAGTGCATCTGCTACGGTACAGGAGATGTTATGTTGTACTACACGCCCTTGCTCAGCGCCAGTTCTTTGCTTATCTTGGTCTTTGTCATTTGCTACTTTGCGAGCTGCACCAACCAAATTGAGGCGTTCTCCTACGAAATCGACAACTTGGTCAATTGCCGCAGAGCCCAGCGACTATTTCGATTGGCAACCACTGCGTCGGTGATTTTGTTGGCGGCCATCTCCGCCTGGGGCGGAGCATCGGGCCCTATCAACTGAGCTACAAGCGGCCTCAGCTGGAGTGGCGCCAGGGGGCTCCTTGCGAGGGGGCCGGACCGAAGTGCGAGCTGTCCGCCACGAGGAGTTTTCGGTGAGATTGGTGGGGTGGTTCGATGGATAAAAGTGTGGCCGCAATGTTGGAAGTTGGAACACCAACATGTTTTTTTTTTCCGTCGAATCCCCGTGATATTACAAGGTCGTGTCCCAGTTCGAGATCGCAGAGTTGGTCCAAATAAGAATGGTTTATCGTAGATATATCGAACTAGTATGAATTAGTTGCGTTTATAAAGCAACAAACATCACCTGGGTGGGCACCACCTTTTTTTCGGGGTATGCATACCGTTTAATTCCCATTAGGTTCCCAGTACATTCCATTGACTCACCAGTTACTGTATGTTGGGTGAAGTCATCAGATTCCATTAAATCTCATTAAACCATGAATTGTTCTTGGTTGAACCCTATGGAACCACCATTACATCACCATATATCACCATGTTTGTTGGTTCAATCATTAAATCCTGTTAAATCCCATTAAATCTCAGTAAATTAAATCCCATTAACTCCCAATAAATCCTTATTTTTCATTGGTTAAGTGCCATCAATCACGATCTTCCGCGAAAATTTCAGCCCCTGACCTCTCAAAAAACCCTCCGAAATTTTTCAGTCCTTCCAGGTGGACTTGGTCAAGGCAGGCCGTGAAGCGAAGAACTTCGACATTGAAAAATAGCTGGTCAAGCATTATTGGCTTACCCTCTGGTTATGTCAAAATAGCTATTGAAAACGGTCATTTATAGTGATTTACCCATTGAAAAATGGTGGTTTTCCATAGTTATGTTAGTTTACCAGAGGGTATTGGATGATATTGGTGAAAGGTATGTTGGTGAATGACCAGCTATTGTCATGACCAACTTAGTTATTATAGTGATGTTCACCAACTTATCATTCTGATGATATTGGATGCATTATTGGTTTCACAGTGATAATCTTTAACAATGATTTTAATGGTGATATTTTCTGATCAGAATGAACAATCATCTGGTTGGTGCTTTGAAACATGAATGGTTTATTTTTCTCATACATACATATATATATACATACATATATATATATATATTTGGAATGTCATCATCCCAACTGACGTTCACTCATATTTTTCAGAGGGGTGGCGGTTCAACCACCAGTGGAACATGGTAGACTTTGATGTGATTTGATTCATAAACAATGGGCCTCCCTTATGGGATGAACAATGGATGAACCAGCGGTGATTTCATGGGATGAACATGGGGATTTATACATAGCACCTATATACCTATGGTGTTCTGACTGGGGGGTGGTCAGTTTATGGCATTGTGAAAAACCCACATGAATGAGTCGATTTTACTTGTCTATTCTGCCAAGAAAGGATACATCCACTTCGATATCATTATTCCATTTATACATACCCTTTATTCCACGAAATGGTGGTATATATAAAACATTCCCAGTCATGGGTGGTTAACATGGCATTGTTTTACCCAGAAAAAAACACTAATCACCATCACCATGAATCACTATTTGGCCCATCATTAAACCACCATTCAATCACCATGAATACCACTATTGATCCCATTAAACCACCATTAACCACCATAAAACCACCATACAATCCCATAAAACCACCATTAAATCACCATTAAAGCCAGGTGCACCTCCGTCTCAATGGCGAAGTGGTGGACGCCCTGAGTTTCTTCGCCTTGCGGGAGAAAGCTCCGGAGGTCCTCGTTTTTTTTTGGTGGTTAATGGTGGTTACCATCTGGTTATTTAACAGTTCGCCATGGAAAATGACCCATTATGACCCATAGAAATAGATGATTTACCTATTAAAACCGCCATTTATGAGGGATTTTCCATGGCGAACTGTTAAATAACAAGTGGTGAATGGTGGTTTAATGGGATCAATAGTGGGATTAATGGTGATTTATGGTTCAAGGGATTGACCAACGGTTTTTTCAGCCAAAATTTATGGCGTTTTAGCCATGTTTTATCCTCTGGTTATTTGTTACATAGCCATGGAAAGATCCACCCATTTTATAGCTAGGTAAACCATCTATTTCTATGGGCCATCTATACCATGGCGAACTGTTAAATAACCAGAGGGTAACCATGAAATACCATCAAACATGGTGGCAAAGATTGGTTTGACATGGTTTAACATGGTTTAACATAGTTTAACCATCATAAATGATCGAACATGTTGGTAAAAAACTGGCAAGTCCATTGCAATTCCACTGGCGACAATGGGGTGTTTGAACCGTTTGAACCGGCAAAGATGATTGAGATACAGTATGGGCCTTAAACATAGATGGTATGTTTTAATGGGAAAACCATCTATTTCTATGGGCCATCTATACCATGGCGAACTGTTAAATAACCAGAGGGTAACCATGAAATACCATCAAACATGGTGGCAAAGATTGGTTTGACATGGTTTAACATGGTTTAACATGGTTTAACCATCATAAATGATCGAACATGTTGGTAAAAAACTGGCAAGTCCATTGCAATTCCACTGGCGACAATGGGGCGTTTGAACCGTTTGAACCGGCAAAGATGATTGAGATACAGTATGGGCCTTAAACATAGATGGTATGTTTTAATGGGAAAATCATCTATTTCTATGGGCCATCTATACCATGGCGAACTGTAACAAATAACCAGATGGTATATATTATATGTTTTTGTTTCCATGGATTTACTGTATTCAACGTATGTTTTCTTTGTGTAATATTACATATGCATATATTTGCTTAGAATTGCTGAAGATGTTTTCTGTTTTCCAATTGACTATTCCACCATTTGGGAAATTTACTAGGAATTATTGTTTTAGTCCGTCTTATGCCAATCCAAAGTTGTTCCCAGGTCCAAGTCGGTCCAGGTTGGGTGATTTACCTTGGTTCCAGGTCCTGTCGGAAATTCTGAGGAGTTCACATCGCTGCCATTGTGCTATGGGGCTGCTGGTAAGTTCACATGTTGTTTTTGTTGTTTAAGTTAATATGTACATATGTACAGATGTACAGTAAATGGTGAAATGCTTAGAGTTCCTCATTTCTTTTCAGCCACAGCCAGCTTAGCTTCACAGCCAGCATGATCGGCACGAGTTCACTCAGCTGCTGGATCCACAGCGAGTCTCCCGGGAGACGCCTGGGACATAGGATACATACAATAAATCCATAAATCCATAAATCGATTCGTATGTATGTATATATATATAGATATGTGGATTTTTAGATATTTAGATATATATATATATATTATTTATATATATATACTGTATATATATATATACATGTCACAATCTTGTACACATATTCCATGATGGTTGCCTTTTTCCCCGTTTTGTTTTGTTCTGTTTTTCAGGGCAATGTTTGGGGCCCATTTCTTGACAATGTGGGGCCCCGTTTACGATAGCTATTGGTTGGTGCACATAACTCCAATTTCACTATGGTTAACTATAACTATACCATAACCATGGTAGTTAATTTAGATAAATACTACATAATTCCATAGTTATTTAGTTTCACTATAGTAATAGCTAAATAACTATAGTATTCATGGGGTGAAACTAAACCATCTTATAACTGGGGGGGCCCACATTGTAGTTTCGATAGAACCAGCGGAAATTTGAAACACGTCACGCCCCCATGGAATCAACTGAACCTTTTCCCATAGGATCCATGGTGCTGCTATATATGGTAACATGGATCCCATCAAGATTAACCCCATTTATGTTAGCATATATACCAGCACCATGGATCCGTCATGGGTTTGATAGTTTCACCCCACTTGATGTGGCTATGGATCAATACCTATATACATAGCATTTTTAGGGGAATGAACATCAATAAATCCCAGCTATTTTGATGTGAACAGAAGGGGTACAAGGTTTTGACACACTGCCATGTATCATAAAACTGCTTTGGCTCCATTTTTTTGGTCGGAAACGGTCGGAAACTGTCGGATTTTTGTTCGGAGGTCTCCAGGCGATACTTGGAGAAGTTGGAAAAACTCATCCCTGCGTCCCGACCTGAGCCGAGCCCAAAAGGGTCTTTTCGGTTTTTGCGACGGAAAAACACCATTTTAATACCCATAGGATCCATGGTGCTAGTATATATGCTAACATAAATGGGGTATATTGATGGTAAATGTTACTATATATAGCATACATGGATCCTATGGGATAGGTAAATCATCGGTCACTAAAAAATTACCATTTTCATCCTAGCTATGTTAGTATCAATTAAATGGTCCATGGCTTACATAGTAAACTGTTACTTGAGGGTAAAGTGGATGTAAGTGGTGAAAACATGTTAATGACCATAGTTATGATCCATCTATAAAGGGAATAACCTACTTTTGGGGGGCGTACTAGCACTTAGCGGATGTAAGTGGTGAATAAAAATAGTTAGAATCCGTAAAAATAGATTTTTTTGGGACGTACTAGTACACTATTTTTAGACAGATGCAACTTGCCAAATAGATGCATAGATGTTTTGATGGAACACGGCGGATCAATATACCATAGGAGGCATGTACAACCCCCAATTCACACCAACATTTCAGGCACATGTGCGTCGAGTAGGGCGGCTATACCCTACCAGAAAACAAACAGGTTCAAGGGTCAATGTGTTTGAACCCACAGTCTCACCATGTCTCACCTAACCCTCCCAATTTCATCTTAATCTTAACCCCCAATCTCCAGACATTTCAAGATATAGGGTCGCAGTGCCGGCGACGTGGCCCGAGGCAAATGTTCGATGTGGCGATTCAAGCGGTGGTCGGGGGCAAGGTGGTGGCCAAGGTGAGCGTGAGTCGATCAACCAGGGGGGTAGCTGACAAGGTTGACATGTGATCAATGGCCATGAGTCGGGAACCGAAAAAAATGAAGGTACCGATTCCATATATAAGGCCTATTCTTTAGGTCTATTTTTGAGGGAATATCCCCACAAAAAATGGTCAAACATATGGTACTAACGTACCTCCATGTATTGGATCCTGAAGATCTCCCATTGATATGAGGTCTGAAAACTTGGGAAAATATATCTGAACATCATCTTTGGATATCTTTGGAACCTCAGTTTCCCTACATTTCCCTACTGAATTGCTACAAAATGGGAGTTCAACACCCCATTTCCAGACGGACCTATGTTGCTTCACTATTCTAGATCCAGATTCTTCCTGAGAAGGAGCCCACAAATCATATTCCATAAGCCCCCTCAGAAGGTGTTTGAATATATATATATATATGTATATATGAATCCATAGTGTTTCATTCTATGAACGTTATTTCATGGTATTTCTTCATAAGAATCTGATATCCCACTATGTGTCTCACTACATTTTTTTCAACTGCTGACTATTATTGATGATATGCTATGATGATGATATACCATCTGGCTATTTAACATAGCCATGGAAAGATCCACCCATTTTTAATAGGTAAACCATCTATTTCTATGGGCCATCTATACCATGGCTATATTAGTCATAACCAGAGGGTATCCCTCTTACCTTAGATAATCTATGTCATAGCCATAGCATATCAAAAAAATGTAAAACTGCATCATATCTCCCAACCTGGTAAATTAACAGTTGGACCCTGAAAATCACCCATTTTGAATGGTTTCACTAGTCTTCCAACCCCGATGACTGCCAGGGTCTTTGTTAATTTACTGGAGGGTAACCAACCAGTTAACCCCCAAGTTTTCAATGGCTATGTTGAAAGGAAAATCATGGGAGAATCGCCGGCTGGAAAATCCCAACCAACTTTATGGAGGTGTAGTTCGCGAAAATCGAATCTATTTCGATTAGGGCCATGGCTTAACCATGGCGAACTGTTAGTCATAACCAGAGTGTAATAGACGCCCATAATCAGAGTAATAACCTGGCTAAGTGTAATCAGTTATACCATGTAAAAACGTCTATACCATGGCTAATTGTTGTGTTGTTTTTTCTATTTTTCCCACGTTTGTCAGACGGTCAGAGCATTTTGATCGAGATGAACATCTTTGGGTTCTGGGTCATTCTTGGACTACACTATAACATTCTCATCCCCGGTTCATATTGAATACTTCCATGATTGGGACCCCAACCTAAACAGCTAAAAAAAATGCGGTTAGTATCTAAGATTGGCTGGGCAGTTTTAGGGAATCATCACCTTCATCACCATTTCTTGTTAGAAATCTAAACCTTGAAAAGAATGAAAAAAACGGTTTGATTTTGGTCAGTTTCAGTAGTAAACCATCCCATTTTGGGCACCCGATTGTGACCAATGCCATGTGATATCCATCTCTAATGGTCATGGTCACCCAATATGAGGGTTGCCGAAGATGGATAGATTGAGCAACAAACCACGGGTTTTCTTGGCATTTTCATGCCACTGTGTGGGGACCCGAAGCAACAACATATTTGGTTTCTATTTAAATGTAGTTAAACTATATTGGGTTTCCAGACTGGAATCTGAATACCCTTGGAGGACGATTAGATGGGCATAGATGGGCAATAGAGTGAGCTAACTGGTCAATGGGTTATATCGAAAGCTGTAGATGCATTTGAATACACAACAGTATTCAATGATTTTCATATGCAACTTGGTGGATAAGACAAGCAATAGCAAGAGCAATAGCTGATCAAGCAAAGTCTTTTATTATCCATTGATAAACTTGGACATTCAGGTTAAAATCCCATTTATTCACCAGCCAACTAACTCTCTACTAGTTGGTGCCCCAGTTCGAAATCGCTATAAGTTGCGGGGGTAGACTAAACCAACAGTTCGATCACCGGGGGGGCACCAACACCTATGGCTGCCAGGCGAGAGTCAAACCAATGAGAAAGGCCTGGTGCGGCGCCATGACTTCTGGGAAGACGGTGTGGTGATGTAAAATCCATTTGTATATACTGTAATGAATAATTAGCAATCGGTGTTATTACTATTATATTGTAATAATAATTGTAAACACCCGTGTATATGGATAGTATTGTAGTGCCACATTGTACATTCGATGTCATAAACCATCCCCAAAATCACCATAAATGGGTGCTAAATCATCCACAAATGGTAGGTGCATTGTTGTGTTTACCACACCACATTAGATTATATATATACCTGAAAATTACCCAAATTTGGATGTAATCGGAGATTATCTATACAATTCTATACACAGTATATAATGGAAATTAATGGAATATGTACACTCAAATTGAGCCTTCCCTTTGGGATATAAGTCTGGTATTACTTCATTTGTGTATATGGGATAAGCCACTTAGACTTATTAATGAGGATAACCACTTGCTAGTGTGATGGTAAAGCCAATGATAAGCCCCCTTTGGGAGGGCTTATACCACCTATTCCTAGTAAAAATGGGATGGTTTATGGTTTCGGTTTACAAGCAGGTACATCAATGATAGAATGGCATAATGGGGAAATACTTGGAGGCGTGAGACCCAAATAGAAACTGCGTACTCAGATTTACTATAATATGGATTGATTGTATATATGCTTTCCTACCTCATTTCACCACAATGCTTTCTCCGTTTGAAATGACGTGTATATATATATAATAATAATAATAAAAATAATAATAATATAACTTTGATGATTTTTTGTTGGGTCATTGAGGAACTTGCCTTTTCTTGATGTGATGAACATCAAACATTGGTGACACCGAGACCATGAATTGATGGTGACACCAGCAGCGGGATCCACACGCAACACCCGTGACGAACCGTGCAGGTTTTCGACCAGCCCCAATGACCCTTCTCCAAACAGGTTAAGATACCATTTATAGGGATTCTCCCTTTGAAAACTCCACTTATAGGGGATTTTCGATTTTCCCTTTGAAAACTCCTCTTGATCATCTATTTTCATGGAGTTTTCCCCGTTCTTGTTGGTCATTCAGGGGCCGATCCCCTCTCTTTTTAGCGGCTTTGAAACTGGTTGGGTAACCCCGGGGGTTTGAACAATTCACAACCATGGCATGTTCAAAAAATAGCTAGAATTGGCTGGGGAAAACTACATCAGAATGTTGTCGTAATCAAATGAACATACCATGAATATCATAAGACATGAACTAATATATAGTATTGGCCCATTAGTATTGATTATTGGCTGTTTGAATTCAGATTCACCGTTTGTTGGTTCTACCACCCATCTACCATAAATCCCTAACAATCCAAGAATAGTGTTGGTAATTATTGACCGTAAAGTTCCTCAATATATAAATCAAATTAAATTACCATGAAATCGCATCAAAACCCATGAATTTCCTCTAGAATCCCAGAAAATCCCATTAACATCGCATTAACAAAATCATGAACATGCTCATCAAACCACAATAAAGCCACAATAAAGCAACATAAAACACTACAAATCACCATAAAATCACCACAAACATCATAAAACACCATAAAACATCATAAAACATCATCAAAATCACTCCAAAACACCATAAAACACCATAAAACACCATTAAAAACACGATGAAAAACACGATGACATCACCCGGTCACCGCCAGGACGTGGTGGCGCAGAAGATTTTGAGCCACGGCCACAGTGGGGATCCCACGCGCAAGGCCAAGCTGCTGGAGAAGTGCCTCGGCGAAGGGAGAAATCTGGGTAAACCATATCCCATAGGATCCATGTATGCTATATATGGTAACATTTACCATCAATATACCCCAAATGTTATGGGTAAATCAACATATACTGGTTGGTGGTTTCAAACATTTTTTTTATTTTCCATAGTACATGGGATGTCATCCTTCCATTTGTATATACTATACTGTAACCCATAGGATCCATGGTGCTGCTATATATGGTAACATGGATCCCATCAAGATCAACCCCATTTATGTTAGCATATATACCAGCACCATGGATCCTATGGGATATGGTTTACTTACTGGTGCGTTTTACGTCGGGAATTTTCGGGAATGATGCACTGGCTAACTATCAATTTCATCATCCCAGCAAACCCCCAGCAACCCATCCATGGAGTGCATGTTTGCGATGATGATGTCAATCTTGAAATCTGGTTTACTCTTGTAGCAATGTGCAGCCGAGGTTTTGACAGGTTTTGACGCTAAAATTCTATAGATTGTACCTTGTCACCGCTTGGCTCAAACAACCTACAACCTAGCTTTTGTTATTAGAACCTTGACCTAACGAGTATCTACGGTGGATCGCTGCTTGCATACACGGCCATCAACATGAAGCTGTGTGTCCATGTGTTGCTTTTGGCCCTGGGGGTCATCAGTGGACACAACTGCGATGAACCCAATGAACCCAATGAATGCGAACTCAGTTCTCATTTGCACCTCGCCACCAAGGCCATCAAGGCCATCAAGGCCACCAAGGCCACCAAGGCCACCAAGGCCTCATACCTCATCAGTGAATTTCAGCCCAATCCAACAGGACTTCTTCAGGATTCCCAGAAAATCGAGCTCAGTGGACCTCCAAATACCGCCTTCGAGGGATGCATTTGGAGCGTCGAGGCTGATGGTTTGGCCACTGAAGAAGGAGCTGCTGCAGCAGCAACGTCATTTGGAATGGTGAATCGAATCAACTCTGTTTGGGGTACTTTTGATGCCAATGGCTTGCTGGCTGTTACAATACCTGAGCTTGAGAATCCATCTTTCACCTTGTTCTTGTCGCAGTCATGTCCAACGGGCAATGTCAATATCAATGACAACACTGCCGCCCTTCTCGCGGCAGTACAGACAATCTACGACTCAATTGGTGTGCCTGATAGTGTAGCTGATGCAAACAATCTTCCACTCATCAGAACTACATTGGATAACCCCCCTGGTACTGACCTTGGATACATTGGTGGGCAACCAAAACTGGTTTTCCGCGATTCAAGTAGTGGAGCCCTTTACCAAGTCGATGATCAGGGCAGTGCCTCGCCGTCCTCCGTCTTTGATGCTCACGGCACCCAGATGGCTGTTGCCGAATTTGACCCGGACCCACGGCAGACAAGTTTTGGTGTGATCAATCCAACAAGATTCTCAGCCATGGCAGACATAGTGGGTGATCCGCATATCCATACCTTGGATGGCGGCCACTACACGTTGCTGAGGGAAGGCTCTTTCTTGGTGTGGCACTTTGGCTTGCCGCAGCCCCATGTGGATTGGCAAATCTTTGCCCACTATGCCGGACGCCAGTCCTTCACCAAAGGTCTTTTGTTGGTCGATACTTCGGGTTCAGAGCCATCCAGCATGGAGATCACTTCGGAACGCTGCGAATGGCAAACGCAGAGCAACTCCAAGAAGTGGTCATCAGAAGTTCCTGAGGTGCTTCTTTCCGGGCCGTCTTCTCGCATGCAGCTGGTTGGTAACAAGAACAGGAAGAGGATTGATCTGTTCATTGCTGATGAGAAAGTTGCCACATTGAAAGTCTTGTGTCGACAAGGTCGTCACATCGACATGAAGCTCTACATGACGAATCAGAAGTGGAGACCCTTTGTAAGTGGCGAGCTCAAGGGCCAAAAAGGCCAAAAGCACATGCGGAGCTCGAATAGTTCAATGTTGCAGCTGGCTACGAGAGAAGACCAAGAATTTGAGGTCAAGAAAGCTTGGGCAGAGCTTGGTGGCAGCCCTCACGCCCAGCAATACCTTCAAGACTTTGATGGGCATGGCCAGAATGCGGGTTTCAGCCAGGTGTGTGACGCCCAAGCGCAAGCTGATGCCAAGGCTCTCTGCCAGAAACACTTGGGAACTGCCGCAGATTCCAGCTACTTCGAGGAGTGCGTCTACGATGTCTGCTCTGGTGCAGGAGAAGTTGCGGCAGAGATGGCAGCAGAGATGCTAAAATTCTGACCGGCCCCGGCCAACCATGAGCCAGTACTTGTGAGGCAAAGGTTGTAGCAAGGCTTATATATAGTTTCAAACGTTAGGAACATATGGATGCTGGACTCCCTTTGCTGCGTGCAAAAAGCGCGTGGTCTATGCAGAGAATTGCGAGCATGGCAGATGGATACGCGCAACACCCAACACATCTGGGACCATGACATTCAATTGAAATTCCATATAACTCCATATAAAGCCTAAATAGACCCCATTTGGTTGGTGGTTTGGAACATTTTTTATTTTTCCTAACATATTGGGAACAATCATCCCCTTTGACTTTCATACATATTTTTCAGAGGGGTAGGTAGTTTGTTCAACCACCAACCAGCCATGTTTTTTTCACCCAGAAAGAAAGATCAACGATGGATGAGTCAGGTCACCCACCAGGTGAGGCTTTGTCTGTTCGTCTCCAGATCCCAGGCATTCCCAGGCGCCGGAGGACTTATGGTTGTGTTACATACCTGGTTATGTCAAAATAGCTATTGAAAATGGCCATAGAAATAGTGGATTTTCCCATGAATAGCATGGTGATTTTCCATAGCTATGTTAAATTTTAATGCTTGTGTTACACACCTTTATGAACTATAGTAATCATAATCATTGTTGATTCCTCCCATGAATTACCCATGAATTACTTAAGGATGATTCTTATATAATATCCCCATTGATCTCCCCATAGTTCCACCTTTACCACCGCGCACCGCCGAGGCAGAAGGAGGGCAAACGCAAGCTGCGCGAAATCGCCAAGGTGCAAGTCCCTCCTGAGGCGAGACTTCCGCAGCGTCTTTCGTACGAAAGGTGGCTGCTTCAGACACCCCTGACGTTTGATGATTATATTTAATATATTATGATATTTTATAGTTATATCACGGGGATAAATATCTTCAAAGTTTTTCCCCACCTGCCAGGTGAGGGTTGTTAGATTTTATCAGAGTTGTTCTTCTTCTCCTCCTTCTTCTCCTCCTCCTCGTTCTCCTCCACCACCTCTGCCTCCACTTCCATGTCCACTTCCGCCTTGCCAACTCTTCCCCAAGCTCTTCGCCAACTTCCGCACGCAGTGGCCACTGCTGGACCTCAACTGCAAGGGTCTGAGCGCACTGGGCACCGCTGGACCTCAACCTGGGACCGCCCGAGCTCAGTGAGCATCGCTGGTTCTCAACCTGGGACCCTCCGAGCTCAGTGAGCACCGCTGGACCTCAACGGCCAGATAGAATGCCAGAAGATATGCTAGATAGAACGCCAGATAGAATGTCAGAAGATATGCCAGAAGATATGCCAGAAGGAGTGCCAGAATGTTTGCCAGATAGAATGCCAGAAGATATCCCAGATAGAATGCCAGAAGGTATGCCAGATAGAATGTCAGATAGAATGCCAGAAGGTATGCCAGATAAAGTGCCAGAATGTTTGCCAGATAGAACGCCAGAAGATTTGTCAGATAGAATGCCAGATAGAATGTCAGAAGATATGCCAGAAGATATGCCAGAAGGAGTGCCAGAAGATATGCCAGAACATATGCCAGGTAGAATGCCAGAAGATATGCCAGATAGAATGCCAGAAGATATGCCAGATAAAATGCCAGAAGATATGCCAGATAGAATGCCATAAGGTATGCCAGATAGAATGTCAGATAGAATGCCAGAAGGTATGCCAGATAAAGTGCCAGAATGTTTGCCAGAACATATGCCAGAGGATTTGCCAGATAGAATGCCAGATAGAATGTCAGAAGATATGCCAGAAGATATGCCAGAACATATGCCAGAACATATGCCAGAACATATGCCAGAAGATATGCCAGGTAGAATGCCAGAAGATATGCCAGATAGAATGCCAGAAGATATGCCAGATAAAATGCCAGAAGATATGTCAGATAGAATGCCAGAAGATTTGCCAGTAACAAAACGTATAGATGTCATGGTGGGGACAACTCGAAGTAAAGTAATTTCAAAGCATCCAAAATCTGGGATATAGATATAGATGATTAGTTGCTTAAATGAGGATTTGATGGTGAAATCAGCTAAAAACGGGTGATTTTAGAATGGATTTGGAATCAAAACGCCTGTTGCGCGATGATTGGTTATTTAAGGGGAATTTTAACCATCAACTATAAGTGTTTCAAGCACCTGTGATATGGGGATATGATTCATAAATGTTGGTACCAAGCTGTCTGTCTCATGTAGATATGATCATGTTATGTACAAAATGTGATGATGCAATATATAGAATATATATGATCCATACATGGATGTTTCAGCAATGGTATCCATACAGTAATACATACAATGTAATATCATTATCTGATACACTTGTGCACATAGGTTTGCAATATCGAGTGGCAAATGCGTGTCTCTCTTTACGGGTGTCCATGTCCTCCGAAATCCACCATTCCAGCTGGAGGCTTGTGCGAATTTGAAAGAATCTCTACGACTTTTAGGGATCAAAAGCGGAACTAATTAGATGAATATGGTGTGGCCATGAGTTCTCTCTAGAAATTTCGCAACAATTCTGAATCTCCAACCGTTCGTGACATATTGAACGACCTGGACGCCATTCCTTGGGAGGCCTTTGTGGCAATGGTGAAAATGTGATAAAATCCTGCCGTCGCTTCAAGGAGGCCGGCAGCGTTGATGTTTTAGGCCACAGGGATGGGATTGGCCAAAACCTATACCCTCTGGTAATGACTGTTACATAGCTATTGGAAATGGCCATAGACATAGTTGATTTACCACATTAATAGCGTGGTGATTTTCCATAGCTATGTAAACGTTTACCAGAGGGTAAAACTTGTTTCTTGCATGTATGAACATCCATTTACAGTACTACCAGCAATTTGCGGTGAACAGAAAGGTACTAGGGTTGTAACCCACACATAATATCTGTACTTACATACGTATATGAATGTAGAGACTACCACTACCCAGGTCCTCAGGTAAGCATGTTAAAATTTGGTTGGGTAGCATTTGTTGTTATCAATGAGGGTAGAGTGTATTGGCTGAAAAACTGAACGATATCTGTTTTTGGCACGGTGTGTAAGATTGGTCCTGGTAAAGGATATAGATAAGGAAGAAAGAGAAACAATCAAGAAACATCGGATAGAACAGACAAATTATAGATACATCCTTTCAAATGTCAACGACTACGTATACATATTTACTGTATACATAATATATATATATACATATATATTATATATTATGATATAGTTATAGTTATAATATATAAATATAGTATAATATATAAATATATATACATATAACAAAACAACTAAGCAGCACATGGGAATATGACGCATGAAATGCCCGGCTGCAACCCAGATGGGATCTGTGCAATGTCCGTTGATCATCCAGTCGTTGAAACTCACCGAAACCCTGTTGATGGATGGTCACATCGGGTCAATCGATGTGGGAATCTCCCAAAACCTGCTGAGTTCATCCATGGCATTCCATGGCACCAGCAGCATTTACCCTCTGGTAATGACTAACATAGCCATGGAAAATCCCTAATAAATGGAGGGTTTTAATGGGAAAATCATCTATAAATGAGCCATTTTCCATGGCTATGTTAAATAACCAGAGGGTAAGAAACAAGTCAACCACATAAAGCAGGGGCGCTCCGACCTACGGTTAGCCAAAAGCCAAAAGCCGGGGGGGCATTGGCCATTTTACCTCAATACGTGAGAATCTGAGGTCTTGGCAACCCTGGAAGAAGTTTGATGTACAATAGATATATGGTATGGGATGGTATGGGTACACACACACACGATTTTTTCGTTCGCCCCCTGGAATTGTTTCACATGGTAACGCTAAAAATCCACCATTTGTAGAGTATTAAAATCAGATTTCCACTGTTTTTTTTTCGATCACCTGAATTTAATCGCTCACTTTTCCTCAGCTTTCATTTTTGGATAACTCAATTCATCTAAATTCCAGTTACTGGCAGTTACTGGTAGTTCAATCTATTCTCTGGTTGGTGGTTTGGAACATTTGGATTATGACTTTCCATTCAGTTGGGAATGTTATCATCCCAACTGACTTTCACTCCATCATTTTTCAGAGGGGTGGCGGTTCAACCACCAACCAGTGGAAAATGGTGATTTGATTGATTTGATTCATGAACAATGGGAATTCCATGGGATTTAATGGATGAACATGGTGATTGAATCCTTATTTTGGCCGATCTTTTTTGTGGTGAATCCTTGGTGGTGAAATCCCAGTGGTGAAATCCCCCGTTCACTTCTTGGACCAGGACCATCACGGCACCGTTTGTCCGTGAGAAGTCCATTGATTCTGTAAAAAAAACGGAGCGGGGGTGGACAGTGGACAGGTACCCTCCAGTAATCAGCTCTAGGGTTAACTTATGTTAAGCGTTTTACGTAGGGTTGCTGGATGGGGTGCTGGGGGTTGCTGGGATGATGACATTACGAATGTGATGACTCTATGGATCATTCCCATCCATTCCCTGCGTTTAGTACCAGTAAGTTAAATGAATGTTAAATGGTTGGCTGGGAAATTCGCCAATAAATGTGGGTTTTAGTAACACCAATCATGAAAAATAGAGGATTTTCGAGCACGCCATGGAACTGATTACTGGAGGGTATTTTTTTTTTGGTAATTTGGATAATTGGAATAATTGGATTATCTTACTACCAATGGAATTTCTCATTGGTTTTATATACGTATACTAGAATTTCACTGGGATAATTGGGATGTAAGGGCACCCAACCAATAGCCAGCTGAAAAAATATGGACACTAGCCACTTTTTGCAAGGATGCACATCCAAGTAATCAAGTAGGATTCGGATTTATTTCAGGGAATTTCACAGTATTTAAGCAGGGGAACGCACGAAACATGCTTTTTTGAGTCCATGGTGACATGGTGATGAATTTTTGTAGCGTTCAACGGTGCTTTTTTTTACATGTTTTGAAATGTTTCAAGACGAACACATCAAAACAATTTGTATAGAAAGAATCCCTTGGGTTGAACACTGATTCAGTTCTGTTATTTTTCTAGTGATTAGTGGCTTAGTCCCGAAGTGGGATAACCCAAGATATGTTGTAAGCTTGCCAGCTACAAAAACTAGGTTGGCTGGTTCTCTTGGCCATGTGAT